ACACGCTCTAGAGACGACTCTAGCTTGCTCCAGACCTTTCGTCTGATCGCTCGAACGATCTTGATCTACCCAAAAATTGGGGCTGCTTTGCAGTCTACTTGATTAGTGGCATTCAGGAACATGATCGAAAATTTCCGGCTATATACCGTACAAGGGCGAGGACTTCCGAAGATCTCCGAAAGGACCCAGCAAAGCATCGAAGGACTGACCGCAGTCACCGGAACCAGAAGTTTCACACGACACATGGCAAGAACCGCTGTCAAGGGTTTGCTTTATGTCGAGGTTATCTGCCTTCCTTTTTCTCTGTATAAGGGGGAGGTGGAAGGGAAACGTCCACTTCTGTGTAGCCAGGCAAGTGCGGAAGCTTTGGCAGTGTCTGGTACGGGGGAGGAGGGGGTCGCTCATCATATCGCGCTATTCTCGATTGCGTCTCCACCCCCCTCTGGCTTGGTCGATCTCTTCTTCTGTGTTGTCTGTGAGGGTGTTGAGAATATGGGCGATGTGCTGAAGAAGTAGGACTTGTCGTCGAAGATGACCTTGACGTCTGCAATAAGAGCAAAGTCATATGGTTGGTTTTGGTCTCCCATGTGGGTCAGCAAAAGGACATAAAATGGACATAATTGAGTTTTTGGAACTATAATCTGAGACTTTAAGCACTGCGATGCTTATTAAATTTTTCAACTTTTCCGTGCAGGGCTTCTTCCGGAGCCGCATAGCTTGGGCTCTCAAAAGGGAATGGAAGTGTGGGGCTGTGAGGCGAGAGAGACACAACAAAAGTTAGTTTACGTGAGATACTTCCCATTTTAATCAGTGATCAGCATTAAAAGACACTGAGAATCACAAAGCGATACCTTGTTGCTAGGAGCGTTTGAGCGCTTGGGCGACACCAGAAGCATGCATGGTTATATATGCTGTTGGTGATGCCTGTTACTGTTTTTGCTCTAAAGCGCTTCAAGCAACACCCTAGTTAAAAATCTGAGACTTTTCTCCAATATTCTTGGTTTGCAACCACGTGACAAGGCGGCCATGTTGGGGGTCAATACAATAGAATTTTTTCTCGAAGAATTTACATGAAAATAGAGTTTAGTTCCCAGAGGGGAGAAATGCTTTTGTTCTTGACCACCAACATGGCCGCCGTGACGTCATGTGCAAACCAGCAATATGGAACTAACAACACAAGGAGACATCACAGTATTTCTGAAATTTCCAGATAAGCAGAAAATTCTCCAAAACTCATGATTTCCTTGGTACCGTCTCCAACCCTCATTTCTGCATCCCCTTTCTTTCTAGCCCTGGGTTACAGTACAGCCCTTTTGTCACACCCTAATGTAGCAAAATACACTTACTCTTCGTTGTTCTCTTATTTCTTCACGGGTGTCATTTAATACAGCTGGAGTTGATGAGATCATAGGCGCAAGTGATGAATTAAGTTCAACGGGTTGAGAATTATCCTAACAAAAAGAAAAAAATAAGCAAGCAACAAGATATGTACTAGCAAAACATAAATAACACGCATAGTTCCAGAAACTTTCTTATCATTATATGTTTCTGGGAAACTGCCCACCTACCCCTCCCTTAAACAAACATCTTGCTCTATTAAAGTGAGAAGTAAGTGTTAATGTTGGCTTAGGGGAAAGGTATGTGAGCAGTTTCCCTGAAATGAATAATGATCTGTAATTCCATGGGGACCGGGTAGGGGGTAACCTCAGATAAACAGATAAATGGGGGTGGGCTTATGTAACACTAATATTGATTTTTGTTTTCTGTAAGTTGTGTTCAGATCTAGCAACTGTTTAATGCTACAAATCAAACTGTAACAATAAGGGCGAGGCAGGAGGTTTGTTAAAGGGTGACTGTTCAAATGGGGGGTTTGGAGAGGTAAGGCTTGAATGAGAGGGAGGCTAATGGAGAGATTATAGTAATGTTCTAATGTTGATTATTAATTTCCTTCCAAATATAAATTTTTATAATATTCACAACTACGGTTGGTGGTTAGTAAAATCCGAAGCTCATCCAGTGGCCAAAACGTAACCTCCCAAACAGACATTCTTTTGGCTCATTCTGTAATCTTTGCTCCCTTGGAATGTGTGATAAAGCCCTAAGATTGTCCGCATATGGGAGGCTAACCAAGCCAAGACTTTAATGAGTCTTTGCTGTAAAAAGGTTCACAAAATCTGAGACTCACCAGAACTTGCAAAACCAAGACTTTGGGACTCATCAAAAATGGTTCCAAAACTTTGAAACCAGATGAAAAGTTTCTGAGTCCATCAACTTTTCAGTAGGTAAAATTAGTTGAAACCCTACAACTGGGTAGCAGAAGTTCAGACCAAAAATAAGGTTGTCATAGCTGTCATTAAGGGTCGTGAGGTCTGTAACTCTGTTGAACTCACTTGATGTTACAGGTGATCAAACTTGAAAGCTAACCGTGACACCATAAATTTTTATGAGATATTACAGGTGGATCTTTATTTGCTACAGCGGGAGCTTCAAACAGGGTTTGCAAATTTTATTGATGAGTGGAGTCAGTGTGACTTCTGCTTCACAAATGTTGGAGTCATTTTGGAATATCTGGTGTCAAGTATCAGACTTTCCAGCATGTGGTCCTGGCATGCATACACTATCGTGAGGGATACACGAAATAGCTGTGGCGGTCTGGTGACCTGGAAAGCTCAAATCCATGAAGACGGTGATCGAGTAAACTTTGAGCGTAATTTACCCTCCTCCTGTTTTGTCGTGCAGTATAATAATTCTTTAATTTCGATGATTTACTTAAGGTTTACAACGTTTGCAATTAACGTAAATTGAATTTGTTGCAAAAGAGGTAAGGACAAAACTGTGTTTGTTACCGAAAATTTCTGGAGTAGAAGTGACTCCCTCCCTAACCTCAGTGGAGTCATCTGAACAATTTTGGCGTAAAATACGCCAAATTTGGCGTATTTGCGAACCCTGTTCAAAACTTACAAAAATGTAATGAGAGCCCTGGGTTGACTATTTCCCTCTGTACTGTGCTTGCAGAGACTCACTCACCTGTAATTGAGGAACTTTATTACAGCAGTCATACTGAAAAAATGATGCTTTAAATGCCACAAATGATCCTTTCATGCTGACAACAAACGTTATTGCAACAAGGCCAAGAAATGAACCAAAAAACATGTTCCATGATACTTCCCGATTGTCATTCACAATAATGGGCATGACAAGCCAGAACATTAGGATGCTTGTGATAACTGTCAAAATGCAGAATATCAAGTAGACATGAATCTGCAAACAACAACAAAAAGTGCAATTGTACTCATTTGATCGCTTGAGAAAACAGCCAACATTTTGGGATACCACCACTGGTTGCCATGCCAAATGAGGTCTGAGAAATGACTGTAGAAATTCTATAATAATGATGTGTCACTACCCTGCTGTGGGTAGTGCTTCTGATTGGCTGAAGCAAATTTCCCTTGTAGTGCGACCAATCAGAAGTAACACCAAGATCTGGGTAGTGTCACCTCATCAGTATGAAATTTCTGTGTGCGATCATATGACATTACTTCCATGGGTGAGCTGTTTTCTCATTGAGACTAAAGAGAAACATGCATGACATAGAAACAAAAATAGGTTCCCCACAGCTTTTAAAAAACCAAGTAGGTTTCCATGATCTCAGGCACGGAACTGTGCACTTTGAAATCCTAGGACTAGACATACTGCTAGGTTAATTTTTACATGCTCATGCTATTCCTATCCTGCTAAAAATTCTTTTTCCAAAATGCACACTTGTGCATTTACAAAAGCTGATTACATGACCTACTGTTAGCTGTACATTAGATGCACATCAAATCATACTAAAATCAGGTTACAAATAAAGATTTTCAAACTCACTGTAAGTTTTTTTGGTCTTTTATAGCTGAGACATCCAATTCCTCCAGTGACAAGAAACTGAAAAAGGAAAGAACAGAAACCACCGAAAAGATAACCTTTATACATTATTGACGCAATATCTCAAACCACAATTTAACTGTGTCAAGTATTGGATTTTTTTATTTGTTGGGCGTTTCGTTTTAATTTTATAGAGCAATTCGCTTCACACTTGCTTCACACAATATCCGGTGATACATTTATGATCACAGATCGGATGTTAAAAAAAAACAAACTGTGATCCTCTAAGGCTATTGATTAGGCCAAAGGTTGTACTCGCTGAAATTTCGCTTTATTTTAAAGAAAGTCATAAGGAATAAATTATTATTTAAACATAAATTACAAACAAAATTTAGAAGCTTACATAATGATTCGATCGCGAAATATTGACAACGCGACGAAGAAATTTCAGAAGACTTTTGTGGGTTCCTATGGCGATCCCAAAGAATTATTGCAAATTGCACGAATATTCGAATTTGATATCGTTTACATTGTACTTATACGTGAGAATTCCTCTTCAGTAACGACCGCTTCATGCATGTATAATATGATTTCAAACAAACGTTGATCACAGATTTGATAACATACGCACCAATATTCCAGACCAGACTGGAAGGCCCTCTGGTTTAAACTTCAGAAAAGCATTATGATCTTCCTTTCTTGTATTGTAAGCTCCAATCCCGATACTTATCAATCCATTCAGCATCTGTACTATTCCTACACGAAGCGCTGTTTTGACAGAATAAAAATTTCGGTCCGCCATCCTTCAAAAATTTAGATCCTTGTCAACAGAAACTTGAAGGCGCGGATGCCAAGGTACATGCAAGCTTCAGCTGGCTCACAGGTTATCCAACGTTGCCGCATTTCTATTTTTAAACGAAAATGTACCCAATTTCAATTTTAATTTGTGAAACTTGGATTTTCTCCAGACATCTTGTTTTTCGTCGCTGATAAATATCCACTATGAACGAAACATTGGCGGAAAATGGCCAAAATTTGTTAAGGTGTTTTCGGGGGTATTTTTCTTGGTGATCCTGTGATACAGCGAGGTGGCTCAGCTGTTCGAAATAAACCAGCAAAGTACAACATGGCGTAACATGGGCTGGCTGCTTGTTTTCGTGGTTTTATCCTGTCTTTTTTTCATCGGGTGCTCCTTAAAGACTTTATTGATTTATATTCTCCTGGTTGGCGTAAGTTATGGCTTCACGTACCTTTTCATCATCAATAAATGGGGCCTTGATGGATTATTCGAGGAGTTTTTCAAAGCCGTCGAGTTATTTGGGTTTGGAGCTCCTCATCGGCTGGAAAACCGCATCGGGTACTCGTCGTTCTACTCAAATGGCTCCTTTAACAGCCTCGACGAGGTTCCAAAAGCTGTGGAAGAGGGATTTAAAAAGTTAATAGACAACATCATCCGCGATTTTATTCGTACATGGTACGAAAATGTCGGGGAAGGAGAACTGTTCATTTCTGAAACGCGGGATGCACTGGAGATGTTATGTTTGGAAGGCTACAAGCGCGGATTGCAAATAGACTCACATTATTTAATCGAGCAGGTTATAGTGGTCTTTCACGGACACTTGGAGAGATTTAACAAAGCGATGGCCATCGTGAAAGCAAAGGATCCAAAACTCCGACTCAGCATTAGCTCATCACAGCTGTTATGTCAAACGTATGAATCACAGCTGTGTTCCAAGCCACCTTCTTTGTCAAGTTCAGCTGCCGAACTCAGTTATTTAAGAAATGTGGTCGATTCGCTTCTAGCGGCAATGATCCCAAAGGACACGTTTAGTTGTGATACTGGAAGATTTATTTTGCGGGAGATTTTGACTGTGCAAGTTGTGGAACCCCTTGTACAACTCTTAACAGACCCTGATTGGATTTGCCAAGCTGTAATTGAAATCCTAAGAAAGCAAAATGAAGGTGATAGAAAAATCATGTCCACAGTCAAAGAAGAACATGATTCTCTTGCAACAGACGATCACTGCAATAGTTTAAGTTGCACAAATGAACCACATGCACCTGGCAAGGTCAATCTGCCCTTGTTAAGTGAGAAAACAACAGCTGCTGTAGATATGCAGAGAACAGCTATTGAACGAATTATTAGTAGGAAAGAAAGTGAAGAGTCTGTGGAAGATATCGGAGAAAGAATTGAAATTACTGCACCTGGGTCTTGTGTGGAAAGTCCTGATTTCCGCTGGTCTGTAAGTACAGAGAGACAGCCTCCTGTTGGAGAAAGTCAGCATGACAGTGGAGACTCATTTTTAGTTATTTCTGTGGATGAAAGCAGAGAAAATGGCACCGAAGACCTCAATCAAGGAAGGAGTAACTGGTCAACAGAGGTAGTTCCACCATCATCAGTCGAGGATAGCAAAGAGAACACTTCATCAGACCAAAGTAACAGCGACAATAACTGGTCAATGGAGGCTGTCGCTCCACACTCAACAGAGAGCATGACATCAAGCAGTTTGTCATCCTCGTGGATGGTTTGCCCTTCATCAGAGGATGAGTCATTCAGAAGAAAGAGTTTTGAAGAAATGAAAGAGCATCTCTCAGAAAGTAATGGAGCTCTTCACAGTTGGAAAGAGATGACTATGTCTTGTTGCCATAAATTTGAGGCGAGTGGAGACAGTTACCGTCCTCTCTCATTGGTTGCACAAAAGGGGAGTAGTGACGAAGAATCTGATGAAACAGGTGATACGCCATGTCTTAGACTTACGACAAGAAGATTTTCTCTTCCAGAATCTGAAAACAAGACTGAAGCTCATAGAAATCTTCCAAGATCTGGCAGTGTGCCGTGTAATCTTTCGTTAGCACATTATGACAACCTAGACATGGAGGAGTTTTATACACCTAAGAGCCCAAGAAAAATTTATAGCCCTCACATTTATAGCGGGAGCTTCTGCAGCAGTTCTGACAGTTTTAAGTCCATTTCCAGTGAAGAGGATATTTTAGATTCATACATTGAGTGTGGGGAAGAAGCATTGGAAGAATCTGATGACTTTCACTCAAGCATTAATGGAGGTCACAGTCTTGGGGTAGTTACTAAGAAATCAACCAAGAGCAGAATTACCAAACAAGTCTCATTTGAGGAATGTCAGGGAAAACACTTGTCCTCAGCAGTAGCAAAAGAGTTAGCTACTTCTGAATGTGCTTTCCCCTCCTCCAGCCAAGAAATTTCCAGTCCTAAGAAGGCTATATTGAGAAACAAGAATGGCTCCTCAGAGCTTGATAGCATCAAGGAGTCTTCATGGGAGGCAACAGATAGGGACAATGTTGTAGATGACCCTTCTACAGGATGGAAACGTTTACGTCTGGGGTTTGGAGGTCAAAGTTCAGACTCATCCATAAGTGACGCATTTATTACAGCCAGTAAGAAACTTGTTTCAAATTTCAAGCCACCCTTTAAATTTGATAGTTTCAGTAGTAACAGCACAAAATCTTCAGAGGCAAGCGTTTCATCAGGGGGGGAATCTTTGGACCATTCTTCTGCAAATCAGGGGGAGATATCACCTCAAAAGGCAAGCTTAGCTGTTGCAAGAGGCAGAGCTGCAACATACACTTCATGCGGCATAAGACGACTGTCCAGGAGTGATGCCGTGATAGAAGAGTCAATGGACAGTAGTGATACAGACACCTGCTACGGGACACCCAGAGATGACTGGACACAAGAGGCTTTAGGTGTCAACGACAAAGGCAAGGATGGAGTGGACAGTTCCATAATGCGAGTTAAAAGAATGCACCCCAGTGAACTGATTTCTATCCCCATCACGTTTGTTGCTTTGGAGACCACTTGGGAACCAGGCAGAAATAAATACACACTCTACAAAATAGAGGTCAGTTAGCAGTTCTGTAACATTTTTGCTAAATGTAGTATTTATATACATGTACTCATAGTTCAATCCCCAATTTGATTTACAAGTGGAACTGTCCGATAAGAGACTAGCAAAGAACTTTGACTATGACAACTTGCTCTTGTGCTGCTAAATGCAGTATTTGTATACATGTACTCTTAGTTCAATCCTCTTTTTGATTTACAAACAGTACTGTCCGATAAGAGACTAGCACAAAGCACTTTGACTATAATAATTAGAGCCCTCATTGCTCTTGTGCTTAGCTTCCAGCCATTTGTTGTCCACTGTGCTTTCTTCCACTCAATGCACAGTGTAGATGATGAAAAGGCAAGCTTAACCTTTCCCTGTTTTCAGAGCATGTAATATGCCAACTTTAAAGTGCTTTCAAAACTTGGGAAACAGTGGGGCTATAAATTCTTTGCTGTTATTCATCATGTATTGAAACAATTATGGAAATATGAAAATGACATGCAGTCATATTAATAATGTAGAGGAGACAAAAAACCTTTTTGGTAAAAATAACTTGAGGAGGGATTTTTCAATACAGTTATGTACCTAGTAAAGCTAAATGTAGGCCAGCGATTGGTGTGAGCTTAATGTCATTATCACCTCTCTTGACAGTACGACATAAGGATTTGGCATGAGGTCTATACTGCGGCAGTAAAACAGGCAAAGCGTGAAGCTAAGAAAGAGCAGATGAAGAGAAGATTGTATGCAGATGAAAAAGACAGCAAAGAGGATGATGAAGAAATTTCTTTGGATAGAATAAAGCAGAATGTTCCTCTAAGGCGAGTGATTAATAGACGGTACAGGGAATTTATGGAGCTTCACAATAGACTGATGAGTGGAGAGCTTGCTGTTCACATGAAAGGTATACATTTTGTAGTAAATTAGTAGATATAAATATGACAAGGTTGGTCATGGACCCTTAAGTAGTGATGGAGGCTGCTGCATGTGCTGGTTTTCTCTGCCAAGGTTACTCTCATCCCTTGTGTAATGCCATCTCAATTGAATCTTGGATTCCAATTGACCAGACTGGCTGGGTTGTCATGGTGGAGGCCGCTTGCCGGATTGCCACAGATGCCTTCTTCCTCATGCTAGATCATTGCCTGGCTCCTTCAACCTTTTAGGCACCAGCACACAATCTCATCTCCTGGTGATGAGTTTAATCCTTGTATGACACAGGAAAAAAAATTGAGATTTCTATTAACCCATTAAGTCCCAATAGTGACCAACATTAATTTTCTCCTAACAATATCCACACATTGTCAAGAGATTAGGTTATGAGAATTAATAAAATGATCACCTAAGAGAAAATGCTTTGATCTTTTATCAAAATAATTCTCTCAACTTATTCTTTAAGGAAATATATAGAGATCAGTTTGGAGAATTTGTATGTGGATATAGGGGTTTAAAGGGTTAATAATGGATAACTGCCCACCTACCCCTCCCCTAAGTCACAATTTTGCCCTTAGTGAGAAGTAAGTGTTAATGTTGACCTAGGGGAGGGGTAAGTGGTCAGTTACCCAGAAACCTCGATTGATCCGATCCAAAAATCTTTAAAAGGGCTTCTCTTTAGAGGAGTTGAAGCCATGGCTTTCTGGTCCCAGTTGGTCAAATTTCAAAAGCTGGATAGCCCTATCCACCAGATAAATCAATATCCGGTGGATAAGTGTCAGGGAAACCAATATTATTGAACATTCTATCCAGTGGATAGCAAATTATCTTGTTGACAGCATTATCCATCACTAATTCTTTTGAACCACTGACACCAGGTTACTATTCCAGATACTTTACCTCTAAATTAGCCTGTTCCAGGCTCCGAGATGGTGGTGGAAAGTCGTTCAGTAATAAGAAATGCGAAAAACGCACGGGGGCTGGAGAGAGACAGGGTGGCGGACAGGCCGCCACCGCCCCCTTTCCCAAGTTGTGCGCGTCTTATTTTCGCTTTGCTCATTTTCATACGTTACCACTATACTATCTGAGAGCCTGGCACAGGCTACCTCTAAATTACAGGGGGATTGTGAGAGCCAATACCAATGAGGTTCAAGAGACAATCATTCTGTATACTGCTAGGATTGAAGTGTTGATAGGTGGCATAGTTGCAAAAGTGATGGTGGTACACTCGGTTTGCAAAGCACATAAGCTTATTTCAGTAGGCAATAGTTGTAAAAATTTTCATCTGTATATACTCCCGTTTTAATCAATTTCCTCTGACTTTAACAGATATTCTGAAGCCCAACAGAAGATACAATTTGCCATTTGGAAGACTAGATCCCGATGTTGTAGAGGGAAGAAGGGATCTGCTGCAGAATTATTTAAGGGTGAGATCTAGCAAAATATACATTTATGCTTCAATTTCCCCAGTAGAATTGCAAAGATTCAAAATTAGCCAAAATGAAATATGTGCTGAGCTCTGTTCCTAAAGGCAATAAGACACATGATGGAGTAAAATGGCTATGTGAACATTTAACACATAGCCGGTTTATTAAACTCAGAACATCAGATTAAAAGGTAACTACAAACTCTTACCAAACATACTTTGCGAAGGTGAGGGCAATCAAACTGTAACAACACTAACATCACCATGGAACAAGAAAAAAGGCAGGAGCTGGGGAGGAGGCGGGCTGATGGAAAAAGTTTGTGTCTCAACAAAGTCAAAACCAAGACATCAATTATATGAAGATTAATGACTGCAACGTTGTCTACAACATTATTTTGTGTACTTCATGGTGGATTCAAAATTCAAAACTTTATCCTAGGTACCAAGCTCCCAATCTCTCCTCACGCATTGGCAAATCATTAATTAAATTCATGGTTCAGTTGTTGCATAAAATTGTATTTACGATCAAATAATGTATTAATTTATGCAGAAACTGCTTCTAGCAACTTTCTCTAAAACGATTGCCTTTGACACTAGCACTACATCGACAGTGGAACCCCGCCTTACGTCCACCTTGGTAATATGGTCACCTTGTTGTTACGGCCACTTTTTTCCAGCTGGGCAAAACGGCCACACATTTTGTTATAAAAAAAACCCTGTTAATGCAGTCATCCATTAATACGGCCAGCAGCCACATTTTAAATTCTATCACAGTAGGGGCTGGTTGGCCACAGTGGAGACCCCTGAATACCCCAGGGAACCCACCTTTCATTTAGGGAGGCAGCCTGTTAACCTTTTTGCAAGTCATCCAAAGGTGTCTGTCTTAAAGAGGTGTTTTGTAAGAGAGAGTTTAAAAGATTGCTCTTATTGATTTGAAGAAAGTAATATTTAAAAGTCCCATAATATTCTGTATAGACAGATTGCTCCACTTAGTGTTTAATATGCAGTGGGCAAAGAAACTCGTGTCCAATAGCCCAGGACTAGTGGATTTTGTGATTGGGCTAGTGAATTTTACTCTTTTAAATTTGCCTGACAAGCTTTTTTGGGGATTTCAACTTACAGATTGCAAAGTACTTGAAACAATTTGTTTAAATTCCTAAGAAACATGTGTCCAGTTGAAAGCTGTTTTTCAAGCTGATCCGACAAAGTGAAATTATCACAATAATTATTACAATGAATTAATAAAGTTGTTGCAATTAATTACTAAATAATGATAAATTAATTATTTATTGTGTTTGTCCATTTTTTGGAGGGTGAGGCTAGTGAAAACGACTCTTGCACTGGTACATGCTAGCTGTTTGGGCAAGCTGTAAAACTGACTTTCTTTGCACCCTGATATATATACATGTAGTTACATAAGAAGTCATATTAATAGTGAATAATTTATAATGATTTTAGAGCCTGATATCCAAGCCACCTTTGCGGAACAGTGAAGACCTTCAACAGTTCCTTGGTGTGACAGAAGGAGAGCAGATATCATTTATTAAACCAAGCGTCGCTCAAATGATGAGCCAGTCAGTCCATGTACCAAGGGTAGATAAGGTAATTAATTTTTCAAAAACAACATAGATAACTGGATTTAATCTATTCTAAAGAGTATGCAAAAAAATAAAGAAACGACCACTGAAGGAAGAAATGATCACTGAAGTTATCTGGAAAATTTAGAATGCAACGTGTGGCAGTGAAATTGTGGTAAACTTTGGTTGGCAGAAGCAGTCTCAAGTGTATTGAAGTGAAGTGTTGATTAAAATGATTATGAAGGAAAATGAGGAAAAAAGGATGTTCGATGAGATGACGACCATGTAATGTTCTTGTTTGGCTCTTTATTACATAAACACCAATGAAATACCAAACCATTTTAACTTAAATAGTTTTTGGTCTGAAAGGTGTGGTTTATTCGAAAACCATAGCAATAGATAAAGTTTTCACATGTGAAGATAAAACGTTAAACATTTTCACATGTGAAGATATCAAGGTAGTCTTACGTTTTCTTGAAAGCCCAATGTGGTATTTCATTGGTGTTTATATAAAGAACTGGATTTAATCTATTCTAACGACCGAACAGATCAAATGTTTTTTATCGATACGAATTATTTATTTATATTGCACTCTAGGAAGCTTAAAGAGGCATTTCAGATTATTTCCCAGAAAACTATCGTTGGGTGCCCCTGAGTAATTTCTTGGCTTCCATACTGTACAACAAGTAAAGGCCCACACGAGCCAAAGGCCCAAACGGCCGGAGCTTATCTCGGTTTCTTTAGCATGAAGCATGCCTTGGAGTATTGCTACTCCCCACTGGACGGGATGCTAGTCCATCGCTGGGTTCCCCCCAGCAGTATGACGCCGGTACCTATTTATACACCTTCGTGAAGAGGGACAAAGTGGAGTAACGTTCCTTGCCTACTGAAGAAAACGCGACAAGCGAGGCTTGAACCCTAGACCTCCAGATCTGGAGTTCGAGGTGTTAACCGCTCGGCGACACTCGCCTCCACTCCGTAGCGCATAAAGACGCATAATTGGCAATATTAACTGAATGAACTTGATAGTCGTGATACAGCCCCTTTAAAATCGCTCAGACTCTGTATCCATTTTTCACAGGCATCCCTTTCTGTAATCTCACCACCAACATTTGACTCTGAATTTTATCAGTCACAGGCTTCCACCAATCAGTTCAGTCACCATGAACCTGTCGTATTCCCTGTGTTGAAAACACTTCATTGTCACAACTCGCCAAGTGATGATTTTTCACATCATGATTTCTCCAGTGGCTGTAAACCCTCAAATCAAGTTGTTGTTAGTATCAGTGGTGTTATTTAATAATTATTGAAAATGAATAAATGATCGTCGCAGTGAACGCAATTTATGCAATTGCGTAAAGAAGCCTGACAAAAAAAAATTTAGGACTTTAACGGGGTTTGAACCCGTGAGCTCGCGATTACCGGTGGGATGCTCTATCAACTGAGCTATGAAGCCACTGACGTTGGGAGCAGGTCAATTGTGGGTTGGATTGTTGAATGAGACTGAGTATCATCTGAAGAATTATGCACGGAGATCGACGAGGGTGTTGAGGCCAAGGCGGATAACACCCTCCTCGATCTCCATAATTCATCAGATGATACGAAAGCCGAATTCAATAATTGGTTTATTATTCATTCAAAATAATTCTTAGTTTATTTAAACAAGCGAAAACATGATTACCTCCGTCGATGTTATTAAGTTCATCTTGATAGTGCATATTTATCGGCAAGTTTAGGAGATAAAGGTTTGTTCCTACGAAGCCTATGTGCTCAGTTAAAACGGGGCAGAGAAGTAAAACAAGTTTACAGGATGATTGCATCGCTTTGTGCTGCTCACTAGTGTTCATTTTCTACAATTTTTTTTTAAAGAAAATTAGTTGTAGTTCAGATTTTCTTTTGGTTGGTTTATACCTGTTTTCCTTTCCTACCAGATGTTAAGCAGACAAATGACCAAAGTGATTGACAGCATCAAGACAGCTTTGGATTCAGGTGCATAAACATAAACGTAAACATAAACATGTGAAGGGTTCAATAGGCCAGTTTCAGTTTTTTTACGTACGAGCGAGCGAGGAAGAGCCGAAAAGAGAACGATTTAGAGCAATCTCTTTTGTCCCCGAGGCATTCAAATTCTCTGTAGCCCCCTCCCTCCCTCTCTTTTTGTCATTTTTTCCTCGCGCGTTCATCTCATTAGGCTGATTTAGCAACAGAACGGGAACGTCATTTGACGCCGGGAAATCGCGCGGAAAGGACCATACACGACTTCCGGTGCCCAATTTGCCGCTCAGCCATTGGTCAAGCCAGTTGTTTGACCAGTGTTTGTTTGTTCCCGTTCTGTTGCTAAATCAGCCTAATAGGCTGATTTAGCAACAGGACGGGAACGTCAGTTGACGACGGGAAAGAGCGCGGAAAGGAATAAACACGACTTCCAGTGCCCAATTTGCCGCTCTGCCATTGGTCTGGCAAGTTGTTTGATTTGCGCGCACCGTTGGCAACTGACGTTCTTGTTCTGTTGCTAAATCAGCCTATCTCACCCTCGCTCGTTATACTAGCTCGCCCGCAAGACAAAAAACTCAACTTTGGCCTTAAAAGCAAACTCCAGGCATTTAGCCTGGTAGACTATAGTCCATTCCCTATTTTAATGTCAGACGACAACAGTTACGTTTGAAGTTATGCTTTATGCATATAGCCCATGTTATATTTTGTTCAGTTAATGGGACCAGATTTTACTGGCTCATTTTTCCACTCCGATGTAGATTCCTTATTTCATTTAATTCTTTGTCTTTGTTTTCATTTTCAGCCGAGGAGGAAGAAAGTACATCAGAAAATCATTCCAATGTGGAGACCGAAAAAGTGGTTGTGCCCTGGAAATTAGAAGATGAAGATAATTCAAGCAGATATTCAGTGAGTATATAACGATGCTGCGATAGAGTGATTTCACTTGACCTGTGAAACAGATACTAACAACTTGTGCAAAATAGGAACAGGTAAACAAAAGAAGACAGTGGAGTTAGTAACAATGATGCAACGCTGCGTTGCGCTAAAAATCGTCGTTGCGAATCGTCTCGTGTAACATTCTCTTTGATGTTTGCGCTTTTGAGTATTTTTATAGAAAAAGCGCAATATAAGTATTAAATATTATTATTATTATTATCACTTTTATGGAGGACGTAAACAAGCGACGACGAATGTTTCTTTCTCTTCTAAACTGTCTAAACTTGAGTGCGGTCTCCAAGAAATCAATTCCAGGGAAATTAGCCTACACTTGACTTTTTCAGCAAACTGGAGTAAATTCGAGAAAGTTTGAAAACTAAATCGTGAATTCATTTTAAAAGTGCCGTCGCCGTCGTCGATGCTAAAGCTCCTTAGGCTGGAGGCGGCGATAAGAAACAAGATCATAAAGATGTTAGAAAAATTAGATAAAATCCCTGTCTTTTTTTTCAGGAAACTGATTCCAATCCAGAGATCTCTTTCACGCTGCATTGCTACTCAGCGTTTCTTGAAGAACGGGATGAATTCTTGCCTCTAACACCACCCTCTCCTATGCCTTCCTCCTCTGAAGGATTTGATGAGCCGGATGCAGGGCTAAGAAGGCGAACCAACCGAGTCTCGCCTTACCCGGAAGAGGAGCCCTTCGCTTGGGATACCTGTTACAGCACAGACCGCCTATTAGGTCCAAGGACCGCTGGAGATGGTAGCGATAATCCTGATGAGTTATCTTCAACGCCATCTTCCAAGAATTTTCATTCCACACATGTTACTACAAATACACCAGTTATGCAGTCAGGTATAATGATATTAATGATTGGTAAAACTTTGCGTAAAAACGTGTAAGATTACATTGAAAACAGCGAGAAGTCAAAACTATGATTTTTTTTTTAATATTCAGTAGTAATCACAAGGAGCCCAACAGCCAAAATTCAAAATTTTTGTTATACTATAACAAACACAGGAAACCCATGTAAAATAAGTTTCTATAAACTTATGTCTATGGCTCGTACAATCTTTAAAAGGTCTTGAATTTGAGCAGTCATCTTGATAAGTCCTTGAATTCGGTTCAAGTCCTTGAAAAGTACTTGATTTCTTTATTAGGTCTTGAAAAGTCCTTGAAACTCACTGCCTTGTCTACGCCCGACATAGCTTTTTGTGCCGCGGAAAAGCTGGCTCTTCCTAGGTGTAAGAACTTGTAAAACTCACGGGTAACGTAAAAACATTTTTGTGCATGAGCGATATTTTATTTCTTCTTCTTTATTTCGAATGCTATTTCTCTACCTCAGATGCCATTGCAACTCATTTTGCAAAGTGTTGTTGCGGAAAGTATAAAATAACGCGATCACCCATGGCTGAAGAAGTTAAAGACGGGGTTAAAGAATGCCGATTTATTCAATAAATCTTAGTCTCTGAAAACTCTAATGAATCCTTGAAAAGGCCTTGAAATCTGTTTGTCTGAAGTTTTACGAACTATGTGTTTAGTACCCTAATAGAAAAATATTATATTTTGAAGGTGTCGTTCAAAGGGAGAGATCGGGGGCGATCTTCAAACCGTTCCTTGATGCACAGTCTGCTACTTCAAAAACGCGCAAGCCCCTTAGACAATCACTTAGTCTTCCCATGAGCAGGAGCAAGTCTATGGAAGGAATATCGAGTTTAGCTCCAACCACTAAGTTTACTCTCAGGCCACAGATGATTTTGGACGCCGCCAAAAGAATTGGTCAAGGAAGTAAAGAGAGCTCTGGAAAACTGGACCTGCCACCAACCGAAAAGGAAAAAAACCAAGACCTCTGAAAAAGATCCTCAAAGAATCGACAATTCCTGTGCTTGGTAGCCGTGGAAAGAGACAGAAACAAACGGCTGTTGACGTGGGTGAGGGTGTTTCTCGTGTAACTGCATTGGCACCAGATGAGCCATGTACAGTCTCGGAGATGGACCAACCGAGTAACCTTGATGAGAGGTCCCTTGAAGAGGGGGCCTCTAGTGGGACAGATCTTCAGTGTCCTCTTTCGGATTCCATTCTTGCTTTGCTATGTGAGCTCCTGAAGGATCGTGGATCGTGGTTGACTGTGGACCGTGTACAGCAGGGATTTTCTGGGACCTTGGGAGGTCTGCTGGAATGGTATGGAATTGTTATTCTTTCATCTATGTTTCATTAAAGTTTTTGTTTAAGTTTGTATATGGTCAAGATTCTTCCACCCTCGTTCCTCGCGGCTGCGCCGCTTGCCCCTCTCGCGCGCTCCCCATCTATTGTGACTTAAAAGAAGAATAAGAGACTGCTGGCAGTCTATATACGTCCTGGCTGCTATGGTCCACGCGGTTGTGCAAGTGTCATATTAGGGAGCTTGAGGTGGCTGAAAACAGTTTTGGCAGTTTGTGAGTATATGTCATTTGTCAAATCATGGCAAGAGAAAGCTTGCAGCTCACAAGCTGAAACTTATAAAAGTATACTGATGAAAGATTTTGATCGACAGGTAAAATGTGACGTTTTCGTTGTTTCCATGGCAACACGAACGATTGAATACAACCTTAAAATTTCACTTTTGCTCAGTTTACATAAAATTCGCTCATAAGATTTTGCTATAAACTTGCGCACAGCTTACTATAATTTATCATTACCATTTGAAACTTATTTGACCAAATTTTAACAGACGGGTTTTAAGATAATCAATAATATAATTGTATTGTAATTATTAAATGTATCACAAAATTCTTCTGTTCAACTTTCATTTTAAAGTTCTCATTATTTAAAATACGATAAAAGTCAAAATTCTGCCAAACATCACAAAATTTTAATGGGTAGATTTTGAGAAATCGTCTTCTGTGTACCATTGCTTTTTTCGCCGCCATGTTTATTTGTCTAATTTAAAACACGAGCCGTCACGCGAGTTACCGCTGACTGCCCGCAAAACTGCGTTCAGCCACCTTAAGCCACTATGACGACCTCTGCAACCCAACGTCACACAAATAAACATTATAATCATAACTATAACAAAATTCTCAAATCTGATTGGCTATCAACTGCCCTGATTTCAGCCTTAATTGGACAGTTTGATAGGACAGTACGCGTCATGCCTAAGTAATTGGACAGTACGCGCCATCACGCGCGCGCTTAAATGGCTTTTTTTTTCACTGCTAGCAAAACAAAATTTCGAATTTCTTGTGTTTTGATTTAAAAAATAGCCTATTATATCACAAATTTTGTTAAAGTTATGATTAACAAATCGGACTCCCGCTACGCGGTCGTCCGATTTTGTTAATCACTCGTATGATTACAGAGCGAATTGGACTCCACTCAGTCCTGTTACCATTACAAATAGTTTTAATTAGCTAAACAGCAACCGTATAGCCAACTGTTTAGTACATAGAGGCGTGCAAGCAAACTCTGACGGCGATCGCCTTTTTCAACTTTGAGTACGGGATAAGGAGAGGAAAACGGAAAGAAATCAGAGGCCGAATTTGCAACCACAGCATTACGAAAACTTGCTCTCCACCTCAAAATCTCGCGTGTTAAAGTTGCAAACGTGACTATGCGAGGAGCGTTGCGTGACAACACAATGGACGGCTGCATAGCAGACTATTCGATCCCGGACAAGTCAAAGGATTTCGCCATTAAGCCTAGTGCGTAATATTCTCGTTTTCTTTTGTTTAATTTTGTTCACTAGGTGTGTCCAGAGTGGAATAGATGATATAACAAGTGATGACGCCTGGGCGCTTTATCTCGATGAGCTGAACGAGGCAATATGGCCCAACGGAAAACTTCGTGAAGAGACCAAGAAACCCAGATCGGAAATTGAAAAATCACAAACAAGAAAAGTAGCTGTACAGGTTCTTATGGATGCATTCCCAAGTACGTGTACATGTAAATTAACGAAAAAGTACTTAACAGTCAAATCTAGTCGAAGTTCCTGTGATTGGTACCCATAGGGACGGTTTGGTGTTAGCCTGGGACCAGGCTCTGCGTTGGGGGAAAAAGGAGAAAAAAATTGGCGTGGGCGAAAAAAACAAATCGGCGAGCGAAGCGAGCCGAAAAGTAGTCTGGAGAGGGGAAAGAGTGGCGTAGCCTTGAGACATCTCCCCAGGCCACCGCTCGGGTCGCTTCGCTCGCCGATATTTTTCCTATGTGAACCCCTTTTTATCATTTTTATCCCGTGTGAATTTATAATATGATTCAAATCCATTCAAGCGAAAAAAGTTGACCTCGAGACTTTGTCGCTTGTTCGGTAGTTGCGCGACCTCATGCATTGAAGCTCGCTTCGCTCACTTTTAAGAACTTATGAGAGGTCGACTTGTAGCAAGTCTATGGACAGGTGTTCGGACCGTAAAGGGAGTGAATAATTAGAGGCGAGGACTGGAACCCACTGAGACGGAATTAAATATTCAGGAGAAAGGACTGGGATTTAGTTGACCAAGCTCTCTCGGCCAGCCGCTCCGGTGCGATGTTCAATGTGTGAACGATTCGTTCCAGTTTTGTGCTATTTTCGTCCATTCTGTACGGGCTAGCTTTTCATGTCTGCACGAAAAGCTATCCAGTATTGAGTAGAAGAAACCTTGGGACACCTCCTCAAGTCTTAAGATTTAAACCTGTTTTAAAAGGAGTAAGGTACCGTAGTGCAGTGGAAGTTGCAAGCAGTATACCATCGATTCGATGGTATATTTGCTTGGAAACGAGGTTGATCGATGGTATATTCGCTTGGTAACAAGGCTGCTTGGTTAGTAGTGAAGTAACGGCTTTTCGAAGACGAAATAGCTGAGTTTCTGAAGAAATGCGAGAATACGCAAAACATCTTCCTCGATAGATGTGATCTACTTTTTGAGGAGTATCTGCAGGGGAAAAAAACATCTTTTTGTATCTTGAAACCGTGCGGAGGAATAGGCCAAAGTTTCGAACAAAATCTTCGCGGAGGTAAGCTTGTTAAGAACTAAGAAACATTTTGAATGAATATTAAAACAGTTATCTATGTTACACATTATGCCATCAAATGCTCGTTGGATTATGAAGTTTCTATGTATCTGTACCCTATTTGTTCTTTTGTAGGTTTTTTCAGGCTGTTGATTGGTCCAAGAATTTACCACCAGACTGCCATGAACGTCATTGACTCGCTTCAATATCCACAGTTAAACAAGTAGGTATAAAGAATAGCCTGTGAGCATGATCACCGCCGCTCATTTTCCTCCATCCCTTAAGCCTGTGGTGCAGACTTTTCACCCAATATGGCCTATTCTCTGCAGTCGCCAAAATCAGGGAAAATGGGAGACAAAGATTCTGGCTGGTAAAGACTTAAATCGCCGATGGACATATTGAAAATTTCAAGGGAACTACTGGGCTCATCGGGCTCACATTTTTCAGAGAGTACTAATATCGCTATGCTCTTTCAGTATCCAGGGATGTTATTGTAAATAGATTGGTCGGGACACGATGAGGGTATGGCAATGTGGCCTAAAAAATGTAAACAAAGCTTCGCCTGTATGATGGGAATAAGGAGATAGGACCAAATGGTGTAGGGGTTCCTCCCGCCCTCCCCCTTCCTTGCCCCCTGTGACTTGCGCGTCCTCCACAACTTACAGAATTCTCCCACTCCCGATTAGAATTAACTCCATGATTATGATGAAACTGTTTTATGTCTCCACAGGATCCTATTTTACACTCTGCTGGAGCTTTTATTCTCTGAATTCGTGCCAGAAATTCAGGACACCTTGCAGTTCTTCAGGCGCATTACTGCTCAAAAGTAACATTTAATAACCAATTAAGAGATGATTATATCATTTTCATCGCTTCAGTGGTTGTCTTCTTAGGCCCTGTTCATATGAGTCCGGGTTGCTAACCTTACTAACCAATATTCTCGTCTGGACACTCTATGAAGCTTAAGTAAAGGCGATGGCAACGAGAAGGGCAAAAATACGATAATTTTAGACCAGCAAAATAACAACTTTGTTTAACGCAACAAGGATTAGTTTTTTGAGTGACGTTTCTGCTGCTGTCGTGGTCGTATTTGCTTAAGCTCCCAACCGGCATTTTTGCAGTATGTTAGTGGATCGTCGAAGTCGAAGTAAGCAAGTGGGGATCTAATGGAAGGGCCACAAGTGAGAAAATACACTGTAGCGTGTTCTTTAACCAGAGTATAGTACTCAGATTAGCCCGAAAACATTACCTGTTTATTTTTTAATTATTTGAGTATTGTAGGAACATATACTTTGGTATATTACTACATCGTGATGAAAATTCTGTTCCAGGCATCAGAGTCTATTCATCGCTCCTACTAACGCAGGGGCGACCACACCCAACAGGCAATCAAATCCTGGAACTTCATTTTCATCGTCATAATAATTGCTCAAAAAAGTTGAGCAGTGTACAAAAATTATTGTAACTACGTTGTAGATCAGAATTTACATGAATACGTATTTTATTCAAAACGCTACGTTGATTTATTTAAGTTCATTTAGTTGATGACCAATAGTCCTTTTTACCTTGATGTTTTTTTGTTTTCCATTTTCGGACTACGTTATGGTACCCCAGAGAACTGTTCTTTCAAATGTCGTCCTAGGCACGTGAGTGCACGTCAATCATCATCATCATCATCATCAAGTTTCGTCGCGCCAGATGGCTCATAAGGCCATGCGTGCACGTGCATATGTATGCATAATTTAGGAAGAGACAAAGGCCAATTCCCTGGAGAACATCACGTGGTCTGAAGTTGGGAAAGCAAAACATACAAGCTAAAAGGTCTATTGGTAGATTGCTTTTGTTTTTTTTTAAAGCTAGTCTTAAATAATATGTTTTATCACAGAGTTAAGTGGCTCAACAAAACCACCGAATCGTTTGTTTGAAAGTTTGTTTGTTTGTTTTTAATGAAGTTTCTACTGATATTTTTACAGCTCACTTTATTTTATTATTTTTTGGCACAATATTTACAGTTTAGATCTAAACTTGAGTGCTTTTTATTTTTGAGTCTGCGTATGTAATCTTAAAGTTTTGCCGTTTAAGTGAAAATTACTGTCTCCATCTTTGAGTATTTGGATGAAATTCTAGGGTGTAATAATCAAACAGAGAGCTATTGAGAAAAAAAATTATATGTAGTGATAAAAGACCAAAGTTGCAAACGATATGGAATACTTACTTTGAATTCAATTTCAATTATGTACATTATTTGTTCGGTACAGTAGCAATTTTCTAATTAACGAAACGAGGTCAGATGGAAAGCGTTCGAAATCATTAGCTTACACGAATGGAAACTATTCAAGAGGAGATTTATTACGAGATATTCGTTCATGCATTTATCATAATAACAAAAATACACGGAGTTTATTTTATTTAAGAATTATTATATGAAATAAGTATTGATTATTTATTAAAAGTTCTACATAGACATATAGATTGAATTGGAGAATCATTAAATGTTGTTGGTGACGGGGGGTGACTCCCATATAAAAGTGACGGGTATGCTTGTCGGAAAGTTACAATTAAACCTCTGTAAATGGAGAACAAACTTAGCGCTGCTCAGTTTTTATTTGACCCTAAAGGAGGCTAAACTCCAACAAAGTATGACGGCACTCGTATGGATATTTACTTCTCCACACTCAACCCGAAGGGATGGATACCTTTATGACCCAGAACATTAGCTTTCCGTTCTTAACACCCTAAGTGAGACCAAAATCCTCCGAGAGAAAAAAACGGGGGCTGTACACACACACTGCTTGCAGCCTTTCGCAGGCTAAAGCTACGGCAAAACGGATAACAATTAAAACGTTCAACATGTTCAAACCTGTCTTGCAACAAATCAGGTTGTTACAAGTTGCGTGAATATTGACTTCTGATTGGATAAAACTACGCGGGAGTCGTGCCATACGCGGGGAGATAAGTCACTCGCTACAAAACAAGTTTGCCTTGGGCCAAAGTAAAACGCGCAACATAGGCAAATTTTATTGTAAAAATTAGAACTTCTCTACTTTCTGCAACAACTTTTCGCAACCCGCAACAACCTTATTTGTTGCAAGACAGGTTGGAACGTGGGTGGTAAAACGCGCATCATCGCTATTCAAATCATTTTGCAGCGATATTCGTTTTTGCTCCCCCTTTTATTTTTAGAATAATATGAGCGACATAAAGTACTACGAAAACACAAAGAAAAAGCTTCATTCGCGTACACGTCAAACGCGTTCTAAGTACACCAGTCTTCAGCCAGTCGTTTGTGGGCGTTTCTCTATCCACGCTTTTATTTCGGGCACGTTTAACACACGGGTATAGTGCCCTGCCAACAGCGGGAACTTGTCCAGTTCCTTGGGGACATCTGTTTTACCTCCCAAAAGAATGTTATTCAAGAAGTCAAAGATGGAGATGTCGGCATAGTTCAGCTGCAGAAAGGAAACAGAAAAAAGGAAGTTAAATAATATTGAAAGTTATGTTGTGGAGGCATGGGATTGGCCTAAACTTCTGGCCAAAGTGTTGGTCAAGAGGCGCATGAAATAATCGGTCTCTTAGTGTTTGTGGGATACCTGGGGTAGCGGGGAGCTGGGGAAGGGGGGACCATTCAAAAAATATTTTACATGGGGATGCAGCTCCGTCCCAGGGAGAAAACCCGTGAAACATTGAGATATCAGGAAACAAGCGATTATTGTTATACCACTTGTACATTTTTGTCAGCCCTAAAATTAATAAAGAAAAAAAGCCCCTCTGCATGATGAGTATTATATCGTGACTTTTTCGAGGGAGACCGAGCATTTTTAGAGTGGAAAAAAATGGAGCATTTTAGTGAAGAAATAAAAGCCTTATGTACAGAAACCTAATACATAAAGCCCCGTGCAAACGGACGCACGGCATTGTTGGATGTTACATGTTGCGTCAGTTTGCACACCCTGTTGCATGTTGTTGGATGTTGTTGCGCAAAGTTTGAAACCGGTCAAACTTTTCAGTCAACAACTCCCAACATTTCTTTTGTTCCGTGATCGCCGAAGCGTAGCGCAACAATATTGGATCCGTTTGCACAGCTCTTCCAACATTGTTAGGGCCACGCACGCTCATTACGCATGGTTTACAAAGAGTTATAGGTTGTATCCTTCCCACTATGCACTGCGGGTCCCAACATTGTTGGCGCAACAATGTTAGGAGTTGTTGCGTCCGTTTGCACGCAGTCTAATTATAAAATGGCGGCTCATAGTATCAACATATTAAAAGTACTGCATTTCCGTAATATTCAGAGAAAATTTTCGGTGGGGTACGATGGACTTAGAAAACTCCGAGAACGGTCAGTATATAACTAAACACATTCTCACCCTTTTTTATTTTTGACTAGATAAATAATGTTGTTTTCGAAGAAAGAATCTACCCTTTCTAAAGTTTAACTACTCGATCACGATTCAGAGACAAACCCCTCGTCACACCCTTGTGTATTTTTCTCATCTTAAGTACCTTTTCGCCAAACAAGTAGGCCTTGCCTCCATCCCTGCTTTCGAGAAAACCTTCATATTTCTTTAGTCGGGCAGGAAGTGTGGTTTCGAAAAATTCCTTCTGCATCTTCTCCTAAAATCAGAACAAATTACAGTTCAATCATTCACGTAACAGAATCCTGGAATATGTGGGGAGGAAAGGATATACCTACGGCATTGTGAATGAGACAAACGTGCTGCAATTTAAGTCGGAGCAAGTTTAAGTTGCCACCACGGCGACGGCAGTCAAAACGTCACTTAAAACACGTAACTTCGCGTTCTGCTTCAGGGCAATTAATATCCTAACTTGCTCACTTTGTCAAATGTAGGTAAACTCTCCTGGAGTTAAATGGGCCGTACGAAAAATATCCAAGTTCTAAAAGAGAAAGGGAAATGCGCCGTCCTTTGTCGGTTATGTTCTCGATAAAAGGTGGATTTAGGCCATTTCAAGTTGTCGTCGTCCCGGGGGTGCTATGGAGAACCGGGCGGCACACCCCCATCAAGTATTCCCAGGAGTACCACCCCCTCACCCCGCCAGGTCGTTGTATAGTGACGGCAGCGAAATGTACCAAAGAGTGTGTTGCACGTGCTTGCTTGCTTTTCTGAAGTTGTTTGTTATTGAAGGATTTCATACAGCAGCAGAAGCGATTTTCTTCTTCAGAATGCCAGACTAACTCCTCTACGAGTGCCCTAATCTACTTGTATAACTGTAAGTTGTTTTTTTTTCTTTCTTGAGTATCACACGTGGACAGACATTCCAGGGAGCTTGTAAGCAACAACGACCGTGACCGCAACGAAAACGTCACGAAAAAAGTGAATTCGCGCTGCTTCAAACTTTATCTCGCTTATTCCATCTCGTTCAATTCGTCAAATGTTCGTACTTTTCTCTGGAGTTGAATTCTGAAAAAACTGTGTCGAAGTTCGGTCAACTTCAGTTAAAGAAAACGAAAGTTGTTGTCTTGAGTTCACGACCTCCACAAAACGTGAAGTAGTTACTCTCTCTTGGGACGAGTCATGCCGTTGAGTGAATGTGATCTGAAGTTGCAGTTGACCTTGTTTTGATACAGACCTCCTTCCTTAATATATATAAAAAGAATCCTATCAGAGTGCTTGCAAAATACTAGTTAGTATAAGATCAACAAGATTTCCATAAGAGAGGAGGAAGTGTTGTATCAAAACAAGGTCAACTCCAGTCTTGTTTCCATCTATTACTGTAAAATGGCCTAATTCCTTGTGAAAAAGGTGGTTGAAGTAGTTAGTTCTCATTATACAGACTTTTGTTCTTGGGCCATCGTAGTTTATTCAAAGCTGTCTTTTATTTTTGAGTTAGTTTTCATCAGCACAACCTCATTTCCAGGCTCCTCTTCTACTCGTCCCCCAGGGACAGGGAGTAGAAGAGGGCCCTGGGAATAAGATTGTCACTAAGAAATGCCCCTCGTCAAGGGAGCTTACAACTTGAGAAAAGCTTGACATATGCACATTCCTTGGAAATTAATAATTAATTGACGCACGCATTACCTTTCTTGCTGCGTCTTCCTCATAGTATATCTTGATCAGACGCTCGCGTAAATCAAGAGCGCAATCGCTCAACGAATCGGCTAATGCTTCGTCAAAAGGGTCACTTGGGCACAAACCTAATAACCAACAGTACAAATTCGTTTTTTCTCTTATTTTTAGCTTTTCATAGGCCACTGGCATTCAAATTTGCCGCTTTGCTGATTACATTAAACACGGTAACAATGTCCACACATTCTGGGCCAAATAGCCACTAGCTGCATTAGACTACACAGTTTCTGTGTCAAATTATTGTGTTCAAGACACAATGGCACACCATGTGGTATGTGGACTGTTGTGATGCAAAAAATTATTTGAGACACAATCGTTATTGAATGAGTTGTTCTTAGTGGCTGGAAATTGATCAGGTTTTTCGGGGGAGGGAGGGGGGGTGAGGAAAAAAAAAAGCAGGCAATCAGTCTGCCCTTGGTACCCGCTTGGGTTTCCAATCAGAACATTAGGATTCTCTTTCACTTGCCCGCTTGCAAAACCACTCATACAAAATTCCATCTTCTAAGGAGGATGTCAACTACCCTTGGGCTTTTTTATTGTTCATCCTCCCAGACTAGTTTGAATTACGAAGTGGCTCTTCACATACATCTGGCTTTTGGTGTCCTAGTTTTCTCTCTTTCTCTTTTGGCCTCTTATTTATTCAGTTTCCCACTCCTTTTATCAGTTTAATAATAATATGATTAGTTATAATTATCATAACTGTGCCCGAATGAAAGGAGCCATTTCGTGTGTTGACATTGCACTTTTTGAATGATAAACATGTCAACTTAATCAGGAAATTTTAAAATATATTTTTCTTCCTTAGTTACTTAGTTCCTTAGCTCCTCTCTAAAATGAAAACATTACAGTTTACAGAAAACTGCAGGAGTCAGTCTCCTGAAAACAGTTAATTTCCAAAAGCCCGATCAGTTCTAAAAACCTTGTAATTATTATTGTCAAAAAATAAATTATTAAATTAAATTAATTTTTTAAAAAGTGGTTTAAAATTGAATCAAAATAAATGGGAAAAAAATTAACCTGTGAACAGAGCCTGTTCACAGGCTAGCAAAAAATGGGCGTGATAAGTCACGTGACTTAGAAAATCCATCATTAAAAATGAAACTGATATCCTTTCGTAAAAAAGTGTCAAGCCTACAAAAGTTTTAAGATAAAAGCTGTAAAATCCTCTTTGAAGCAGACCACCCCCTATAAATTTTCCGAGACCCTTTCCTTAATTCACCCGAGGAACTTTTTTTTGGATTGAATTTAGTCAGTGTACTGATGAACAACTCTTGTTCATAAATCACCTCCTTTCTTGCAGATATACTTGCAAATTGCACCAGACTGTCCCAGGATTTTTCCTTCGGGAGTCACAATGTAGGGCAATTCATCAAAAGGCGGTCTGCCAGCTGAAACAACAAAAAAACAAAAAAAAGGGATTAAACTTTTCTTTACAAACATTCCAACATTCACCTGTCAAAATTTTGACCATTCTTGGTCGAGGTTGTCATTTGTAGGCAGGAACAGGGGAACAGTGATATGCGGTGACACCAAAAGGAGAAAAAGCGACTCATTAAGCAAGTAACCACATGATTTTTCACGTGCAATTTGGGATAAATCAGCACTCGTGAATGTAAAAAAAAAAAACTGCAAACTTGGTTAGTCCTGAAAAATTTACTTGTGCTGATTTATCCCAAATTGCACTCGAAATCAATTGATTACGTAACAAATTGTAGCGTGACCTCAGTGTCCCCTGTGGCGTCCGAGAAATGTTGCTTGTCTTTATATTTATAATGTATTAGTCTTTAGTCAAAGGAAATCGTCAATTTTGGGTTAAAGCATTCTAATAAACATCGTGTGTTTGGCAAGATTGTCATTAGATTCAGCAGCGTGAACATAAGGTTAAATTTGCATTCGTGACAGGCCGTCGATAAAATCCGGAACACGGAACATGCCGGAACATTCCGGAACATCCCGGAACATCCCGGAACATGAAAAAATAAAAATAATTTTCATGAAAAAAAATATTATAAAATAATAATAATAAAATAATTTTTGTAAAAATTAATAATAAAGTAAAATAACAAAAGAAAAACAATGAATAATCAAGTAATCAAGAAAAAGAAACTGATTTCCTCTGTGAGTATGAGAAAACAATATTTTGTCGCAACAAATTAAAATTTGTTGGGCGAGTGAGGGTTCATGCAAATGACAGTAACGAGTGAAGGTTTGCTTCTAAATTCAAAATATATTAAAATGGGTCGCGAGGAGGGGGCTTTTTTAAGTTTTCCTCACACAGTTACCTCTTGTAATTGTTTGCCGTGAGTTAATTATTTGGCGGTTATCCATTTACGGTTCTGCAATGGTCTGAAATGTCGGTGCAGTATTTCATGTCAAGCCAAGTCGGTAAGTAGCTCATTTCAAGCCAACATATAGTCTCCTTATTTATAACCGACATTTGCTTACTTGAGGTGCTTTGCTTTCTTTGAACATGAATTACTTAGAGACTAGGCGGCTCTGTGAACTTAAGAAGAGTATAGGGGCTCCTGTCTTTGGATTTTAGTGGACAATACTCACATTCGTAGTAGTTTCTATACTGTTTACAGTCAGCATGATATTTCAGAAGTCTCCTCTAGTCGCAGGAGGAGTTTGCGGGGAGACGGCTAAAATTCAGGCTAACTGATAACAGTTAGAAACTACCGCTGCCACTGCAACTATTCACGGTGAATCTGAATCTTTAATTTAATTATCCAAGTCCAAAGCGACAAGCCCCTAAGCTCTTCTTTCGGTCACAAAGCCGTAAATGGATAACCGTTAAACCACATGGCAAACCTTTACAAGAGGTGGCTGTGTGATGAAAGCCTGAAAACCCTCTCCTCGCGACCCATTTTAATATATTTTGAATTAAGAAGCAAACCTTCACTCATTAGGGTGACCAGGGTGAGTAGGATGACTGGGGACTGTCATTTGAATGGACCCTTACTCGCCCACTGCAAAAAATTCATTGCAACAAAATATTGTTTTCTCATACTCGGAGATGATACCAGTTTCTTTTTCTTTCTTTCTTGGTTTGTTTCTTTATTTTTCGTTTTTATGTTATGTTATGTTATTTATTTTGTTATTATAAATTTTTGCAAAAATTGTTTTCTATCTATTGTTCCTTTTATTATTTATTATTATTATTATTATTATTATTTAGTTAATTAATCATTTTTTCATAAAAAAATATTTTAATTTTTTCATGTTCCGGGATGTTCCGGAATGTTCCGGAATGTTCCGGGATGTTCCATGTTCCTGGTTTTATCGACGGCCTTCGTGACATGATGTTTTTACTTAGGACTTGTTCACGCGATTTATTACATTTCTCGAATTGCTCTGGCTAGATTTTGCGTCTGCTATCCTTCATCAGTTCATACTTGTTTTGTGTGTTGTTTGAGTTGCATTAGTAGTAATCCGTGGGATTAAATATTGCAATTCACGCTGAAAACAACGAGCGGTGACAAATTATATGCAGACACGAAACACTTGTGCAAACATTCGTTATTCGTTGCATACGCGTGTTGCAATAGTCCAAAGTAGTAAAAAATTCCGGAAAATGCGTTACACAGCGAAAAAATGAAACCACATGAGCTATAGCCTCTGTACCCTGGAAAAAAGTTCGAGCTAAGTGAGCTATTGAGTCATTTAGTAACCGGATTGGAACAATTTGCTTGGAATAAATTGTTCTCATTTTACCGCTGCTTACGGCAAAAGCTCGGTAACTTTTTTTTCTTGCTTGTTGAACTTACCTCGGCTAAATAGAAAGCTTGATATAGGGTGCAATTTTTACCGACATTCAAGTTATTAAAATTCCTGACTTCGAGACGGGGCCTCAAGACTCCAGAGGTCCACTCGAAATTTACCGAGGATAAAATTAAGCGTGACCCTGATTTTAAACCCTGTTTAAATGCCGAGATTTCGAGACTCACGCTGATATTTTCCGAGACACACCATTTTCCGTCGACCGTTTCACAGAATTTATTTAAAAGTGTGTAACTAGAAGAATCGGAAAGTCTGTGATTATTGTGCAAATCAAATCTACTTACAGGCTTTCTCTTTTTGCCAGTCTTCAAAGGGCACTCTAACGTCCTCGAATTCAACTTTCGTCGCTACGAATGCCAGTCGAGTTCTTTCTCCCCGACCGCGGATTGGAAAGTAAACGTGCTTGTAGCCTGACATTTCTGTGGAGGTTTCAGAAGATTCTTGTGAACGCCCAAAGACACAATCGCCAACTAAACTGAGCGTGACTAAGCTAGTTTGCACAGTGCGACGCGCCTTCGTGGCCCCAGAACAACTTTTTATCAGTTAGCCAATCAGCGAGTGCGGATTTATTTGACCGTCAATCTGACACGCCTCCTTGCATTCTCAGAGCGATCAAAATACGATTTATTGACAGTATGGAGACTGTTTACAGCCCAATATTTTTTCGTAGATTTATCAGGATCGAGCCCTTTAATACGGGTCAGGCGACCTTTGGTTTCATCTGCACCGTGGGGGCGGGCCGGCGTTGGGGTTTGTAGCGGCAGGCGAGAAGGGAGGCGAGAAAAAAGAGACTGTCCTAACATCAAATTCATAGCTACTCACCATCAAGGAGGGCGTTGTTCCAGCAACGCAGGCTTGTGATTGATCGTTAACCAACAGATGTTAATTTGCGTTGACAACGGGAATAATTAAAATTGCCGTCACTGACAAGTCGTTGACAAGTCGTTATTTGTTCAAAACGCTCTCATAATACTAGCCTGCGTAGCAAGCGTTTCCTCGCAAGGTTCGTCTAGAAAGCTGGGACAAGAATATCCTTTTTTTTTGCTTCCGCTCTAACTTTCGCGTAATAACTCGATTAGCCTGCGTAGCAAGTTTTTTTTTTGCTCTTGTCCCAGCTTTCTAGACGAACCTCGCGAGGAAACGCTTGCTACGCAGGCTATCATAATACCCATACCCGTTCGCCCACAAATCTCCCATCAGCACTGATGCGTGATGATCAAAATATAAGGATTTGTATGGAAGAAAAAAATAATTGTTTCTGTAGCCTACTAATGTGAAACGATTTAACTAAAAATCAGCTAGCCTCGCTTAAGATGTTTGTTTCTTCTCTCCTGTGTGGTTTCCGAGTCGATTTATGGCCTTTTAATGGGCTTTAGGGGTTTGCAGTCTCTCTATAATTACAGAAGCATTTTGTCAGTTTGCCCTTAACAGGGTATGGATTTGTTTGTTCTAAACAGGGTGAGGGTTCAAGCTCTCAGCGGCTCACCTATACCAAAAGTATTGGTAGAGTACACCCCCCCCCCCCCCTCCCCTTCCCCTCCTCCATCATTCCTTTTTTTTTGCTCTCAGTCCCAACTTTCTCGACGAACTCGCGAAGAGACGCTTGCAGGCTAACCCCCCCTCCCCCCCGCCCTGCCGGGGAGTTGAAAGGGACGGCTCACTATTGAGCTTTTTATAGCCTAGCTTGAGAGTTGTTCATTTAGATATGGCGAGAAGTCACACGCGACATGGGCTCCTGCACGCGAACGGGTACGCGAGCAAAATGAGAGTGCTTACTCCCCGGGGCTTACTTGCAGCTATGCACGGAGTACAAAAACTCAGCAGCTTCTTTTATATTTATTCTTGTGCACCTCAAACGTAATTTTAGTTAAGTACATCACTTCCTTATAGTTCGCTTTTCGGGCGTTTCGTGATCCAGGCATTTATTTCCGGAACGTTTAACACCCGATTGTAGTGTTTCTCCAACAGCGGAAACTTCTTGAGCGGTTCAGGAACAGTTGGTTCACCCTTGGAAAGAAAGCTGTTGCAAAAGTCAAAGAACAGGATGTCGGCAGAGGTCAGCTGCAGCAAAGAAACAAAAAAAATATTATTATGCTTTGCAGGCATGGTTTATTTCTCTTTCGTAAACGGTCTTTGCCTTTTTTAACTGTCCAAGCCACCACTGGTAACCAGCCCCCCCTTTTTAGTCATGATAGACACGGAGACAGTTTTCGTGGGATCCTCAATGTCCGTATTAACCCTTTAAACCCTAAGATCCAAATTTGAAATCTCATATGTTGAGTCCTATTCATTTCCTACAGATGTAATGGGGAGAACTTGATAAAATATCAAGCAAATTCATCTTGTGTGATCATGTCCGTAATTCTCATGACCACTCTGTTTTACAAAGCATTGATAATTAAAAAGAGAAATTTGATGTTGATCACTCTCGGGACTTTTACTGAAAGGGTTAACGGAGTTTGACTGTGCTTGATTGCCTCATTCCGAAATCACCCAGCGCCACGCCTTGTTATTCTTCTAATCTTACCTTGTCGCCTAAAAAGAAGGCCTTGCCCCCATCCCTGCTTTTAAGAATAGCTTCAAAATTTTTAAGCTCGTCAGGAAGTGTAGTTTCGAAAAATTTCTTCGTTGACTCTTCCTAAAAAATAAAACAAAAGTTATCAGGATCATTTCTTCACGGAACTGAATCCTAAAATATAAGAAAAGGACCCGCGGCTTTCGGCATGGGGCTAGCTTGCTGCAATTTAAATCGCGGCAGGGGACCGACGGGCGGCAGAAGCGGTGTGTAGTGAGCTACGTTATAGGATGGGTCGGTGACCGTTGAGGGTGTTTTAATCTATAACTGTAAGTTTCTTTGTTCTTTCTTAAATTTCACATGTGAACTGAGACATTGTCGTGGGTAAAGCGTTTCTTGATCCAGGCTTTGAACTACTAGTTAATAATTGAACAGCTTTTCGAAGCCCTTTTTTCATTACAAGGTTGCTAAGGCGGAAGTGTCCCTTTACTGCCAAACTTCAGGCACAGGCTTTGTCAGCGTGCTGCTACTTCCACTCATTTTTGATCTTCCAGAAAACACTACATTGCACAGGGAAACAACGCTCGAGACAGCTTTGGAATTACTAGATGCTGCGTTCACCACAAGATTCGAAGCCAAGTGTAGACAATAACAAGCGCTATTCTCTCGCAAAATCGATCACCGAGCGTTCGGGCATGTTACGCTCCCCCACACAAAAACTCTTCTTTACTGATTCCTCCAAAATAATAGCAAATGAAGAGCTGGCTCGCAGGCTAATATAACGTATGCAAAACGGTCAATCCGATTTTTAGCGTCTCTCCCCAGTCTCACTCTCTGTTTTCAGCCTCGCTCCAGACCTTTTGTCGCGCGTACTTGGATGCCCAAATATTACGGACTGTTTTGCAGTTTAAAGGATCGAAACACGGATAGACAAACCTGAAGAACACTGAAACAGATTTAATTGTGGTATTGGAAACTTGTTAGCCTAACAATTTTTCAAAGTTCATTTTTGTTATTTGATGTAATGCTTCAAAGACATATCTTGTTTGATTTGCCATACTCAAGTTATTTCTCAAGTTACAAACCTCGTTCCCAGGTTCCTCTCTCTCATTCTTCCTGGGGGGCGATGAGCAGGAGAGGACCCTGGGAACAAGGTTGGTTAGACCAATCAACATTCAGACTTGGCACTGAGGCTCAGGAGAATAAATCAAAAGAAATCAGCAATGAATAATACATTTCTTTTGTTTTATTCCCTGAAGAATTACCCTGGGTACCACAAGTTTTTTCTCGCGTGCGACGAGGAGCTTCGTTGATCGCAGGCCGACAAGTCTTCTGGTCACTTTTTTTAGTCTTAACCAAGACCGGAAACGGCTCAAAAAAAGCCGCTGGCATCCAGGGTACCCAAGCCTTGTTGCAAGGTCGGAATTTTAATATACTGAAATTGGTCTATTAGCATTTCGGCCAAGCCATTACCTTCTTCTTTTCGTCTTTCTCAAAGTGTAGCTTGATCACAGCCTCAACCAAATCCATAGCTTCATCACCTATCGAATCCGCTGTCGCTTCATCGAAACTGTCAGCTGGGCATAGTCCTAATAACCATAGAGTAAAAATGAAATGCAGAAATAGAAAGGATTTCCTAAAAATGCATACCTTGCGAGCAGAGTCTAGGAAGGTCGAAGGAGACTCTGCTCGCAGGGTAAAAAATGCAACGCTGATGATGCATTTTAAGTCCGTCATTGATACGTTGGGAAAGCTATTTTTCATAGATTCTGTGGCTAATGATTGTCAAGCAGGTGCGGATTCACACCGGTTGCTACCATTGTACGGAAATCGATCAAGTTGCAGGACCATCTGGCCCGCTGGGGATTTCCCACGTTGGTCCAGCAAGAAAAAGTTATCTTTATGACGGCCATGTAATAAATCATTTATTGACCGAGCTTGCAATTTTTCAGCCAAGGTAGCAGGAATGTTGGCCTAGTTTAGTTTTTTTTTGCGTTTTAATTGACTGAGACGGAGTTGAGGTCCATAAAAACGCCCCCCCAAAAAAGTGGCTTATAGACCTTTGACACGAGGCGGCCATTTTGTCTCAGGAGATTTAGAAAGCTTTGTTTATGCACGGATAGCCTCGCTCTCTCTACGAGGCTAGCCGTGCATAAACAAGGCTCCTGAGGCAAAATTACCACCGCGTGACAAAGGTCTATTTCCAGCCATCTTGACTTCACGCTTGGTCAACACGGTACTATATTATTTTACTCTCTCGGGCGTCCAATCAGAGTAAAGAATTCCCTTCGTCTAGCTCGCTTACAAAGGCATTCATTTTTAAAACAATCTCTTAAGCATAGCAGGACATCAACTGCACGCCTAGCTACACCTTGTGCCTTTAAACTGGCCCCCGGAAATTTTGGAGATTGAATTTAGTTAACATACCAACGAAAAACCCTTGTTGATAAACCCGGGGGCCCCACTCACATATTTTAATGACGGGGGGGTCCGACAGAGGTTCATATTTTATACCCAAAAAATCCCAACTTCAGAATTTGTCTACCCAAAAAAACCCTACTTTTTTTTTAGCATACCCAAAAAAATCCCTCAGTGTTTTTGCATCAGCAAATTTTATTATTTATCTTCTGGAAAGCTAAAACATGCCTACTTCAACTTTGGTTTGAGCTGATGAAAAATACAATACCCCAAAAAAAACGGGTGTTGTTTTCGCGACCCAAAAAAATCCCGGCGTCTTTCATAGACCCCAAAAAATCCCTTTTGGCCAAAATGTCAGACCCAAAAAAATCCTTCGGACCTCCCCGTCATTAAAATATGCGAGTGGGGCCCCTGGGTTGATAAATCACCTCCTTTCTTGCAGATATATTTAGTAACTGAACCAGACTGTCCCAAAAGTTTTCCTTCAGGAGTCACAATGTAGGGCAAATGACCAAACGGCGGTCTGCCAGCTGACGCAAAAAAAGAAAACAGATTAAAAAAGAGATGAAAATTTCTTTACAAACACTACATTGACTCGTGAGAATTGCGAAATAAGGCGGTTTAGTTTCAATTCCCGTTGTTGGTGGCCGTGGACACTCCAGGGCCACTGTAGTTGGCAAAACGGAGATGCCAGCCCCCGCCTGCAAAAACTAAGTTGTCAAAAATGTCTTTTTTAGAAGTTCCCGACGTAAATACGAGATAATAGTCGAACAGACATCGATGATATTTCCTCAACTTTCCACCTTTTGCTTGTTTCAACCATTATGGTAAGTCGTATTGCTTGTTTTGTTGGACTCGTTTTGGTCGTTCCGGCCGTATCGCTCGAACACACGTTAAGTTTAGGTAATTCGTTTGGTTCGTTACGTCCGTTTCGCTCGTGTCGTTTTGATGATTTCGTTTTCGGCTGCGCATGCCCACCGTGAAACCTGCACTACACATACAAAAAAACAACAGTCTCAGAAATGTGATTGAAAGTATATTGGTCATGTTTGCCGTTGTGAACACTATGCCGTGATGTGAACAAAGTCGATTGCGAAGTCCAAGCGTCCTTATCGGGACCCTTGGATAAATATAGAGGTGTACAAAAGATAGGAGTGGTTTCGCTGCATTGGTTGACCGTCTAGTCGCCAATGCAACTCGGTAACAAGATTACTGATTAGGGGATTAAACTGCACTCGCCTACATAATTTTATTTATATACTCAGTAAACACGAGTAAAGCTTACCTCGCGCGTAAGCCATTTTCAATCGAGCATACTGTTTTAAAAGGCTATTTAAGTAATTAGACAACTATAATACCTTAAGTAATTGGAAAAAAGGGCGTGATTATTGTGGAAATCCACTTACATGCTTTCTCCTTTGCCCATTCCTCAAAAGGCAGCCTGGTGTCCTCGAAATCAATTTTAGCCGCTGCGAAAGCCAATCGAGTTCTTTCTCCTCGACCGCGGATTGGAAAGTAAACAAGCTTGTAGCCTGACATTTCTGCAGACGTTTGAGAAGATTCTTCACTGCACGCCCAAAACACACTTGCCAACTGAAGGTCTTAAAGAAATCGTGACTAAGCAGTTCTCGGTGTTTAATCAGTTGTTAATATATTCAAACATATGCAAAAAATATAGTGCCGTCTGCGGTTAACTTTCACTGAACCGTGTCATGTAACGCAGTATTGACTATGAACCTTAAGCAAAAATTAGAGCATATCTAGGGTACCAACAAAAGCAATATAAAACGCTTGATTAAAATAACGAGTCGACACAGGTGCTTCAAAGACGGTATGGTTGCATTGCGTGACGCGATTGGTACATTGGTGCTGAAACAACAGCCTTTCATGGTCTCATTCGGGCTGTTATGATCACTACCGGGTAACCGGTAGTAATGTTCCTACCCATAAAGTTTCTCTTTATGCATCGGAGAAACAATTTCACTGGCTAAAGAAAGTACGGTTCCTATGAAATCTCCCCGGGCAGGAGGGGAACTCGAGGCTCCAACCGAAAGGGGTACATGACTTTTTTCAGGCCTCAGGTATCTGAAAGGGTAGGGATTTCACTATTTAAGGTATATATGTAAGGAAAGATGTCATTTCGGTCTGTAAAAAAGGCCCAAAAGAGCTACCAGATGCATTTTTCGGCTGCGAAAAGGTCAAGAAAACGTTCTGGTGTGCATGGTATATTCATGTTTTAAGAACAGTGCATTTACAGCAGTCAGTTAAAAGGGATCGATGCAAAGTTCTAGACAAGGTATGTGAAAGGGGTAACATTTGTCAACAGAAGGTATACGAAAGATACCATTTCTGTCAAAAATGGTATATAAGAGGGTAAGGCGTGGGACCACGGGGCAGAGCCTCCCCGAAGAAAACTTTATTGAGTACCCCCCACGGGATTGTCTCGGCTCGTTACACAGGGTCCAGAGGAGACGTGTTTGTCGTTAGAACATCAAAACCCGGAAAAACCTGCGGTCAGGATCGCGTTACTATTTTTCGTTAGAAGCCACCGAAACCAAGACGGGGCGGTCTACCAGATAAAAGACTACGGTACCTGTCTGATCCTGCAGGTTTCTTTTTTTAATGTAAAGTCAACATGAAACTTTCTGCAGTGCCACTCACCGATCATATCAGTCGAAACGGCGATCGCTTAATAGTTTCTGCTCGAAATTTTGCCGGCAGAACTCATCCAAGCCTATAGTTGAAATTGGGTTGCCCTCTCCTTATTTTAGAGGCGCTTTGAAAATGCTGTGAAGGCAGTGTGGCCGGCTATTTGGAATGTCGTCACAGATTCCGCGGATTCATTTTCCATAACATATATCCCTTGGCTAATAATAGCCCATTTCCGAGGTACAAACCTCTCACTTTCAAAACGAGGCCAAGTGCAGAAATGAGTTTAATTTGCTAAACTTTGTTGTAGAAATGAGTTTTTAGGCTTGAAACAATTTGCGTGAGAATAAAAAAAAAATCGGAGACTTTATTCACGCTTTTCACCATTTTAAGCCTCGCATTTGAAAACGGAGGCTTCTGAAACAACTCCGTCCTCCTGGAAAAATTTATTCATGGCCGATATTTGTTTGATTGGGAGGAGGAGTCACATTTTTTCTGCCTTTAGGATGGGAGGTTGGGCGCTTATTCGAATAAGTACGTTACTCGTGGATGGGTATTCACCCCGCTTTGCATATCTGCATTGTCACCAGCATACCATAATTATTTTTTATTGGAACCTTTTGAGATGAAAATCTTCAAAAGATCTGTTTAGGATTACTGTACATACGCTCAGTCGAGAAAATTACCATTGCTTATATATTATTTCTACTTGTTAAAAATTACACCAATGAGAACTGTACAACAGACAATGTGTATAATATACTTACACTGTTTCTAAATCATAACTGCTAAGCTTTTTAAATGATGATTGTCATTTATCCAGTTGTTCAAAAGTTGGATTTTAGCGCTATCTATCAGATAAATCATATCCAATAGACCTATTCGCGATCGGCTAACTCAATGTTGTACCCAATTCAAATCTCCCCGGGGTTAAGATTCTTTGTATATTATATTTGCATTATAATGTGGCATTCACATTTACATGATATTCCTTGAGCTGTATTCCAGGTTAAGGGCCCGCCGTTACATGAGGGTGGGGGACCCCAGGTAGGTGAGGTAACATGTGGCGGGTTACCCCACCTAACATGTAAACGTGATCACATTAAAATGAGAGATTGTATGGACAAGCGGGTTACCCCACCTACGCGGGTTACCTCACCTACCTGGGGTCCCCCACCATCATGTAAACAGGCCCTAATTCCACGATATTTGACAAAAATTTTTTGCTTTGTTATTTAAATTTGTCAATCCCGGAGGATTACAGAACAATAGCCTTATTCCGTCGTTTGAGAAATGAGGCGAGAGAAAAATTTATCCACTCGTTGAGACAGGCGAGATTTATCCACTTTTTTAAACTATACAACGTATACAAGCTTATACACTCCAGCCTTAAACAAGGCCATGAAATTATCAGATTTTTACCAGTAAACTACACCGTACGGTACAGAAGTCCCACCTATATACCTTCCTTACATCTAGCAATGATTCGCTGGTGAGGAAATCTGAAAATGTGAGTTTCGACGTTCGTTTTTGGTAAAGAAAGTCTGTAAGCAACAGACTCGCTCAATCACGTACAAATATCAGGAAATTGTTTCCGAAAAGCTCTGTAAAGGGAGACTCACTAAAATGTATGTATGTACGTAGGAAAAAAGTGGTTCCCGAGAATTTTATATCCCACTGTCATTAGTTCAGAAGCAGAAGGAAAAGCTCGTTGCTGTTTGTTTACGTTTTTCGTAAACGTCACGTTGAGTTTCACGTGCTAGTCGTGCAAACACGGAAAGAAATGTACAAAAGTGTGCTGCACGTGCAGAGATGTTGTTTTGCATAATAATTAAGCCATTGCTTTTTTCAGCTCGTCGTTGCCGTCGCCAAAGAATGGTTGCTCAAGCTCCACTGCATGTTTCATACGTACGCTACTACGAGGTAAGAATTATACTTCAATCTATGAGCATACCAATGAAATATTTACTTCAATATGAAAGCTTTTAAGCTGCACTTCAAGCTCAAATTACATATACTGTCGGTAGATCATAGCTTCGAATGTACGGTCTAAAGCCTCGTGCAAAGGGACACAACATTGTTGGCAACAACTCCCAACATTGTTGTGAGTTGTTGCGTCCGTTTGCATGTAGCTAAAAGTTTGACCGGTTTCAAACTTTGCCCAACAACTCCAAACAAAATTGAACAACATGCAAAAGGGAGGGCAAAAGGACGCAACATGTAACATGTAACAATCTTGGGAGTTTTTGGTCAACAATGTTGCGTCCGTTTGCACAGGGCTTAACGAAATCCTGCATGCTCGTAGAATTAAAGTGTCTTGCGCCCTATAACATTTTCATTTAATAGTCTGTACGCAAAAAGGCTCTCAACGTTTAAACATATTACTATAGTTAGTGTTGCAACGTATATCGTTTATAAAAAGCTACTGATAAATATTTTCCACACTATTGCCCGTCATTTCTTCCCAGGCGAAATTAATATTTTGTACCTGACTGGAGAGGAATTCTTTTTTAATTTGGCCGGAATGTACCCTCATCTTCCTTGTCCCGGATTACGAACAGCCTCCCATTTTTTGCCACTCTACTCAAATTATGGGGTAAAATATGAGACCCACTGTCAAACCAAAGAACACGCGCAAGCAAAAGTTGTGTTACTGGCAATCTACGCCAAACTTTCGACGAAATCATCAACGTTTTTTGAATGAGGCAGGATGGCTCGCTTCAAAGAAAAACTACACAAATTGCTCAAATTAACCAACTCTTTCGACTATTGAATTTAATTCGTGCGTACCACTGATACTAACTATGGAAAAATTTAAAGTTAGTACTATCCGATATGTGATGATCCACTTTTAAGATCGACAGGGTGATGCTTTTTAGTAAGACGGCAAAAATTTGCTTTTGTACATGCGTTCCATTTTAAAAAAGGCTGTATGTATTTCCTGGCACCGGTCAAACTAGACCTGTTTCATGAAAGGTATCTGATTAACTATCATTCTTAGAAATTATATTAATAGATATCTTTAGCCTTATTCACACAAACATGACAACAGAAACAGATATGTTCTCCCTAACTTTTGAGACACCCTGACAGGCCCTATCTATTAACTTAAACATGACAACAGAGTAAGATATGTTCTCCCTAACTTCTGGGACACTGTGGTTAAGGAACATCCTCACGTGATCGCTCAGTCTAAGTAGTAAACACTCTCAGAATTGGCGTCAATAGGTCTAATTTTGTTGAAAAGGCGCATCGCGCCTAAAATAGATAACTTTTGGTGACATGTCAGATTCCCTACACTATTTACACCTGGTCGTTTCTATGAAATCCATAGTATAACCGACCACCATTTACGAAAAAGAGGTCTATACTTTAACCCCTACTAGTGTTCTTGTAACTGTTGCGCACTGTAAGACGTATGATGAACCGGTGGAAGCGGTTGTTGATGATGCATATGCATAGCTGGTAATGATGGATCCACAGCCGGCGGCTGAGGTGGGTGTGGTTGGGGTGGTAGCTGTCGAGGCGGAGGCTGCGTCGCTTGTTGGAGTCTTTTTGTTAGGTCATCTATTCTTAAATCTTTTAGGTGAAGCAAGTGTTCTAGTCTTCGAATTTTAACATTTAAAATCTAGAAAGAAATTATTACAATGATCATTATTAATTGTCGTTATAAATTGATAAGAATGAATAACAATTATTATTATTATTTATCAAATATCATCTTAAAATGCCAGTTACTAAATTACTAGTTACTGTTTCTAAACGCATTCGCCCCTGAACCGCTCGTAGTCGTCTGTGCCAGTGCACCTTGCGACCTAATCAGTTTCAAGGATTAAGGACAACTTTGTCACCTAACTTGTGAAGGGCGAAGAGATCTTTCAGACTGTTCCAGAATGAGAACGCTTTGGTCTAGGAGGTCGGAGAAAAAGGCAAAACAAAAGAAAATTCTAAAGTTGACCCGAAAATTTCACGAAAATTTTGTTCCACTACTCACCTGTACTTCCATTCATCTAATCCTTCGATCCTAAAAACTCTTCCCACCGAAATCAAGGCTAGTAAATGCCAAGCAAAAGGAAAAAAAATGGGGCAAGACAGGCTAAAGAGGAAGGGAGAAGAGAAAGCGAAAAGTGAAAGTCCAGACGGCTGTGTCACTTTTAAACTCAAAACCCTTCGAAATTTTTGTTTCTACATATGCCTAAACTTCTGAAGCTTATAATTTGCATCTCGAACAAAAGATCGCGAAGTACTCGACCTATATGGTTTAGGGCATTTTAGCGTACCTGAACAGTTTCTTGGGAGGCAAGCAAGGCTTGTTCCTTTTCTTCCAATAGCAATCTTGTATTTTGAGAATCTCCAGTTGTACCGTTTACGTCTTGGTATGACTGGGAGCGTGGCACTTTCCTGCAGACAAAACAATCAGCATGAATACTACCCTGCGAGCAGGGGTTTCTCCAAGGTGGACGCTACGCTACGCTACAAGAGGGAGACAAATCACTGCGAGCGACCGTTTGCTTTTCTATCGAGCATGCGCACCCACGTGACCTTTACGCCGAACGTCAAATGACATGTTCCCTACACGTATTCGAAAGCTGATTAATTTCCTCCGTTAAAAAATTTTGCATTAAGAGTTAATAAACGAAAGCACAATTTCGCTGCCCTTTGTTTCCCTGTTTTTCTTTTTCCCCGGTTCCCGTGGTTTCCCTGTCTTTCTCCCCTGTACAACAAACTCACCCTTTTCCTTGATTAACGGGAGCAAGTTTTGTTTTTTCACCCAGGGGTCCAGGAATGGCTGCAGCCCTTCCATCTCTGTTCTTAAACCGAGCATTAGCCCCACCTCGGGGACTGTCGCCACCTTGCTTGTCTGGAGGACGTGCCGGGTACGGCACTGCTCCATGTGGACCCATCACCTGCTGAAAGAACAGAGTGTTAAAGCATACGTGTTTCTCAAAAACAAACCATTGGAATTGCAAATACATATGTATGAAAGCACAAACACCGCGTCAACTTAAAAGTTGACGCCAAATTCAATTCTCACCCTGCAATGATAGGTAGTCGAATCGTAGCAATTTCAAGACTCTTTTATTCAAAACAAAAAGTTATGTATGTGACGAGAAAAATTAACGGCTTACTAGGAGACAACTTGACATCACAGACGATACGATAGAATACAGGCTATAATCAGACGGCGTGTGATAGGATAGTTTGGCGCGAAACAGTTCCAGAAGAAGGAGCAATAGCTGTGATTGGCTCAAATCGGGAAAGGAATGCGGTTCGAATGTGAGCAGCCATCTGTTGGGAAGGCGCGTTGCGTGACAAGACAAGAACGGCTGCGATTAAGCGGCCATAGTCTGTTCAAAGACCCTCTTTTTTCTCTTAACAGATTGTCGCGCGCGTTTATAAAAACAAAAACCGCGGGGGATTTATTGACCTCAAGCGCAAGGAAGTGGGGCTGGGGAAAGGAGGAAATGAAAGGTCTGTGGACATCTTTGAAAGCAACTGCAACTTACTTTTACCAGAAAAAGTAGCGGGCGAAAGCGACCAGTACTCAAAGTCCCAAAATGAATGCAGAAAATAATTGTAAATTAAACTTCTATTAGAACTCTAAACAACTGAGGCAACTTTTATTTGCACCTAAACTTCAATTATTTATACTGTTCTTAGCAGGCTCTTCTCCTCTTTTGAGTTTTTAATGTACAGTGTACCTCTCACATTAGGGTGTTTTATAACACCAAAAGTAACAAAATGTTTGAAACTTTTAAAATTTTTGATTGACTGTACTTACATCATTTGTGGCAATTGGTTGCTGCCCATAACCAGTATTAAATGCATAACCATAGTTGTTCTCTGGCCCTGAAAAAAAAAGCAAACACCATCTCTAATATGAGTTGGAGTACATACAGTCGAAGTCGTGATCAGTAAAATCCAGATACCAAAATACCAGTTGTTAATTATTTAAAGGGCTTGAAAAAAACTTGAATTCTAGCTTGTCCTTTTGGCAAGCGGCTCTCATATTTTGGCCACTTCTTGCCTTTTTTACATATGATTTTGTTTGAGGATGACTTGCCAAGACCTTTACCCATTGGGCACAGGTCAAGGCATGGCATGGCGAGGGTCAAGGCCCCACCTTCCCACGGAAAGTTTCACATGTAGAGGCTAAGTTCTCTGAAATGTCACTCCCTCATTTTGGGACCTATTTTAGGCGAATCAGCCGATGTAATTCCAAGCTATTGGCGTTCAGATCAGGGCAGGATTGTTCAAAGCTGGGTTCAGGTAAACCACAGTTAGCACTGGGCCTAGAGGTTAAGAACTTTGGGGTGACCTAGATGAAGAATGGAGAACAGGAATGGATCACAACTTGCATAAAAATAATTTTAGTAAACCTTCAAGTGCTTGCAGGTGCAAAGAAGTGTTGCTTTGTAATATTAAGAGGTAACTTTTCCCATAACTTAATAATTAATTATTAATTACCAAGATAAGGTTGTCCATCATCATACATATATGGTTCATGATCAGTGATTGGCCCATTGGGGGAAAACTCATCATAAACTTGTTGTTGCTTTCGTAAACTATCAGCCTTCTTCTTCGCCATAAACTTTTCAATCTGACAAAGGCAAAAAAGAGAAGCAATAATGACAAATAGTAATGTACCAGTCAATGTAATCCCCCCATCCCCTCAACCCGCGCCTAAGCGGGAACTTGGAAAAATATGCTAGAGAAAGTGAGTAAATGTTCCCACCTCCAGGGCAATATTTCTGTACAAATGTCTTTGCTTGTCCCCGTCTACCATGGAAATTGGGAATTCCAAGGGTTGACTTGCCAAACAACTTCACCAGCATGAAACCTCATGTTAACCTTTTAGATACGGTAATACCAATGCTCTAAAGAGAGGACCTCTTTAAAGTCTCCTCACGCACCCTGTTCTTTCCTGCGCCCATTACTTCCAAGCACCTGCTACATAAGCTAAGTTTTTACACATTAAAATTGCAATATAACGGTGGGTAATTTGCTTGCTGCTATATAGCTTCTTTGAAGCAGACAAGAAAATGGCTCAGTACAGTCTACAATTAGGGAGTGGGGACATACATTGTCTAATGATGCCAAAAGAGAAAAGAAGAAAATAACTCACTTTCATTCTAAGATTGGCTAACACAACTTCAATCACCCCAGGTTTACATTCAGCGACATCCTTAACAGTTGACTTTGGCACAGTATAGCTAAGTTTTGAGAAAACCTTTCCTGAAAGCAAACAGCGCAGAAGAAGAAAATAATCACCTGGCCTCACTTGTTCACACGTTGGATAGCGCCATCCAACGAATAAAAATCTATAGTGCTATCCAAAGTTTGAATAACCCGGGCCTGTACTTAAACGCAAAAGCATAATATTATCTCGAATATGTCTCTGGCTTTTGTTTCTGTTAGTAACAAATGAAGTTGACTTGACTTAATATTACAGCCTTGTTTTTCTTGAAAACCATGTATGTAAAAATTGATAAAAGGTCTTTGGGAAAGCTACAATGGATGAAAGGTAAAAGCAAACATTTGGCCAGTTTTGAGAAAAAAAGGCCTGAAATCTTAGATACAAGATGATTATCATTTCAACCCTTGCCCAGGGCCATGGTATCTTATCTTGCGTTTGTCTACTTTGCAGTTAGAAGATGACTTACCTGGCCCTTGCCCATTGGGATGGTTAGCATAGAAAATTACGGATCATTAAATGTTTCTGGGAAACTATCCACCGACCCCTCCCCTAAGCCAACATTAACACTTACTTCTCACATAGGGCAAAATGTTGGCTTAGGGGAGGGGTAGGTGAGCAGTTTCCCAGAAACTTGTCCTCAAGTACAAAAAAATGGCTCTCTAGAGAGAACATGTGTTAACAGTTGTTGTCATACAGTCTGTTGTGCACTTGTGGTTTAGTTGGCTGGCTATGAAACATACCCTGTTTTGTCGAAGAAAATAAAGTGTGACTTCTTGCATGGAAGAAAAAAAATTCTGATGCACAAAGTGATGCTCATTTATCTGTCATTATATAGCATGCTGTTGACTAGCGTCAAAGAGAAAATGAAGCGTGACTTCTTGCATCAGGGAAAAGATTTTTTTGATTCAACAGATCACACTTGACCCTCATGTTACGTAGCACCACGCTGCCCACAATTATTACCCCTTATTTGCAAAATTCATTCTTACTTTTGACTTGCAAAAAATAAATTAATAAAATAACAAGCAACGACTAGAGCAAAATAGACTCCCTTTGTTTGCAAACTGAATCATACTATGTTTTATATCTGGCCTTCAGAATTATCGCTTTTCTTACTCAGGGAAATTATGGTCATGGCATGACTGCATAGTGTACAGTTTCTATGGAAACTGTAAACACATGCAATAATCACAGGAAGCACAATCATGCCAATGGGAACTTACGGTTCAGTGTGTCCCAGTTTGTTAATTTCTGAGCCTGTGAACTTGCGGATGAATAGTTATGAATTTCCACCATCTTGGGGAGGAAATGAGCCACAATTTCTGCAACTAGGACTGAAAAAACAAAATTATTTTCAAAAATATACACGAGGCAATGCATTATAACATAACAGTTTGGGCAATTGCTATTAAAGAAAATGCAAAAAGCATGTGCATGTAATAGCTTCAAAGCAAAGTCATAGATTGAGATGATCTTCTCAAACTCATTAATAATTCATAAAGAAAATTCAAAGGAAATTAATGTTTAATGAGTGTTTGGATATCTGATGAAAAACTGCTCATTTTTGCATCCTTAATTTCTCCTTCAAAAATGATTTTGTTTGAGAAGAAATATCAAACATTCGACACAGTGTTTCATCACCAGATGAAACACTGCATCTCATGTTTGATATATTACTTGAAACTTGGTGCTAAAGCTTTGTACAAACAATTTTGTTTAATGCCTCCCCAAAGAGGAGCGTTAACTTAATAGTGTGCAAGGTATGTATCTGTCGTTTTGTTGGGAAAGCAATAAATTGTGCACTTGATTAAAATGCATGCTTGTACCTACCTAGCTAGCTAGTAGTTATACTAAGTTAATCTCAGAACTATAAGTTTAGGCCAACGAATGTTCTACGACAAGATCATGGTCACTTTCATACATAAAATTAAACATATACATTTATTTTACCTCCCTAATAACCTTTAAAAAATGCAAAGACAATTTATTCACAAGTTTTTGATTGAGATTTGATTTGATACGTATTTCATAAGCTGAACTTCTGTTGGTAGCCAGCAAATTTAATGTTCATATTCTGGTCATCAGCTCTCGATTTTATCAATCCTTGGTAATCTTAATATATTTTTACAAGATCCTGTCGATAACATTACCTCCATCGCTGAAATCTCTCCAAATGTTACGCTTCGGTCGAGATAAATTGATTTCGTCAATCCAAGTGTACAACTCTTGAAGTCCGTCTTCATCTAAGCTGGTAATAAGCTGACCTGGCGAACCTAACACACCAGACATAACGTAGATGTCACTTCAAACCTCAATTGAACTTCTTATATATCACATCGCTTTCCATATTACGGAAAATTCCCTGTATAATGGCACAAAACGTATAACTTGTGCACAATGTCAGACCGCCATATTGTTATACGATAACTCTGTTGTCATGACGTCAAAACAGCAGAGCAATGCATCATGGGAAAGTGGAGAGGGAGGTCAAACCAACATGGCGGCCTAAGGGCCAGTGTTTGCAGCATTTACAGACTGGATTTACAATGGCTGTAGACTCAAGAAACTCAGATGGAAAGTCTTCTTTTGATTCTGGACAACGCGATGAACGAGACTGGCCTGATTTTGCTTGTGGTGCAGGAGCCGCAGTTGTCAATATCATCGTAACCTTCCCCGCGTACAAGGTGATGTTTCGCCAGCAGGTCGAGGGGTTAAGATTTCGTAAAGCTCTGAGACAGGTCTTAAAAGAAGGAATTGCAAACCTTTACCGGGGCGTTTTACCTCCATTGATGCAAAAAGGTACTTCCCTTGCTATTATGTTCGGTTGTTACCACAAGTTTCAAAGAGTACTTTCAAAGGCTTTTCCCAACACATCTTCGGTGAAAACGAATGCAGTAGCTGCCTTACTAGCTGGAAGCTTGGAAGCTTCTTTGACACCATTTGAACGCGTGCAAACGTTAATGTCTCATCGAGGCCATAATGAGAGATTCACAAATACTTTTCATGCTTTTAGAGTTGTAGGAAAACAGTTTGGACTACTGGAATACTACAGAGGCCTTACTCCCATACTCTTAAGGAATGGACCCTCTAATGTGCTCTTCTTCGGCCTTAGAGGCCCTATAAAATCCTTCCTTCCAGAGACAAAGACTAGCATTGGTAATGCAGCCAATGATTTTGTCAGTGGCGCAGTCTTAGGTGCTTGTCTTAGCACATTGGCCTTCCCGACAAATGTAGTTAAAAGTCATATGCAGAAACAGCTAGGAGGTGAATTTATCAATGTCTTTAAAGCCTTCAATGTTGTTTTTCAAGAGCGTGGTAGAAGCATACGACGTCTGTTCTACGGTGTGTCGCTGAACTACACAAGGGCTTTAATGTCATGGGGGATAATTAATTGCACATATGAAATACTCATGAAGTTGACTGGCTTTGGACAGCTATTGCACAAAAAGAAATATGCAAAGGTGTAGATTTTCTAGCCTGCAAAAACAGACATTTCTCCATGCTCATCGCCACTGGGAGACGTTTCACGAGGAGGAACGTCTGCGACTCAGCGACAAAAATTCCATACTGATGACGTAAAATCTGTCTGGAATCCGGTCATAAGCGCTGATTGGATGATGGAGGAGTTACATTGTTTTAGCTATTGTTTTACGAATGACAGACAAAAGACAAAAGGCTAAAAAGGTCAAAGGTAAACGCAATGAATCTATGACAAAACAGTCAATATTTGTGGACTATCATCTTCTCTAGTAGAAGCATTTAAGTTTTGCTAGTGCTCCTTAATTCGCAGATGAACACAAAACTTGACCAAAATCGACCAGGAGTAAACACTGATTTATGTCATCAGTATGGAATTTCTGTTGCTGAGTCGCAGACATTTTTCCTTGCGAAATGTCCCCAGCAGTGAGGAGCATGGAGAAATGGCTCTTCTCTCAGGCTATAGGTTTTCTGTTAACAACATGATCATCAGGTGACCCACTGAAGCAAAGAGAAAAAAAAAAAGCACTTCTGGGGTACCCTGTTCCAGGTATTCAGATATTGGTGGAGTAGTGCAGAATGGAGAGGAGAGGGGAAAGCGGAATGAGAAAGGAGAAAATGCCTAAGAATGTTGCCAGGCATTCCCTCTCTTGATGAGCTGTTTCCAGTTCCCTGATCCTCCCCCTTTATAACACTATTCTCTTCGCTTCGCCATGTCCCAACTCTCTGAACACCTGGGCCGAACTAGTTCTGGCATAGGCAGCAATTCATATCAGGCGTTTATGATTTTGAAATGAATTCTGTTTTGGATAGATACAGCGTAATCAGGAAAAAGGGGGGAAAGCTCTTGTTTTCCTTTTCTTTCTGCATTAAATGCTTTATCTGTAATCTGGATTCCAGATATATCATTTAGGCTGAACAGTGACCAATGTGTATCATTGACTGTATATTGAAGAATATCAAACTGTATGGGTGCAGTGTGAAGAATTTGAGTTCAGTCTTGAGCTAGCAAGTTAAATTTACTGTGCAAAGGTCACCAAATGTTTACCTATAGAAGGGTAAACAGTCTTGAAAACTTGAATATTGTGCTTTACAGGCCAGTGAAACACTCCATTCAAACTGTGAGCCTCTACAATCAGGCACAATGCACTAACTTTGAATATTAAGTGCGCGTTTTTACACTGGCATTCAACCAGCTCAGTAGCATAAAGCGACTTAAATTGGTCTCCGAGACACAAGCCCAACATCTTGTGTTCAAATCTAATACACCAGTTATGTTTACCTGAATTGCATATTAGGGCTGTTTATATGACAGAAAAATGAGGCTACTTTATAATCATTAAACCATCACATCAATGATATATTTCCCACATCTCCCAAGCTTGGTCAATGCCAGCTGGTTATGAAGAATTAGCTGGGGTATTTGAACTAATCAGAAATTAAATATTTGATTTCTTTGTAATGAATAATAATGTGTTTTATTTAACATCTGAGTCTTCACTGATTTTTATATGTTCAGGCTGACCTTTTAATAATGCATCAGTGATTTGAACCACTTGCTGGACCTGACCCCCAGAAAATAGTGGTTATTTATCATTGACCTATTTTTGAAACACTGCTAATCTCTCTGCCCCCTTTTTCTGCTTGGACTAATTATCTTCCTTTGAGAAAATGAAATAAACAATACTTGTGCAAACTTTTATGAGAAAAACAAATAATTCCATTATGGGGAACATGAAGGTTGCAGATAGTGGGGTATCTGCTTACTTCAGAAGCAAATAAAACACAACTCAATCAGGGGTGTAGGGAATAAAAACTGTGTATTACAGTGATTTTGTTACAAATAGTTAAGGTGAGTCTTGGGGCTCATTTTGTGAAAAATTATGAGTCCCAGACTTGAGCAAATCAGTCCCAGTTAAAAAAAACAATGAATCCATAAATTGAAAATGCTTAGACCTTTATGTAACCAGACAGTTAATCTGAAGACAGACCCCAAAACTTTTTACTACAGTATACTGAAATTAAATCTAGTCCTTCTATTTTAAGGCACAACAAAGGCTAAAAGAAATACACATCTTTAAACAACAGCCATAATAACTGCGACAAAAATTACATGATAAGGATATTTCTTCAAAAACACATGGATCGATCAACCCCCTTACTGATCGATCTTTGTGTCCTACAGGATGCATGTCATAAATCATTTTGTGTCTTTAAGGCGTTTTATGCATCAGGGATGCCGGGTGCAGAGAAAACAAAATTACTAGTAACAGTTGTCTTTAATTCACTAATTTATATCTTATCACAAAGTTTTTTTGCCAGGACCATGCCAGTTTCAGTTGCAGCACTGAGTTTTGCGAAGAGAAGACTTCTTCAAGACAGTAAACTGACAAATACGGTACATATCTTTTCTGCATAAAAATAATATAATAATACTGGGGTATTTAAAAATATTGTGTGTGTGTGGGAGAGGTGTATTATCCTAGTACTTAATACGATACAGAGTAAACAGTTATTGGTTTAGGCTGAGTATCATCTGACAAATTATGGAGATCAAGGAGGGTGAATCAGCCTTGGCAGACAACACCTTCTGAGATCTCCATAATTTTTCAGATGATATGAAAGCTGAATTCAATATTGTTTTAATTGTTCATTCAAAATAATTCCTTGTTTAAAAGCAAGCTAAAACATGCTTACCTCCATCAATGTTAAGTTCATCTTCAATTGCTCATGTTTATTGGCGAGTTTAGGAGTTAAAGGGTTGTTCAATACTGCAAATATTCTCCAAATAGTAGATGCTGTCCGTCAAGTTGTCTTCCTGCTGTTCTTATTATGTTTTTAGGCAAACGTTCGACTATTTCTTTCTCTTGAAATGAGTGAAATGTTCTGCCATTTTGTACTCACTACCAAAATAACTCGTAAGGTGGCCTTGATTACACTTGTCTTCCCCAGGTCTTCTTGATTACATTGTTCAGTTTTCTGGCAATTATGCTACACAATTGACATCATTTTTCACACATTGCAAAATTCTTCCAAATTTGGTTGGCAGTAGCTGGTTATTATGAATTATGTATAGGATTTGAGTGGATCAGAAACAGAGAAATATTTTAAATGAATAATAATTATTATTATTATTATAACTTATTTAACAACATTATGATGCACTGCTTGCCAAGCTTCTGCTAACATGGCTAGATATTGGTAAAGTTCTTTTTTTGAGTTTTTATGGAGCAGAACAAAGTGATAGTCCATAAAAAAGTAAATTTTATTTGAAGCCAAAACAAAATTATCCATTCTGTGGAACAAAGTGGGAAATCCCAAGCAGATAGAATTGGATACACCCATCTAGCCTGCTTGGGTAGTCTATCAGAAAGCAATATTTGATAATGGTCGTGGTAATGGTAGTGGTTGTGGTAGAGGTAGTGGTAATGTCAGTGGTAGTGGTGGCGGTGGTGGTGGTTGTGGTGGTGGTAGTGGCACTGGGTTGTGGTTGTGGAAGTGTTGGTGGTCATGGTCATTAATTGTAGTAGAAGTCACAAGTTGGCCAGCCCCTCTTGATTTTTGAGACTATCCCTTCCCTCAAGGTCTAAATGAGTGGGTCCCCCTTTCTTTAAGGTCTGGGTCTGATCACTACAATTGTTCACTCCCAAAAGTGGCAAAAGTTGAAACTTGACAGAATTTCCAAATTTCATTTGTAAAAAGATGAAAAACAAAACGTTGTTTCAAAGTACTTGAAAAGAAGTTTCATTCGAATGTTAACATCACACGGTTTTCATACACAGACTAAATAGTCAGAGCCACCCTATATTGTTCCGTAATTCACTCTCAAAGTGAAAGAATTAATGGCGTCCAAATCGTTTGCAAAATGGTTGCCCCATATATCTGCTAGCACACTTAAACCTGCTCTGACACTGAGATATCGCACAGTTGACTTTTGGCAATTTCCTGTTCAGCTGTTGACTGTGGGAGTGAATGAGTTTATTTATCACTTTTGCCTCTTGACCATTCACAAGCTAAAGATTTGTGGTGGCTTTTTGATATCTCTTTTTTCAAATTAAATATTTTTCCTTTTGCAGAGTCTACGAAAGATAATTCTGTATTTTTTTTGCTGGCTCCGGGGTGAGGAGGGTAGGGGTGTCTTCTTCGGGCTTTAGTTGTAAAAGACGTGCAGCCTTCTATTTTTATTAGTGAAAGGGGTCCGCGTACCATTTGTTAACAGAGGTGAATGAAAGGGGTACGTTTTCTGTCAAAAATGGTACATAAAAGGGTAAGGGGTTGGACCACGGGTGGAGCCTTCAGGTATAAGCTCTCTGACTATCGTATCAATAACAGCAGAAGAGAAATACGAAGTTACAAAATCTTCGTTTGAAGGATCAAGCCTAACAAGGGACTGTCATTGACAGTTTTAGTTGGCGCCCTTCTTTCCGCGAAAATAGCGCCTCCTTTAAGCGCAAAATGAGGGTACTTTTGCTAAGCAATAGCAGTACGGCTAGGAGTGCGTTCTTTTTTTTCTCCCTGCCATGACTTAACCTTCATAATTATAGTTAAAACAAACCTAACAGTAAATAAAAGCGCACCATGTAAGGTCAGTGCTTAATTCGCCACTTAAGATCAAGAAACGAAAAGATAAGTGGAGCCGAAATGCGTCCTGTGTTTTTGGCATCTGTACCAATCTCGTTCCTAGAGTCTGCGTTACCTTTGTCCAGCAGAACGGGCAACGGGAACTCTGGGAACGAGATATTAAAAGGAAGCTTAAGCAACGATGACGTCGACGGCTTCGCTTTATCGCGCTTATTCCATCCCGTTTAATTCGTCAAATGCTGTCAAATTTCTTTGGAGTTGAACTCTAAACGATTGTATCAAAGTTCATGAAAAGAAAAAGAAAATTGTTGTTTTGTTTTCCCGTCCTCGACAAAACGGGAAATTAGACATTTTCACGTTGTAGTCTTGCAACGACGGCTAAGAAGTGTACAAAAAAAGCACGATACAAGTGCAAAGTTATTATTTTGCCAATCTAACCCTATTGGTTTATTGCCGTTCTCGTTGTTGTCGCCTTCGTCATTGCTTAAGCTCCCCTTTGCTGGGGAATCGCTAGTCAGCTTTTCCCCCATTGTTTATCCTTGTCCCTAGTAACAGTCTTGGCTTTGTTTCCTTCTAGTTTCCAAAGTGGCGAATGGCGAACGAAAACATTTCAAAGAGAATTTCACTCACAGCGTTTTTAACAATGCAAATTTTTATTCCACCCTGCTTTGTGAGCATGTCTCGTCAAACAGTATTGCCCCAGCTTTAAATCCTCCATGCAGTGTTTCATAAGAAAAGGTTCTTGGAATAAACCTAATAACCCTGCGCTGAGCTTTCCACACGCGTTACCCACAGTCAGCAAACACAGTGCGAACTCCCTCCTTTCGGGATCAGTAATCATATCTGAAACAGTGTGAGCTGAGTTCAAGTACATCGAGCCCGCTGTAAAACCCTCGGTCGCGCATAAGGCAATAATGATTTCCACACGAGGTACAAATCGAAACCAAGACGCGAGGAAGAAGAAAACCCCGTGTAGAAACTCTATCAACGCTAAAATCCACGTCCGTCTGATTCTGACGTGTTGAACTAGTTTAGGACAAACAGCGGAAACTAATAGTAAGTGTGAACGGCCCATAAACTTGCCGATGTGATAAGAAAGTATGTAGTATGGATAATGGTCCCGAGGTTTGAACGGTGCGTTTGGAAATGCTATCGTTGTTATAATGGCGTGATTCGAAATATACTCTGAAAAGTATGTAATCAGAAGGAATAAGATATAAGGAAATATTTCCTTAGCGACTAATAATCTGTCGCGAACGAAACTTCCTTGTTTATCCTCTAAGTTGTCTCCTTTTGGTAGAATGACGTCATTTCCGATTGACGGTTCTTTTTTCCTGATAGGCCCCTTGTCCAAGAGAGCGTAGAGAAGGAGAAACAAAAGGGGCCATGGTATAGTGACCATGATAGTTGTCCGTGGTGATAGGCATGTCCATGTTGTCAAACCTGTCAATCAAATAAGCCAATGACAATCAACTTCCTCTTAGCGTATTAACGTGACGTAGGATCATGAATTACTTTTGTTAGTTTGTTTTTTGCTTTTTACTATTTATTTAAATGTGTTTTAAACGATCATGATTAATTTTTAAAGTAGTCAAAAATTAGTTAATTTGTACGCATTATATAGACTTTGAAAGACACCAAGAGGTGACCGGCTTAGGCCCTTTGGTTAGAAACTAAGGCTGCCTGGGAAAATGCAGCCTAGCTTAAAGAAGGGAGTGGGCACTCCTTTTACCCCTCAAAAAGTGATCGCGTGCGACTGGGGACGATGTAGGGCCGAAAGCTTCTATATCTTTGATTGGTCAGAGCACGTAAGATTCTCACACTATTGTAGACTGAATCATCTTTCGCGCCAAAAACTTTCAGCCAGTTTAGAGCATAGTGGTCTTTCCAGTAATTCTTTGATACTGAAAACGTGGATGATTTGCCTATACTTACTGGTGTAATAAAGAGGTCCAACGAATGACGCAACTCCGACACCAGCCACAAACGCACTCACTGTGATATGTTCATAAAACGCAGTCAGTGAGAGGAACGTGATTTCGCTTGTAGCCACGCCAGACTCAACCACACCCACGCCCGCTAGTCTTCCTGGGATGTGTGGGGAATAAACTAGCGTTCCCAGTCCCCCTATCAGAAACACGACCACCAGCGCGATTTTCTTCATATACGACACGCGCTGGAAAAACCAGGGAGCGATGACTTTCACGGAAAGAACTGGTATCGCGATGGATAGAATTACTGTTGTGGTAGCGATTTTAGATCCAGCAAGAATATCCTCGGCTGCTATCAGGCAAATTTCATCGTAAATTAAGGACAGGATTCCGAAAAGGAAGAAGCAAACGATGTTTCTTTCATTTTCCGTGTTCTCTGCCTGGGACATCTTGGTCGGCCTACAGTCTTTTGCTGGTACTAAATTTTCAGATTCTCCTATGAGGTGATCCTTCCAATGGGCTTAAGTTGACTTGAATGTTTGCCTTGAGTAAGGAATGTTTATATGGTCCAGGAACTTTCTTGTCATTCTTTAACGTAAGGATATGAAACAAAAACGAAACTGACATTGTGAAAGAATAATATCTATGCTACGTTTCGTCGCATTCTTGCATAAACATTATAGAGCTGCCGCTCTAAAATTAGTATTACTAACCCTAACCCTAACCCCGCTTGTTCAAACGTTGAATAGCGCTATCACTGGATAAATCATTATCCTGCGGATAAGTATTTGGGAAACCAATTGCACTATCCACTGGAGAGAGATTTATCCATCGGGCAGCGCTATCCACCTTTTGAACAAATGGGGCGATGGAGAGACTTTTCTCCAAGGCTCCTTAATCGAAAGGCAGGGTAATTCTGACGAGATGATAGAAGGTAGTATATATCGAGTCATTTAGAAAAGCGGAAATAAGAGCGTGGTTATAATCAGATGTTTGTTTGCTGATGTGGTTGAAATACTACATATCTAACTAGAAAAGCTGGAGAAGATTTTTGCTGCAGTTTTAAACGTACCTTTATAACTATCCACTAGTTGACAAACGATATCCATTTGAATGCCTCATAATTTTTAGCTTTCATGTCAAGGGAATCAAAAGTGTACTTCCTTGTTTAACCTGTCATCTGTTAAAACGGGTTGATGTTATATTTACGAATGCAGACACCTGTCTAACAACCTGCTTGCTTAAATCTCTCCCCTGGTAGAAATTGACATGTTTATTTTGAACCCATACTTTGCTAAACTGTCTCCATTTTGACAATAAAAAGTCAATTTGGTGTAAAAGTGGCCTCCAAGTGGCGAGAACTGTGCAAAACAGCAAATAGCCCACGCCCAACCCAAAGATGCCCAAACTATTTTTGACCGAGCAGGACTGGGAAATGTTCCCGTCCAAGTCCTCAACCGCACGCGCGGACATCGAGTTCATTTGAAACGCCTGGTTGTAAAGCACTGTTTACGTTTCACGAGCAAGGTCTGTTGAACGATGAGATTTAAGGTTTTCTCAAGAGTTTGGGCAACATATCAAAGACATCTTTCCACAAACCCTTGGAGAACTCAAACGCTAACAACAGGTATGATAATCTTGCGTAATTGCTTTCATATCGCAGAATTCGCTTCTGTGATGCGATCGATTGTATCAATCCGGTCAAGCTTGTTATAAACAACAGTTAATTAATCCTTTTCATCCCCTCGAGAACACGTACAACTCATTGATTCCTAGCTACAATTTGTGACAACGTTACTGCAGCCTTTAAAATGATTGTCACTTTAAGCGTGCCAAACGAAAATTTATTCAAATTCAAGCCAATTCTGCCCGGATGCTTCGTTTTTATCGCCTGAGGCATAACCGGAAAAAAAAAAAAAAAAAAACATGAATAATAAATAAGTAAAACACAAACAGCAGGTAATTTCACTCGGTATTTCGAAATCAAATCGAAGTTTCAACATTCCCTCCCTGGGCAACCCTCAGGAATTTGAAATTTTAAAAAATTCTTCACTCCCCGGATCCCCAAGCCAAACTGGAGGCCATTCAAATACCCTATTAAGGTCCATTTAGGTGATCAAAAACCCCCACCCCAGGGAAACTAAGATCAGTAATAAGTAACAATGTAGCTTTCTAATTTAGTGTGGGAAAAGTGCAGCCAAGCAACAATGTAGTACTTGTATAAGGCAGCCTTCTGGGTCTCATTGGCATACCCTCAGCCAAAAATTTACCCAGTGTACCCTGGGGGAGGTATGTTAGGATTGTTTGGGTAGGGATGTGCCGCTGGGATCCCGAAACACTCAGCCTATATCAGACCTAGCTGGGCTGAATTTTGCTACAATAAACTAGACTTAACTTCCAAAACCTCTCCCTATGCTAGGGTGGCTTTTTTTCCAGAAAATACCGAGGTCAACACTTTCTTTGTTATTAAACTGAGTCGTGGGCAAATTAAGACAATTTGCCAATTGATCAGTTTCCTCAAAAATGATAACCTATTCTAGACCCTGACTCTGTAATTTCTAAACCCTATCTCAGACTAAGTTGCTTGAAAACCATACCCTTCACAGCAACACATACCTGTATATGCCATTTAAATATTATATAACAGTATCCCCCTTTCCAGGGAGTGTACCCCCTCCTCTCCCTCAGAACTATTCCCTAAAGCTGCAACTTTGAAGACATGTTAAAATGTTTCTTATTGCATTGTTTCAGCCGTGTTGTTTGTTGTCAGTGATACCTTGACTCAACAACTAGTTGAAAAAAGAAGATGGAACCACGATGGCAGAAGAACGCTGCGGATGGGAGTTATGGGCATAATTGTTGGACCGATTCAAAGGACATGGTTTCTTACACTGGAACGCTTCATACCCCCTACATCCAAGATACAGATTGTCAAGAAATTAATTGTAGACCAAACAATATATGGGCCATTTATTATATTCTTCTTTTATTCACTCTCTGGGATTTTGGCTGGAAAAGAACTCCGTGAAGTTAAACTATTGTTGCAAGAGAGATATATCAAGACTATGCTGACTGGGTACAAGATCTGGCCTTTGGTACAGGCAGTGAATTTTTCAGTAGTACCTCTTCAGCACCGAGCCAATTTTGTTCAATTAGTTTCTCTTTGTTGGAATATGTACCTATCCTGGATGGCAAACAAATCAATAGGTAGTGATGAGGAGCTTCAAACTCGTCCTGAATTAGTACCCAGTCAACAAGCCAAAAACATTTAACAACTTAACTATATCACTAGCCAGAATTGCAGCTCAATACTCGATGCATCTCGACCAACAGAACAAAAACTATATAACAATTTCGACTAACCTGCAAATTGACAGAGGACACATGACTGAGAAAAAGGACAGATCATAGACCGCTCATGGATAAAAAGATTCACTGAAAGGTGACTTTTTAGGACAATAATTAATAACAATTATTGGAAGAGGTTGAGCAAAATATGGTGATTTGTCAGTGGCAAGCAGATCAGCGAGTACAAGGTAAGGGCTGAGGCAAATAATTGACTTGCGCAACACTGACAAATCAGGATATCTTGTGACAACCAACTTCAATAATTACATTGTTTTATTATTTGGTCTCTGAGTTTGTATCTGCCATTTTGCCATTTTCACGTAAGAGTGATCAAATGAAGGAGAAACAAGTGGTTTCATTTACTTATAAGCAGAACACCATTTGCAGCCAAACACAGTTGGATGACATTGCACATGAGTAGATCATTACTTGTAGGCAGTTATTTGCAGGCCACGTTGTTAGCTCTTGGCCAATGAAAAGGAAGACTGAAAAGCTTGCATTGAATGATAATGATCAGTTTTTAATTCCCTCAACAAACAGAACACAAGTCCATTCTGTCTCTGAAGATGACTTTTGCGTGGAGAAAAAAATCAGTCCCTGACAAAAGTGGTTCTATTAAAGAGCTCTGCACTTGGATGCCCATATTAAACCTGGATATGATTCCTAGCCTTAAATCATTACCAAAAAAAACATATAAAATTATTACAATTTTTTATATAATGCAGCTATAAACATACGCATACATATAACTTTATTTCAACTCAGATTTGAAGTAGCTCGCAATCTGAGTGAAATTCAACATACAAAACAAAAAAATAAAACATAAAATATCCACATACGTGCATACAAATAGTCTCATTTAAAAGCTACGCAGCAATATTGTATTTAGAGTTGTGGGCTTGAATATGATGAGTGTCTCCAAAATTCTGATGCCATCAGTCAGTGTATGTATTCCACACTGGGGGCAGGGGCATAGCCAGCCCACAGACCTGTAGGCCTAGGCCTACAATTTTTTGGTTTGATCACTCCAGCTTGTAATAGATTATGCATTGTTGGGGGTGAGCTAAAAGGCGTAAGAGCTCGAAGTGTTGGTGAGGTCAGTGCGTGCTAGTCATGCGAGCAGTTTTCAAGATAATTATGTGGAAACGAAAGTCAGCCAGGCCTACAACCTAGTCAAAAATCTGGCTACGCCCCTGCAGGGAGCAGCATATCTGAACAGTAACTTATAGGCACTAAGGCTCTAAGGTTGTAGGCTGTTGCTCGCTCTGCTTAGTGCAGTGACCATAAAGATGAAACCTCCTTTAGTTGGTAGAATATTTTCTATGATAGGATTTATTACAATTTTTTACAATTATATCTATTAAAATTGATCATAAAAATTCATATATAGTGATCGTGATCATTGTTAGTGGTGTATTGATCTAAGACCTCCTTGGTTGTCCTTCTGCCAAGAGTCCTTAGCATCTCTTCTGTACTCACAAAAAGAATCTTTTAAATTTACTACTACAAGTCTTTAGTGTAGAACATGTTTTTAAATAAGATTGACGAAGTTGTTTCCCATAAAAGAGTTGCGTGCACTATCATAAACGGACTTTGTTAGCAGTCTGGAGGCTTCTTTGTGCCTTTCTTCACCTTTTTTTTTTTAATTCATCATTATCTTACTTCCTGATGTTTCTGTTTGTTTGTGATCCGCCAATTTCTATGAAATGAAAAAAGTATGCCGTTACCTTGGGACAAGCTCAAATTGAGGGAATCTGAACAAAAGTAATTGCTTTTATCCTTACAACAAGATAAGAAAGAAAAATTTCAAAGCTTGTTTCCAAGTTATGGTGGGTCCAAATCAGCCGTAGGTAACTGGCTTTTATATTGGCCCTAATTAAGGCAGCCAAATTAGATCCAAAAATATTACCGTATTTTACGATACATTCCTATTTTTAGGCTAACACAGCACTGTGCATGCATTGCGTAGGGGCCTTGTATAATAACCAACTTTAACTAATATATAGGTTTAGCCGGGCTAAAAGAGAAACTCTCGTTAATATACTTATAGTTTACTCAAACAAAAAATAAAATCGTGTAATGCTGAACGGCGACGGCAACGCAAACGGTATAAAAATAGAAAGCTCTAATTAGCAAAAATACAACTTTGCACGCGCAGCGCACTTTTTGTGTACATTTCTTTGCCGTTGTTTTGCACAACTACAACGTGAAACTTCCTAGTTACGTTTTATGGAGGAAATGTCGTATGTGCTCACAAAAAAAATGTTGCTTGTGTTCCTGTTGGCATTTATATTTTATTTTTGCGCTGCCGCTAGCATTTCTCATTTTCTCACCGCAGCCTATGAATGTTTTGCTTTGGTTTTTATCTTTCGCTTTAACTTTTTCTCTGTTATCCACGACGGGCGGACGTACGCTGACGTAATAATTAAATTTTCTGCGTGATCGATGGGTTTCCAATTTTTATAGCAATGGGGCTCCGCCGCGAGCGCTCGCTATTACAGGACTTTGTAAGTTACACAAAAATCCAACCTAAATTTCAACAAATGTTTATGTCTAATAAACTGAACTGTTTTAAACAAGCGGAGCTAAAAAAAATTCCGTGAGTTACGTACTAGAAGACGTCATCACCTTGAGATAACATTCATGTCTTGACAAGACAAAATTGACAAAATGTTGACCAAGTAAGTTGAATAACAATCAAAAAAGTTTTATAAATTGCGGTATGAAATTTTTTACGAAATTGCGACAGCTTACTTTATTACAAAGTGCAATGGACTGTCTAATTGATTCCAAACTGCGTCAACTTTTTTTTTTGTTTTATAATCACAAAGTGCGACAGGGTTTATTACATTGCGACAAGGATTACAAAACTTGACGATTTTACTGCTTGCAACAGTACGCGCGTTCCCTCCACCGTCCCTCCCCTCCCTTGAGTTTAAGGCACGCCGTGACTGCAAGCAAAGACGGAAGTGCTTCTCACTCAAGTTTGTATGCGCATATTTAGTTTAAATTATCTTTCAGAACTACGTGATCACTCGCTCGTTCTTCAGTCGCAACCAATTAGCAAGGACAAGAAAGGTAGGTCTCCGATGAACGCTTTGAAATTAATTTCATTCATGAAATCAATGCTCCTTAAAAAAAAATGAACACACTTAAGCCCCGCACGGTGATATAGATCCCTAACGGGGATCCGGAGGTTTAAAAGAACCGTTTAATACGGGGGCAATTGTCTTGTTTATTAAACGCAGCACTACCACGTGTTAAGTTTCCACTGTGTATAATTCCTTTAAAAACATTTCTACCTTAGTTATTTAATCTAAAGGCTATTATTTTACTAGCGGAAATCTTCCGCAGTTCATTGGAAGACAAATATATATTTATCTTTGATTGCATGCAATTGTCAATGACCACTTTAATTGTTGCAGAAATCTATGATAAAACTCCGATAGTAAATTTTTTGTTTTCATAATTCAACTAAAATACTTCCTTAAAACACTTACCGATGACTAGTTTGTTAATCAAATAACTTCAAAAATTCTAACTTTACAATAATCAGTATCTTCACTCGAACCTCCAAGATTTTTACGGTCTATTTTATTGCTCTTGTAACATGCAATTGAGTGGCGGAGTACCATACTATTAGGAATTTTGGGATGACAAACAAACTCTGAAAACAGAGAGGAAAAGGGCAGACCTTGAAAATCAAGAAAAGGTTAAAAACACATTACAGTATAAAATAATTCCATTAAAGAAGCCATGTTTAGCCGATTTCGTTGCTACCACATACTGAAGTGACATTTACAAAACAAAATTTGTATTTCTAGTAACTTTTTTTAAAATTATTTAAATACGACAAAGTTTATATATGTAACGTTCTCAACGAAAAGAAGATCTTATTAGCATGTTCCCAATATATGGTGGAAAAGGTAAGAATCTTTTGATATTCTTTTGGTGGTCCTCCTTGTAATCCCAGTTTCAGTTCTTCTGCCGGATATTTCATAAATTAATTCTGCTTTGTAAGTGTCAATTTGACCCACGAAGGCCGCAGGCAGGGCCGAGGGTTAGTGAAAGATGTCTTGTTAAACAAAATAAGGGAAGTTGGAAGAAGAAATATTTAATACATATTGATTGTGGTCATTGTGAAATGAAATAAATCAAATTTTGAATTGCGGATGATCTTGAAGATTTAAAAGTGAATACTATGATCATCGCAGTTGAGTGAAACAATCTAAGCGGTTGAAAAAGAACCTGAAAAAAACAGTCATGCTTGACAAGGACCTTTGCTATGACCGGACACAACGCTGTATCCATCGAGCTAATCAAGCCAAGGCCATTGTGAGTTCCTAATATACCCGAAGGTAGAAATGACATGATTTTTTTTTCAGGTTCTTTTTCAACCGCTTAGGTTGTTTACTCGCATTACTTGTTTTATATTAATTGTCTTTATTTTCTTTCAAAGGTTTGTTACGCAAGATATAACATGCTCCATATCAATGTTATCAATCTGTTTGCTGTTATATTAAGCAAATCAACAGAGGATTCCGAAGAATTGGCTTCCGCCATCTTGCATTATCGGTTCTCGCCACTTTCTTGGCGCTTAATGATTGTTTGTAATTTCGCCCTTTTTATTTTCCTACCTACCACCACTGCAACGTTGTCTTCTTCTCAAAATTCGGGGCTACATTACTTCGATAAATATTTCTACAAAAATGAACCTTTTACCAACGAAGGTAAGGAAGGTAGATAAAGTGCAAGTATAGCTAGCGATCATTAAGGAAGCAGTCTGGCTTTTTTTTAAGGGGGGGGGGGATGGAGCAATCTGGTTGTTTTCTTTTTTAGGGGTGGGGGGATGTGGGTTGAATTGAGAATGAACGAATAACAGAAAGGGAAGAAAATGGTATTCCCCTAAACCAGGTAGTCCGATAATACTGAAGCAACCATGACAACGACGATAACGTAAAGACAATTGATTTTATGAGCAAAAAGTTTTCCACGGGCATCACGCTTCTTTGACGTCCACTGCACGACAACAACGTGAAACCTCCAAATCCGACGATTTGTAGAGGACGTGAACATACTATTAAAGTTTGTAGCCACTAAATGATTATTATTTTTTTGAACGCGTTCTAGATGATGATCTTCCCAATGATCCTTACATGAACTACCTCTTGTGGCCACACTTCCATTTCAGTGGCAGATTTCGAGCTGACGTCTCAACTGTAAACAATATCCCTACAAACTTCGACACGGAAAACGTTCTTAAAAGGGAACGTTCAAAAAGAAACTGGAACCCAGATGGCACCAATGAATGGAGTGTGACGGGCTCTGTTACTGGCCTATGTTACGCTGATGGCACCTGCGTAGAAAAGAAGAAGAATGAACAACTCCTAGGAGCACTTATACAAGGTATGTATGAGAGAACATTGAACCTGAATATGGGGATATTAGTTACTGGACCGGGGTCCTAGGGGATCCAAAATTCCGAAAATTAGAAATTTGTATATGCAGGAGCCCATCAAATGGAGCCTCCATCTCCATTGATTTCTTGAGTCAACCCTTTCCCCAGTAGAGTTATAAATAGAACGGCTTGTTTCCCGCGAAAAGTGTCATATTTCCGTGAGTCTCGTATGTCACCGTGAAAAAAATGAAGTTGGATGAAGTCGAACTCAGAAACCCGTCCTTCGACCGTTTTCTTTTTTACTATACGTCCATTTTTACAATTTTACAGCCGCTGGGATCTGGGTATCATGAAATAAAAGTTAATGAATTACCCGCTGACTGAGCATGAAGCGATGGGACAAAGGCAGCGAACTGAGGATCACGGAAAGGTTATCTTTGCGAGCGTTTTTTTTTTTTGCCATCATACATCCCACATTTAAACATACACCTTGAAAAGAGTCGACGATTAAGCATTCTGTGGATGATTTGGAACTTTTCGATGATCAGCGCCGAAAAAGTGCCAGGATCATTGGATTTTTGTCATCACCGCGGAGTGGATTTCGCCGGTTAAGCACCGCGTGCAAAAGCGATGACCTAAGTAACAACTAAGGAGGAATGCTTCAGTTCCGAAATTTGAGAAATTGCAGTCTTCCCTTACAACTGACTTGTAGCACCGTGAGAGTTGCCTGATAAAACTGGCACTTGAAAAGTAGAACAGAAGAGAACAGTTGCTCGACCGTAAAGCTAACTCAAAAGTAATTTGCTAACGGAGGAATTTGTGACATTGCGCTCCAGTCCAAAGACCCACTTGTCTCAAGAAAAACAAAATGGATTGTATCTGCGCCAAACTGGAATTATGACTGACTAACAGGACAATTCTCGCAATCATTGTAGAAGTTTAGGCCAATTCTTTCCTTCGAATTCGCATCTGTAGATCACTTTTTTGCGAGAAAACAATAGCTGGGCCCGGGGTTACAAAACATAGCAGGGAATCATCACACTAGCTGACGGCAAAACAACCACAAGGACCACAAGTATTTATTCAGATAAACGCATTTCGGAAAAGAAAACTTGAAAAACTAGAAATTTGATTAATATTGAGTCATTTAGCCCGAAATAAGAACCTTAACGCTCAAAAAATTGGCTAAAGAAAACGAATCCTGTCAGAACTACAGACTGCAGGTAGTAGTTAATCATTACGTATGTAATAGACCAGCTTCATGGCCTCTAATGTGAGACAAGCAACCAAAATTAAGATTAACATAGTCAGAGTTTAAAACTCTCCACAGTATAATCTACCCGCTAGAAAGAAAAGAAAGAAAATCTCTGAGAGATGAAAACGCTAAAGTCACGTTTCACTAGCTTATGATTGTGTTTGGCCTGTCAACAACGAATTTCCCGCTGTTTGATGAAGTACAATAGCAGTGTCATTACGTCAACAACAACAAACAACAACAAATTTTATTGAAAATTGGAAAATAACTAATTACATTACTTTCCCACCCGCAAATAGCTTATGAACTAATCGAGGCGGGGGGAGCTGAAGACATATTACAAAACAAGAATTATATATAGATGGACTAAATAACAGTGAAGACACTACAATACAGTAAATAGAGTTTAAACTAACATAAAACAAAAAAACAAAAAACAAGGCATGTACATAACGATTACGAAGAGAGGTTAACTAAAGTATTAAATAACTTAATAAGACGGGAGACTTCGACATAATCATCTTCTGACCGCAAAAAATTTAGTAATAATTCCTTTATTTTTTTACGAAAGGACGAACGTTTAAGTATTTTAATCGAATACGGAATAGAGTTCCAAATCTGGGCACCGATTCTCGTGAAAAAGGCATACATTTTATCGGTTCTAGAGAACTTAACATAAAACGAGTCGCTAGAGACAGATCTTGTTCTGTAGTTATGAATCTGACTTGTTTTAACGAACTGATTGAGAATATTAACTGGTGCTGTCTGTCTGTTGATATCATACAATAAATAGCTACAATCTCTGAAAAATATGCTAGGCAGGGGAAGGCAATTTGATTTGAGAAAGAAGGGTACGGCGTGTTCCTTAGACTTACTGAAGTAAATGAGACGTAAGGCCCGTTTTTGTAGAGTTACGATCTTTCGTTGAAATGTCAAGGCACAATTTCCCCAACCACAAATACCATAAGTCAAGTAAGGGACAATTAATGAATTACGTCGTTGTGATTGGCTCTTCCCACCGTCGGCGCGCGAAGTCTCCCCTGGGAACCGTCCTAATTATAAATCTACTCGGGAAAGGGTTGACTCCAAGGGCTTGTATGGGAGATGGAGGCACCATTTGATGGGCTCCTGGTATATGGCAATTGCCCCATCCCCGTGCAGACCTTAGCCTGCGAGAGCATCCGGTTTTTTCGGCTTTAGTTGAGAAAAGCGACGACCGGAAATACGTCTGCGGTTCGCAGGCCAGGTAGCCGTCTGATGGAAAAAACCGGGTGTTTCTTGGTGCTGTGAAAACTTGTTGTTCGATTTTGTTTAGTGGTAAATTTTTGCTGTTGGAATCCGGAATCCTGGGTCTAAGAATCCATAATCCAAGTCAAGGAATCCAGAATTCCGCTAACTATCGGAATCCGGATTTCAAGATCCACTGATAAAGAATCCGGATCGAATCCAGTACCTGGAATCCGAAATCCGAAGCGTGGAATCCAGAATCTAAGACTGTCTTGTATTTTCTTAGGCGAGGCGTCCGTAACACAAAGAAACTATAATTATACGTTTCTGGGAAACTGCTCCCCCTACCTTCCCTCTAGGCCAAAATTTTGCTCTCAGTGAAGTAAGTGTTAATGTTGACTTAGGGGACGGGTAGGTGGGTAGTTTCTCCGCATAAGAAAAGTATAATGATCCGTAGTGAACCTGGATTATGGATTCTAAAAAGGACTGGGACCTAGCTAGCCAAATTATCGGCTTTCAAAACAAGTATTCGGAAGAAAGACCTTTCAAGTCTCATAGCTGACAACAGATGTTCAAATTGTGACTTGTGTAATACTTGTGACCCTACTTGTTAATTTACTTTTAGATTAATCAGATTGTAGACTATTTTACTGTTATTATTTTTTTATTTATTCATTTTATATATAATATTTTAACGTTATTAATGTAATTTTATAATCTGTGAATATTTATTTATTATAAATATAATAAATTTTATTAACTCGGTGTCCCCGATTAGTAGACTACTTGTAGCCATCTAGAAGACTTTGACACGTTAACAAAGTTGTTAATTCGTTCATTCATTCTTTCATCCCGAAACTACCCGGCAAATTCCTTACCCTGAACACAGTACTTGACAAAATTGTTCTCGACAAATGCCCAGCTAGGGAGGAATTCGCACGCTTGGAATTTATTGCATACCCCCTTTTTCGGACCACTTCCCTTGAAGTACATGGTCAAGAAAACATGTGCTTTCTTCAACGCATTGTAGCGGTGTTCCTGACCAGAACAAGTTAAACAATTTGTTTATTTACTTGTTGTTTCTTGTGTATTTGTTCAAGATGGGAACAACAAAACGATGGCTAAAATGGTTGACTTGGACACTCAAGCGCAGCGTTTTACTGAGATTTGGGGCTGGAGACTTCAAATCGGAGACTTTTTCTCTGCTGATTACACTCCAGTTCCATTCCAGTACGCCTGGAGCAAACTGACTTCCGGGGGAGGGAATGCAAGCATTGGCACTGTTTATCAGTCAGTGTTGTCAAATATCCAATGGATGGACAACAGTAATAGGTCACCATTTATCAAACAGCTTCAGGACACAATGAAAAAGGACAACATTGAAAGCGATAAACTGTCAATACGCTTCAACTTAGATTTGTACGGGTTACTCACAGAGCCTAAAATAACTGGGCGCATCGTAGGTAAGGGTAATGGATTATATATTAGAGAAATGCAATGACATGTAATGTTTAGTTTTGATTGAATTAATGTCATCAACGTTTCTTATTAAACGTTATCAAGCCAAGCAAACGAATCTGAGTTTCAGTCAGTTTTTTCAGGCATTTAAGATAGTTTCATTTTCAAGGTTAACTAGGAAAATTTTTTGAGAATTAGAAGTGGAAAGAGTTGATCTATGTCACCCTGCTTGGCGTTCTTCTCGGAATTTTTTCTCTTAAGTCAGAACCATCCCCGTACAGTACAGTAGCTTTTCATTTACGACAAATTTTGTAGCCTGTGTACAGTCCCCCCGCCCCCCTCCCTCACCACCCTCGCGTGAGGGGAGGGGGCGGCTGTACCCAGGCTACTGTAGACTGTTCACAGTGTGCTGTTTTTCAGTAAGATCGTCGAGATCGAGCGCTCACCGTCACTGGCAGCCATTTTGTAATTCCTTTTAAATTTACCAAGTGGGTTGGGGCGTCGTGTTTTATAGCGGTGGAGGAAGGGAGGCAAGAAATTACATTTTTTCGCGCCTCCTCTTAAACCGTCCCCGCATCTTAAGTAAATGAGATAGTCATGTTCAAGCTAGACTCGGTCAAGATGGCCGCCTATAATGCTTGTTCTCGACAATTTTACAAATGAAAAGTAGGGAATGGGTACAATCTATATTCTTTTGGCAAAAAAGTGTAAAATAGTTCTAGAAGCAGCAAATCGTTTAACTGATAGCTTGTTTTAGATAGCAGCGTATACTTCACAATTTAATTCTTTCCAGACATAACTTGAGTCAAGGAGAATGATTGTAGGTTATTCCGGCTTTGCAAAAAATACTTAATTTAACGTATTTCAACCCTTATTCATATTAACCCCCCCTTTATTTCTTCTCCATATCTACCAAAATATTTTAGGCACGATTGGTTTGATAGGCCGAAGTTCCCCACCGTTTTTCACTCACGGTCGCATGATGAACACCTTGGTAAAGACCCTCCAGGACACGCCTTTCTATGTAGACAAGCGTACGAAAAAAGTGTTTGCAGATTTTGGTAACACTTTTCAAGTTGATAAAGATGGTAATCTCCTGACTACCAGTGCCAACCACGTGCTTCTTGTAGCAATGACTCTTAGCAAAAACGCCTCCTTTACTTGCTCTGATCATATGCAATGGCTTGGCATCGTGCAGAACAAATCTCCAAATTGGTATCAGAGCACTGCTGGTGTCCAGGCTTTCCCTGCCTTTGGGGCTTTGTCAAGTGACGAAATGGAGATGATCAGCAGTCATCCACTGATTCTCATCGAGGTATTTGAAAAGATTGACCCTTTGTAGCTAATCACTCACGTGGTACCAAAACGCCATGCTGGAGAGCAAGTAGCCTTCACCAAGACTTAATTTAACCTCAGATAGTAACGTCTGCGAAGTAGCTCCGATATCCTTGTTCGGGGCCCCCATCAAACTCAATGAATTACCGAAAGTGCGTTTTAAATTTCCTCGAAGACTGATTGGCAAATCGACAACGGCTTTGTTAACAGGTCACTCTTAGCGCGTACTCAAATCCTGGTAAACAGTTGGGGCCCAGAACAAGGATTTTGGCTCTGTTTCGCAGACGGACTTAACCAGAGTTTAGTTTCGTCTGCGGCGTAGGCTAGAGAGCAAGGGACGCACTGAGACAAGAGAGACAGAGCTTACTTAATTTAAAATGGTATTTTCCTTTGCTTGTCTTATCCCACTGCTTTACTTGCGTCTAAGCATGACGATTTAGTTTGTACGCGATTGATAAACTGCAAAGGGCCTATTTTGTACTCAACAATCTCAAGGTCCTGTTGTTTAGAAGTCTCAAAGACTTAAATGCCTTGTCTTCATTAGTAGTATATTGTTAACGGTAAGTTTTGTTAAAGAATTAACGGAGTGCTTAGCTTTATATAAATCCAATAACTGGGTCAAAAACTGGTAAACTTTAAATCGCCAAAAACGCTTCTTCAAGTGTGCAAAAGTTTATCGTGACGACGGGGCTCGAAGGGGCAAGGGGTCTTGAGAAAAAGAAAACAATGTCTTCTGGTCCGAAGTATGCAGGGATACCATCTGTTGCAGCTTGCGCAAAAGGTATTACAGCAGTTTTGAGCTCAGGTTCTCTCCTGCATGACATCCAGCCGATCGACGCGAATCCTTTAGGTTTTGCTCTCTTTACAAATTACGTGTATCACTATGTATATGTGCTCGGATTAATTTAAACCAAATTTGTAGGACAAAGCAAACATGAAATGAATTCTATAGGTTGCAGTCGAATGATAAAATCCTTAGAATTTGAAGGATTTTAGAGGTTTCACTATAATTATAAACTTCAGGCCCAAGTAGTGTGAACGTTGGACAGCCCGTCCATAAATCTCTATCCAGTGTACAACGTAATAGGCCCTAATCCTTATCCGCTGGATAATTAATTGTTTGTTATAAATAAACTTCGTTTTTGGGCCAAATTTTTCTTGTTAGGAAACGCTGAGTTCACGAAACGGCCTCTTCTAGGCGAATAAACGGGAGTTGTAAACAATCCATCGACCACAAAACTCAACAACAGTAAATGGAAAAACGCCGTTTTGAATCCCTCGAAGTCTTTTCTTGCCTGAAAAAAAGTCAACTCTAGGATTCTGTCGACTTTTAAAACATCTTTCTCTAAGAAAATGGGGAAAAAACCGAGCTCACACATTATCCACTCGCTAGGAGGTGAATATTGTTGAATAGTCCGAGATAGCGAACCAATCAGATTGCTTAAATCACGAAGATCACTGAGTGTGCATATACTAATGATTTATATGACGGATAGCGCTATCCAACGTTCAAACAACCCTGGCTAGATGATGTTATTGATGGCTATTGGACATTTTGAGACTGCTGTAATGAGACTTGGTTAGTTTTTTGTTGAACTGCATTGTGGGAATGTTTTTGGGGGAAATTTTGACCCAGTCCCTCGCTCAACTTTGCAATAACGTATTCGCCACTTTAGAAACGAGAAGGTAACGTTCACAAAGACTTCTGGGTCTGTTACTAGAGACAGGCAAATAAAATAGCCAGTTGGGACTTTAAGATCCAACGACGCGACGGCAACAAGAACGTAGCTTAAAAAGTGAATTTTTGTTCTTTCGGTCTTTATCTCGTTTATTCCTACCCACCTACTTTGTCAATTGTAGGCGAACCCTCCTGAAGCTGAATTTCAAGGGACCATAGCCACGCTCAGAAAGAGAAATAAAATTTCGTCGTTGCTTGTTTACGTCCTCCATAAAACGCGAAATTAGGCATTTTCACGTCGTAGTCGTGCAAAAACGGGAAAGAGATGTACAAAAGTGTGATGCACTTGGGAAGTTTTTGTTTTGCCTATTAAACCTATTGTTTTTTTGACGTTCTCCTTGTCGTTCGCGTCGTTGGATCTTAAAGTCCCTAATAGCTAACCAGTGCGTCCCTAGCAACTATCCTAGAAACACTTGCGGAACGCCATTTTGGCTCCAGTTCCCTCTCTCCTCCTCGTTTCTCAAGTGGCGCTAGAAGCTATAGCGTCCTCAAGACGAACCAGCCTCAGGCGGACAAAGTGGCTATTGATGGTTCCAATTTGACCCTATTTATCTGCCTATAAATTTTTTTTAGGCGGTTGGTTCTTGGCCAGATCTCAAGTGTAACAAGGTACTCCTGGCAGAGGCTCGAGATGGTATTGATATTCACCCTTACAGCAATTGGGTATTTCGTAAGAACCCAGGCGAGCCTATAAACGTTCAGCTCTTTGCCACGCGGTTTGGGAAGCCTCTTCCGGGCGCCCGGATCATGGTCGATGCTTGCAACTGCCGCAAAATTTTTGGTTTGGGAATTGGTCAACCAACCATGCCTGTTCCTTCTCGAGCAATAACAAATGAAAATGGATTTGCCACAATTGTCTTCAATGCAGTCGATCCAAAAAATAACAGGAGCTATATTGATGGGCAGATTTATTCTTTTATATACTCGATCGAAGGTCGGAACAAAAAGTGCTGGGACTTGTGTACAATTGACAAGTATTCGCTACTAAATTCCCTCTTTGTTATCCGCGTTTTTGATCGCTTCGAGTCTAAGGGGTTGGAACCAACATGGCTTGACGACATCTATCCAATCTTCAAGCAATATGCAGATTTGTATCCGGTCATGACTAAGAACTTCTTAAATCTGGGAAACTATTACGATGTTTTAAAATACCGGAGTGCTATAAAAATGAGCATGGAGCTGCCTGAATCTCATCCAAATTATATGCCTGTAACTCGCGACCTCTCAAAATCTAAACGTGAGGTCATTTTGCAATGGCTTTCTAACAAAAATCTCGTTATCGGAGAACCAAAGAAGTATTATTCGATCAAAAACCTGCGAAGAGACTTACAGACCGCCCTTGAATTGGAGCATGCGACTATACCCGTGTATCTTACTGCGTTAGCTTCCATCAAGCCTAACTACAACTTAGAAATCCAGGCAATAATTAACACGATTGTTGTGCAAGAAATGATGCATGTGCTTCTAGTCGCTAATATTCTCAATGCGGTCGGAGGGGCACCGTCTCTTTATTCAGAAGACTTTATTCCGAACTACCCTTCGCGACTTCCTGGTGGAGTGCAACCCGACTTAGTGGTCCCCTTAAAGAAGCTCTCGCATGGTCTTATAAGGAACATCTTTATGAAGATAGAAGAACCAGAGCAAGAACAAGAACGCATTTTAAGTTTTCAACACGCATTTTTGCACGCACGCGAAACCAAAGACATGATGAAAAGCAAGGCCGGTCACCAGCAAAGTGGAAACGCTAGAGGTCATACAATAGCAAGAGGGGCTGTAGTTAGCGATGACGGGTTCACAGACCCATTAATCGACGAAGATCGGTCATCAGCATGTTTTACATCATCGTCAAGGGAACAATTTTTTAAAGGTAAGTCGAAGAAATACATGTAGTTTAACACTTGGTCTCGTTACTCTAAAGTCCCGGAATTTTTGACCCGTTTTCAATTTTTTTACTACAACCTGAAGAATGTTCGTGTAGCTTCTGGGATGGTTGTTTGTCATTTCTAGAAAGTTTCCAGAAAAACCAGTTGCAAAAAGAAATGGAACACGGCTTTTCAAGTCGTTCCAGTGTAATTCTGGGATCAACGGAATTTCTGAAAGGTAGTCCTGTTTGCTGGGTCAGAATGTCCAAACCAAAAATCGTGTTTCATTTGTTAAAACTCATCTTTGATACCGTTCAGGCTTTCACGTCCATTTTTCCTTCAATGGAACTGAGCTGTGCATGGGGGATTGAGGGGAGGGGGAAGGACGTTTTTATAAATTATTTTTTTTAGAAGTTCTTCTTTTCAGAGGCTAAAGAGTATGGAAGATATTTGTGGCAAAATTTGGTGAAAATTGGTTGTTATGGTTACGAAATATATACGTTTTGTATACTTTTTTGTGAAACAACAACAAAAAGTACGAAATAGCGCCAACAGCAAGAAATGTTTTATTATAATACTCCAATGTAAGTAGACTGCCTATCTGCTATTAATATAGTGAATCTGATACGATTTACGCTTAAAACTCATTTCTCGGCAGACTTCAAGTATCGAGAACTAGAAAAAGTTGCTCCAAAGATTGAACTGACATATGACGACATGACCGAAGAAGATTTCCATCAGAAAAAACAACAGAAGGGAAAAAAGACAAAGGTAACGCTCACCCTTGGAGTCTTGTCGAAATAAAGCCAAATTACAAGACAGAAAACTGCTTTAAAATTAGATGGAAGGTTAGAATAACACATAAAATGTGCAAGAAGGCATGGATGGTAAAAAAATTGAAAAAGATTACAATGCATAATGCTCAGCACCGAGATCGGAGGGCGTAAGATATAATAATGGTTCGGAGACAAATTTTAATGTCGCTGAAGGCTTTGATTTTGCCATTTACAAGCAATTTCTTCTTCTAATGTTTTGTCTCTCAAAGTCAGCGACGATCGCATTGACATTCCGATCAAGTCTGACATGAAAATGTTAATCGTGCGATGAAGGCAAGGAAATCTGCTGAAAATCTGTTCGGTTTCTTTTCTCTCTTTTAGCTAAAACATTTTCCTGGTGACCATTTGAAACTTTTCCGACACCACAACACAATCGGCGGTTTCTACAATCACATATTAAACGCTCTAGGCTACCTCACAAATTGTGGAATGGATAACAGCATCTTCACCGGAAACAAAAGCAAACAGGTTGATTATGGTGAATGGTCTGTGCACGGCCACACTCTGAAAGTGTACGACTACCATACAGCTGTGGAAGCCATTGAAAATATCATTGAGCAAGGCGAAGGTAGCTCTCCCTGTAACCCAGTTGCCTGGGACATCGGAAGTGCGAGGGGACTGTCGCATTACTTCCTGTTCAATTCAGTGGTCGAGGAGCGTGAAATCATTGTGGCCGCAGCAGATGAAAATAGGGACATGTTGGTAATTAGATTTTTGATTGATTCATTTGATTATTCATATTCTTGGACCAATTTTGGACGCAATTATTTCTAAATTTTGACTGAAAAGACAAAAATAGGCAAGATTCACACTCACTAGACTCACTAGACTGTCTGTGGGGGGCCAGAAGGGGGGGTTGAAGGGGTGGGGGAGGGTGTTTTCGCTTTTATATTACTACATGAGAAATTTCCGCAATTTCATTCGCTTAGAGCAGTGGTATTTCAGATCAATTTGAAAAACATACTTGTGAAAATTACAAAGCTTTTGTGGGTAGTAGTATAAACAAATAATAGCATGATTTGTACGTGATAGTTGGCATAAATACCACTTGTGATATTTCAAAATTGTCTCAAATTTCACGAGCCGTTAGGCGAGTGAAATTACGTAAAACAATTTTGAAATATCACTCGTGGTATTTATGCCAAATATCAGTACAAATCATGCTATATTACCTATACAAACTGAATGGTTAGTGTCCAATTGAACTGTTAGCCATCCAGTGAGGACGAGGTTGTCAAATGAAAAGAGGGGAGATGGTCAGTACAAGAAAGCGGTTTGATTGGATCTTATTCACCATACCAGCAATCTTCGGAGGCGCTTAAGGACTGTTAAAATGGGAAACACATCACGTGGTTTCTCAATAGGTTGAACTCGTCCCTAGGGCGTTTCCGCTCCTCCAATTTTCTAAGGGGAAGCAACATAGCAAAATCTGCAGACACAAGACAACTTGATCTGTGCATTTTTAAAGGGATTAACAAACTCGTCCAATATCGTAATATTGGCAGCTGTTATCATCTGTTTTCCTCCTGAGAAGCCACGTGACATTGCTTTAATTTACCCCGTCATCAACCGTAGAGCGTGCGAAAAGATGGGGATGCTACCGTGAATAAGGTCTATAAGAGAGTCCTTGTTTACATCTTATTTGCCTCATTTAAACATATGCTTCTCATTATCTGATGAGGCTAATTAGATGAAACGGGAACTCTATTTGCGCACATGAATTTCAAGGCGAGATCACATGGAAGAAGCTCATGTCGTATTGCTGTCAGTGTCAAACTGTTACTCTTATAAATTCTTCAGGATTGCAGTGAAAGATTCTACTTCAACGGTTCCAAGATACCTTTTGACCCAGATGGCGTTTGGCCGATGGTTTCCAACCCCCGCATGTCTAAATACAAACCTGGCTCTAAAGCCTATCAACGGGCAGAGTCATTCAACAAGGTTTACACCAAGCTGATAAGAACTCTGCATCACGTGCTGAATGGGCATCCCGAAGCACTCATTGATTCCATTGGCATTATGTACTCCGTGAATCTTCAGCTAAAGAACCTTGTGCAGACGCCGATTGATGACAATGGAGACCCTGAAGAAGGGCCAAATGCTGGTCCTACCTTTGACTTCACACCATAACTTACTGCATATCTTTATTGTGTATGTTAACCCTCCAACTCCCTCCAACTGCTCAGGGGCAGATCTAGGGGGAGGGTGCAGGGGGTGCCCCCTCCCCCCCCTGAGATGACCTGCGGTTTTCTAATACAACTGGTATTCTGCAAAAACTATGTGGTTTATTGGTGTTGAAGTAGAGCAAGAGACGAGTGCACCCCCTCCTAAAAAAAATCCTGGATCCGCCCCTGCTGCTAGACTAAGGCTTTGTTATTCACACACTCGGTCTCCGAACACTAGCAGTGCCTGATTCAGAACTTGAGATAAGAGGTGTGTGTCGGGGGGTATGGGGGCGGGGGGGAATGGCTTGCAGGGGTAATAATACATGTGTTTTATTTGGAGTCTTATACAATAAATAGTACATCGACTATTTCCATATAACTAAAATTACAAACAACAAAAATTCCTAACGATATATGTCTAATAAGACCATTATATGGCTAATCCAGACCCTTAGATAAGGGGGGGGGGGGGGGACCTGGTCTCCAAACTTCTTCTTCTTCTTCTTCTTCGGGCCTCAGTTTAGTCTAAAAATAAGAGGGGAGGAGGGACCCCCCCGCGCCCCCCCCCTGGATCCGCCAATGACTAGTACCAGGGTACCAGCGGTAAATGGTATTGTGCTCACACCTACTGGGTGCCCAATATGTAACGGTGTACATATTAATGCACCAGTTATGCAATGCAGTGGATTACCTCGGAACTATTAGAGAGCCGTGTGCATATAGGTCGGTCGATAGGTTGGGTGCTTCAAATATGATTGTGTTCACATTAGTGCCCACCTCAGTAAGTATCGCAGTCGGGCACCGTGCCCGGGTGCTAAGTGTAAACGTACACGGCCTAAGTTATGGCCAGACTTTTTGTCAATTTATCATTGAAATTTGAATCCTATGGTGTTACCATTCAAATGAAACCTCTTTTTCAGTTCAGTGAAATTTTACGTGGCCCTATCTACCTCTTAGGATTTAATAAAAAAAGTAAGGTTTCACGGAAGAACGGCCCCTTATTTTGCTTTTAACTTCCCCTCAATTTGTATGAAAATGTAATTCTCGAGAATTATCTATATTTGTTACTTCACCTGATTTTTGTCAATAAAAAACGCAACCACGGCCTCTAAAATGTTGTCAACAAAATATCCCATGATACCATCAATTCATATCACCATGAAGAACTTAACAAAGACTCTCTTTTAAGCACCCAGTTTCATAAGTTTTTATTTGTTTCCTTATGTAATCCACCCTGGCGCTTTGAAATAACAATAGGGAGCTTAAGCGACAGTGACGGCAAAGACAAGGAGAACGACAGCCGACAAAAAAGCGAATAGAGTGTTTTCACATGACGTCACGGCGGCCATATTGGTGTCCCAAAGCAATGAAACGGCGGCCATGTTGGTGTCCCAAAACAATCCTCTGGGAGTTGAACTCTTTTCTTATGCAAACGCTTCCTTTTGTTCTAATAAATTTGCATAGATGCTGGCCACGTGAGTGAAAACACTAGATAGGTTTACATTAGCAAAACAACAACTTTGCACGTGCGTCACGTCTTTTTGTATATATCTTTGCCGTTGTTGCACGAATACGACGGTGAAACTTCCTAGTTTCACATTTTATGGAGAACTTGAACACAAGACAACAATTTCGGTTAAACGTTCCTTTTCTTTTTCTGAACTTAGACACAGTTTTTCGGAGTCAACTCCAGAAAAAGCCCACAACAATTGACAAATTGAATGAAATGGAATAAGAGTATGTAATGAAGTTTGAAATAGCAAGAATTCACTTTTCAAGTGACGTTTTCGTTGCCGTTGGCGTCGTCATAGTTGCTTAAGCTCACTTTTTCACAAAAGCACTAATTAATCCTCAATCTTTCCATGGTCCCCAGTATCCCTTCATACGAGCCATTATCCAAGCTAAACTCTCGGAAGGCTTGTTCTCGGCGGGTACAGCACTCTGTCTGTAGAACTCCACCCTGGTCATCAATGCCTCCACAATATCCGGGAACTGCTTGCTAAGGTCAACTATCTCATATGGATCGGCGGTAATGTTGTAAAGGCCCACATCAATAACTTTTTTGCAACAGTGTCCCTGGAGATAGAAATTGCAACGAAAGTGAAAATTTGAAGACTTAAAAGAAGTTTTAATAAATGGTTTAGAAAAGCTACTTTATCTGGCATAACCCAAACTTGTCACAAAATCCACGACAAAATCAATTGCGACGCAACGACATTTTGTCCCCAGTATTTCTCTTTCATTCCACAGACATAATATTAAAGCTAGGTGGAAACGGACGCATCAACTCCCCACATAGTTGGGTCAACTTTGTTGGGAGTTGTTGCGCACGCGTCCGTGTTGTCAGTGTTGTGGAAATGGATGCAACAACTCTCAACATAGTTGGCCCATCACGGGTGTGGGTCTATCACGCGACTTCATTGCGTTACTGTCTCCAAGGAGACCATTTAGTGTAATGCACGTGCATGGCCCCAATAATGTTGATGGAAGAGCTGTGAAAACTGATCAAGGCTTGGTTTTTATCTCACTCTGCTCAATTTACGAGGAAACAAAGACAAGCGACAATGCTGAAATCAACGAGGTATAGGCATGAAGGGTGCACAATTACCTTTTTTCCTTGTTCAGCTGGAATACTTTTAATCAACTCTGGTGGGATATACCTCTCTCTATCGGCTTGATTTAATATCAGCTTCATGTCTCCAACACGAATTGCTGCCTTTTGGTCGATAATGTTGTGTAGAATTTCCTTTCGTGGCGATGGAGCCCCTTCAGATATACTGCGCCAAATATTAAAGCCATCCAATTGTGGAATAGTTGCGTGAGTGCGTCTTTTTCCAAGAGATCGTTCTACAGTTATTCAGAAGAACAAATACTGATTAACATGAAAGAAAGCGAAGCTGAGCGTAAACATAAATCTGCAACCGTCCCATGCAAAAAAAATCTAAGACAGTCTTCGATTCCGGATTCCACGCTCTGGATTCCAGGTACAGATTCCTGATTTTTTGTCAGTGAAGCTTGGATTCCAGATTCCAATCCTTAACCGGTTTGACTGCTACCCGGAAAGTGGGATTTGCCAAACTTGGGGAGAGTAATGTAGGATTGGGAAAGTAAACGATATTTGTGATACCAATGATCGATATTTGAGACGCGGAAAAGCGAAATCAGGATGCCCTTTCCAGACCGTAGCGGCACTGTTAAGGATAAAATCAATGGACAAGATTTAGTTGTATTGGAGGTGAGAGATTGTAAAAATAGACACCTTTAGATTTTCAGTAAGACGAGAACGACTATAAGTAGGAGATTTTCTCAAGGGGATTTTTCGGCTCGCAGTTGGTCAGAAATTCCAAAATAAGGTATCTGTGCAAAGATTCTACCAGAATTCGCAGCTTGCCAACTTCATTACTTAAACTAAAATCTATGTGGGTTCAGAATTGCATAATCCGCATAGTTCCATATTGTCCCCGACCTTAGCCAAAGATTAAAAAACACGCAACTGTTAGTTGACAAATTTACCTGCAAGATTAACGAGAGTCGGATACCAGTCAGTTACATGAAGTAGTTCCTTGCACTTGACCCCAGTCTTTTGAAGCATCGTTCCATGAACTAGACTAACTCCCCTGACCCCTCCCTCCCAGAAGTCTCTTTTCTGTCCCCGGAGGGGCCAGTTGTATCCACCTTTATCAGGATTGCCTCCATTATCAGTAGTTATAATCGTTAAGGTTTCGTTCCATAGACTGAAAGGAAAGCAAAGAAGTACAATCTTTTCATAATAAGTGTTGTTTAGGGGACTATGTCAAGCTATCTGCTATGTTTCTAAAAAGCTAAAACAACAAACGAAATTTCAACCACAGAATGAAATTTCACAGAATGAAATTGAACCCTACTAAATGCAAGGAGATGCTAATTAATTTTATAAGTAATCATAATTTTATTGTGAATCCTATTGTAATTGGTAGTAACACAATTGAGAGAGTCATGACATACAAGTTACTAGGCGTTTATGTAAGCAATGACCTGAAATGGAACCATCATTTAGAAGTTATAGTGCAAAAGGGAAACAGGAGGCTTTGTGCATAATTATAATCTTAGATCTGGCATTAGCCGCCCCACGTGTCCTACCTGTAGGACCAAGCGCACGTAAGAGTTTGTCACTCATAAGTATATCTAGTGGCTTGTACAATTATATTTTCTAGTATTTATTGGATTTATTGTATTATATTTTAGTATTATATGTTTTGTAAATAGCTCTGTAATTCAGCCATTCTGTATATTGCTGCAATGAGTCTTAAAAAACAGTCAGTCAATTTCGAGACGCTATCACTGGTTTCCCCACGAATTGACGTTTGAGGAGCAGTGACGGAAGAAAATTCCATACTGATGACGTCATACTGATGACGCGTTACTACCCATGCAAATCTGGGTAGTGCTTCTAATTGGTCGTGCCGCGTGCGAAATTTGCTTCAACCAATCAGAAGCACTTCCCTGATCTGGGTAGTAACACGCTATCAGTATGGAATTTCTTCGCTCGTTTCTCAGACCGTCATTTCAGTCATTTAACGGAAAAACCAGTGGTGACGTCGCCAATTGTCGGCTGTCTTTTCATTGTTTTCTAATTGAAGACTATGTTTAGGCATCGAGATTGTCTTCTGTCGAATGTTTCTACGGCTGGCAAGAATAGACGTGGAATGGAACTTGAAAATGTTGAACCAAATTTTCATGTTTATCTGATGCTATTCCGCCCTAACACCAAACATTACAAGGCCTTTCGAGAACCGAGTCCCTGGCCATAGCCCGGAATGAATATTTCAGCTTTTTGTTTTCGGCAATTACAAAATTTCGCTCAGTACACTTCGTAATAGAATGACGATGGTTATCAAGTTTTCCCGCCACTTTAGTTCCTGCGCGCGCACTAGAACCTTGTCCTTGTAGGCGTCTTTACCTGAGAATGTGAAAAGTCTTCTATTAACGAACTTATACTGTTGACGACTCACCCGGCCTCTTTCATAGCTTCTGTGACGTTTCCTATCGCTTCGTCCATAATGTCAACCATGCCAGCATGAGTTCGCCTCGCCTTGTTGCGAATTCCTCGATACTTCTGTTCGTATTTTAGATCAACGCTTAATGGTCCATGCACACTTTGAAATGGAAGGTATAAAAACAAGGGTTTGGATGCATTGTGCGATAGGATCACTCTTCTTGCTTGCTGTTTAATAGAAAAAGAAACCCAAGTCATAAACTGATTTGGAAATGTTCTTTTAACTTGATTTTCGCTTATATTTTGAAGTTGACAGGACGGGTTCGTAAAAACTCCCAAGGGTTTCGTGGGTAAACAAATTACTGAGCAGTTTCTATGTGAAATACTTCTGCAATCGAGATTCATCGCCAAGCATTTCTTGATCACCAAAACTGGCGCAAAAAGAACGGACGAGTTTGTCAAGGCTTTTGTTTAATATAAAGCTATTTCGAGAAACTGTTGTCGGAAAAAATGTGCTCGCGACAATCCCGAAAGGTAATATGGGATATGTTCAATACACTGTTCCTGACACTGTAGCTGTCGAACCTACTTTGCTTTCCTTTAGCACTAGCAGACATACGTCCATGGCATCTTCTGCCATTCTTTCAAATTTCTTTGAAAAACAGTGCACTCAAAACCACCCACAATACCTTTCGGGGTTGTCGCGTGCACTTTATCCGACGATCTTTCTCAAAACAGCTGTATATATCAGTAGGGAACTGTAGGGCACGCTGTCGTCATATATATATGCATAAAGACAACCTGAGTACAACGAGCTTGCATTGCGTTCGGGCTGGATGCGAACTCAGACAATAGAGAACTTTAGATTCCAGGACGAGAACGACTACGAGTACGAGATTTAACTAAAAGCTTTTTCGCGTATCCTCAAAATATAGACACCCCGGAAAGCTTCAGTACTTGTTTTATTAGAAAAGATAGCACTGCGGCTATATTGAAGGAGGTTAAGCTCTCTCTTGATCGAAAAATGATAAAACTTCTAACATTTGACAACCTAGTTTCCTGATTGCGACATTCTCGCTAACAATCGTAGTAGAACGATGACGGCTACCAAGTTTTCCCGCCAAAATGACGCTGGTTCACGCCAACCTCGTTCCCAGGGTCTCTCATCTGAGGTTGGGTTCACGCGCGCGCACTACTTAGTATTAAGGAAATTTCGTTCTCGTAGTCGTACTAGCTTTTATAATTCAACTCCAGCTCGTCATAGAAACTAAAGCTCTCTAGCCTTACAGCCCTCGCCTTGGAGGGAGATAGGACAGTAAACCGGTGACTACGGTCAAATTTCATGGAGAAAAAAAAGTCATATTATCGGTTTCTACTGTATTTCGGTAATGAGTACTATTTAACATCTCAGCAGCCCATAACCTGAAGCGAGAAAATAAAATAAACTGGTCCATAAAAACGCCGTGTACTCGTGACACGGCGTTTTTATGGACCAGTTTATTTTGAGAACGGTTTTGCTGGGAATTGAGAATATCTTTTAAGTCCCACAAAGCAGTCGACAAAACCTACAGACCTAAAAATGATACTTTTTGCCTTTTAATGACGTTACGTTTTCCTTTTTGGTATCTTAATATTCTTCGAACGCGTTCATACACGTGGCGGAGATTCCATTTTCGCGTGAAAAGGTGCCCTAAAATGTGTCTAAAAATAAACTGGTCCGTAAAAACGCCTTTGCATAGGCCTAGTATGGAGTTGTTCGCTCCGGGTTATAAGCTCCTGACAATCTGTAAGATCTGTAAGTACCTCAGCGTACAGCGTTGCCGAATAAACTCCACTCTTATCCCGTACGGGTTTCTTGTTGTCATGCAAATCAAGAAATCCGTCACCTTTATGGCTGTAGTAATCTTCATGTCCACCGTAAAAACCGTAAAAGGAGTCGAACCCACGGTATAACGGGGTGTAAGGCCAACGAAAGAAGCCAAGGTGCCATTTGCCAATAATGTGCGTAGAATATCCTGGAATGAAAAGATAATTTGCAGGAGCAATTGGTTAGCTTGAGATCACTGAAAACAGCTGAGATTTTGCGACGTCACCGGTGGTTTCCTGGCGAAATGACGTCGAGCAGAAATTCCATTCTGATGACGTGTCACTACCCTAACCCGATCTGGGTAGTGCCTCTGATTGGTTGATGCCAATTTCTCTCCAGACACAACCAATCAGAAGTGCTACCCAGATCTGGGTTTTGAGACGTCATCAGTATGGAATTTCTGCGCTCGTTTCTCAGACGTCATTTCGCGGGGAATCAAGTGGTGGCGTGGCGAAATATCGGCGTTTTTTTCAGGCTAACAGTTGTTAGTATGTGTTAAATAAATTTTATACTGTTCCAGTATACCTTATTCTCCTTAATTTTCGCGGGTTCTTAAATTCGCGATTTTCGCGATTTTAAAAAATTCGCGAACTTAAAGACCCGCGAAAAATAACGACCGCGAACTTTGATCTCGCGAAATTTAATGGACATAGAAAAATCATGTATGTGTGTGTTTCAAGGAAACTAAACAATTTTTAACACAAAGTGTTATTACAAAGAGCTATCATCTATCAACTTTAGATGTTAATCAGTGTCACGATTCGCCTCAAGTTCTTCTTCGGCATCTGAGTAATCATCTTCGCACAGTTCCTCCAATACATCCTTTGTACAGTCGTCAAATTGACCATCCTGTCCCGGCTCCTTATAGTGTGTAGTTACGAGTGTATGGTATCTTTCCATTATTGCCCTGTTCCTTGGTGTATCGTCCATTTCACATATCACCTCAACAGGAATTTCCAGAGCTCCCTGAATCAATGGGGATCGACGATAGTTTTCATCAGTAACTTTAAGATGAACCATCCCACCTCTCAATAAGAAAAAGCGAGTAGCTCTAGAAATCTCTCTGGGCAAATGGCCTATAATCGAATCGGCCAGGCGACCACGGAGCCGTTTGTTAGCTGCAATTGCGTATCGTAGATATCGTTTCCTTCGTGAGAACATCTCAAAAGCTCCCCGACGATGGGCTTCCAAATTTCTTTGTAAACATGGAATCCACGAAAGCCACACAAAAATGAATTGGCCATGTTAAACCCTGCACCGCCGTTGATTAACGTACAATTTTGGTAAAAAAGAAAAAGTTAAGTCACTTAATCGTCAATTTCGCGAAATTAAATTCCCTGCAAACACAATTTTTCTCCGCGATCGCGAAATTAAAGACTCGCGAAATGTGCCGGGAAATTTTTCGCGAAATTTAAGTCCCGCGAAAATAAAGGAGAATAAGGTACTATATTTCAGGATTCTCTCTACCACACAGACTCGCAGTCCTAGCTATAAGATAATATTAAACAAAGGTCAATAAAGCGAAAAAGATACAGTCGAATCTTTTTGTCTTTACAGCGTTGTACACATTGTGGAGGGAAGCGGGGAGGGAGGGGGGCTAGTTATTGTAGGACTCTGCACCGGGGGTGGAGAGCAGGCTAATTTGCCGCTCAGCGGCTGTGATCGAGGCTAAGTATGCTTCCACTTCCATAGCTTGTAGAACTTATAACGGTGGGATCTTAACACTTGTCTGAGAACGTTGTTTCTACAGAGTAATTATAGTCTTACCTGCTTCTTTGAGTTTCTGCGGCAAGGTAGTAAAACTAAGGGGCAGTCCGTATGGCTGGTCTGGAGTTATGACTCCCTTTTGCATACCTAATGATGATTAAAAAAAAAAACAGTTTAATTCAGGACCTCATTATAATATGATTTAGACCAGACGGCACTGTTGTTTTCAAGTAATATGTCGTAGATCGAAAAAAAATAATTAGTGTTTGGACCTGAAAATGGAGCTGTAGACCTACATTTAGCGTGCATTTCCAATGGTTCAGTTCAATTCACCGACTTCACGAGGCCAACTTACTAACAGACTCTTCCGAGTGAAACTAATCGAGTGGGCCCTTTCGAAGTAATCTGAGTAGTGAACTACCGACGGAAATTGAAGAGAGTGTTTCTGATTTTAATTTTGAAAGCAGAACACAGTATGTTGAAGTTGAAAATGCTAAATCAGACCCACTTTCTATCCAATGTGGTGTACCACAAGGTTCTACCCTTGGCCCACTTCTGTTTTTGATATCTATCAATGACATGCCCAATTGTTTAGAAAAGGCAAATATTAGAAAATTTGCTGATGACACCGCTCTCTTCTACTCTTTCAATTCTCTACAGGATCTTGAAAACACTATAAATGAGGAATTCAACCATCTTTTTAGCTACTGCGCAGCTAATAAACTTTCTGTAAACTTTAAGGAAACCCACTATATGACAGTCTCCTCCCCCCAAAAAGCAAATAAACTTAAGCTTAATTCACGCAATATTGAAGAAAAGAACTACATCAAATACCTAGGTATCTGCATTGACAAAAATCTAAACTGGGCTCCCCTCATTCAGCACATAAACAGCAAAATATCTAAAAACTTGGGAATCCTTTTCAGATAACGCCATTTCTTAACTTTAAACACCCTCAAACAAATATATTACTCACTTATCTACCCCTACCTTCATTATGGAATTATGAGTTGGGGAAACATATCCAGGTTCAAACAAAACAAAATATATGTTTACGCTACATATTTTTTAGCCATAATAGAGAAAGTAGTGCACCCTACCTCAAACTTCTAGATATACTTAACATAGATAGCATTTTTAAACTCAAAATCTCCTTGCTAGCTCACAAAATCTCACAAAATGAAGCCAATATCCCTAAAGTGTTTCAAAACTACCTCGTAAAGGTGTCTGATATTCACTCACACAATACCAGATATGCCTCAAATCTTAACTTTCATGTACCACGTGTAAGGTCAAATTACGGCAAACAAACATTTAAGTTTGCCATAACCAAAACTTGGGAAGAGATTCCTACTAAGATTAAACACTTACATATCATAAGTTCAAAAAAGAATATAAGCGAATTCTAGTTAACTCTGAAAGGTAACAATTGTAATATGACTTTCTCACATAACCTGACTGCTGGCATAATCGTCCATAGTTGCCATGGCACCAAGCGCACATTTATTATGTATTTCCAATCATAATATAGCGGTGGTTAGCTCGAAAGCAAAGCTCCTCTGACCACCGTACACTTCTACCCATTAGCCATTAGCCATTTTTTCGGATGGGTAGATTACTTCATTTTCTAACCCATGGTGTCCCGCTGCATGGCGCGCTTCGCGCGCGAGAGCTCCGCTAAAAGCAATCAACTTTGCACGTGCATCACGCTTTTTTGTACATTTCTCTGCCGTAGTTGCATGACTATACAACGTGAGACTGCCTAATTTCACGTTTTCTCAAAGGTGGGAAAAGAAAACAACAACTTTCTTTTTCTTTTCCTGAACTTTGGATGTTATCCAGGAAGATCCTAGAAGGCGGATCATCCTGCTAGCGCCATTACTATGTTTCAGGCTGTATTCAGTAGCCGGTTAGTAATGGGTTGTACTTGTCCCTTGCGCTAGCAACTTCCTAGTACTAGGGTCTTCGTAGCTAAAAGGTAGGAAGATCCTAGTTCTAGGACGTTCTTAGCCCCATGTACACTGTTTTCGCAAGGACGATCCTTAGGGACAAACCAGAGAGAAATGGCGGCGGGTAGTCGTTCAGTGGGTAATCACGGCGATAAGAACCGACCATTTCGTTTGGCTTCGTTATAATTACCAAGAGCTGATAATTCTGTAATAAGGTGATAATTCGTAATTGTAAAACGCCCAGTAAAGAGAGAAGACTTAGCACCACAAGGACCGAACTTTCTGCATGTAAACCCAATGAATAAGTTTTTCCGCCTTTTAGGATCTTCCTCCCTCCATGTTAACAGCCCCTGAGTCTTTAAGCAAGTATTTCCTTTTATTATCACTGGAGTTTTTTAAATTAAATAAGAATGGCCTCCAGGTATGTCAGCTGCTTTTAATTTGCAGTCTTAGTTTTGGACTCTTTGAAACCATGGTAATTTCTAATGCTAGAAACAATCCTGCCCACTCTCGCCGGCTCTCGAATCATTTTGATATACACTCTATTTTTAATCTTTGTTTTACCCTTTCGACTGATCTATTTTTAAACTGATGCAAGGCAAACAAATTACTTACTCTGTTAACGTTCCTTTTTTTACCGTTCTCGGACAACCATTTTCGCGGATTTAAATTTAAGAAATTTTTTGGAATCCGCAATATTATTATTTCCGAATCCCCGTGAAAATTTCATGTCACACAGAAAAGCAAAAAATTTGAATATCCGTCGTACTAATATTAATTAAGGTCTGGTATAATGGATAAAGATTGCTGCTCTTTCCTCTTTCATCTTTCAAATAGTTTTTCATCATTGTGCCCTCCTGTTTTAGGGATGGAAAAGTTCCTTGAATGGGCCTCGCCACAAGTATAGTTGATAGGCATAAGAGAGACAGCAATAGTCTATTATCTAAAATCTTATATGTTAATTTGACTTAAATGCCCCCATTCGAATCCAGCTTTTGGAGGAGCAAATGTCTCACTTCAATAATGACTAGAAACATAAACATTTTTCATAACGTTAAAAAGATTTTTCGTCAACATTTTTTCTGACAACGTACGTCAATTACCCTTTTTTTCATGGTCACTAAACTCATGGCGACTCAATTTGCTAATGTTGCAAGCAAAAAATAGGAATTTAGAGTTTCAACTGGCCGAATGAAAACCAGTTAGTGATTTAAGAACTCATAAAAGACGGAGTTTCAGAGCTACCTAGAAGAACTCTAGCGAAATGTACGTAGCAGTGCATGGCGATATAATTGAGAGCCAGCGTCCTTGAACTAGCTCCCACTACGTAATGAATCCTTCCAATTATTTTTCTCTTCAGTCAAAATAGATTATTTAAAGCTAGAAAACTTTGAGTTTTAGCCTTACTGATTTGAGTGACTGATGAGCAGGTATGCTCTGTGATTGCGACTGACGTCGGTTTTGAAATCAAAATGAGAATTGCTTAATTTCCGCACCTCAGCTGAATTTAAAACACAATACTCAATGTATATTTACCTGTGTGTATGGGGTACATCCCGGAAAGAAGAGCGGCTCTGGTTGGAGTACAAGTAGGTTGTACATAATAATTATCCAGTATTACTCCTTCAGAAGCAAAGTGATCTATGTTCGGTGTGTTGATCTGTGGGTTGTGAAACCCTACATCGCTCCACCCTAAGTCATCCACAACTATTAGCAAAATATGAAAAGGAGTAGCAACAGCTGGACGGACAGATATGATGAGCATGAGAAATAAAACTTCAAAACATCTCGAATTCATTTTCTCATTGCTTGTGATGCTAATTTTGCTGCATGCAGTACGTGAAGTCAAGATATTTTAAACTGCTAAACGCGAACTGAACCCGTTCGTCTGATATACTTATTCATAATTGGCTGCAACCGATGCGTGTTAGTCACGTGTCTTGTGTACTTATAATTTTTCAGGGGATCAAATATCCTTGAGAACATCACATGATCTACTGGGTTGGGAACAAGGCCTGCCGTCTATCAAAGAATATTAGTTAGTGTAGTAACCAATCCCCGCCTAGTCCCAGTCCGCGTGTTTACGTATAAGTAATTCGACTTTCGCGCAGGTTATGCAAATCGTAAAGTAAGCTGTTACAACTACGTTACGTTCTTGATCTTACTTCGTTCGCCGTATTCCCAAATCGTCAGGTAATGTCCTCTGTCTTCGTTTATCTCGTATTTCCTATGTTATCTGTATTTCCTACGTTATTTCCATTGTTGTAATTAGTCGTTCCGCTCTTAATGTATTATGTTTGTTACTTTATCCTAGAAACCACTGGCAACATCATGTAAATAAGGTTAAGAGTTCGAGTTGTTCCAGTTGAATTAAAACTCTTTTACGACTTATATTTTTGCTGGTGCGTTGGCTACAGTTAGCTAAATGAATGGAAAATGATATACTCTTATGCATGTGTCAAGGCTTGACTCAACCACGAATTTAGTGGGTTTTGATGTCAAGTAGAAACATTTCCCTCATCATTGTTAAACTTGGCGAGCAGTTTCCTTTCCACGTTTGCATCCATTTCGTGAGCTTTCTAGTCACGTGACTCACCTTTGTTTTGTAACGGTCAAAATGTTTCCGACTGAAAATGGGGAATACTTAGTCAAACTGTATTCGCCTTATTTTACATGGAGTGCTGTCTTCTAATAATGCCCAAGTGTTATCAGAAGTGGCCAATCAAGTAAAGCAGGTCACATGACTTACTAAACATACTTTAGGTTGGTTTGCACATGACGTCACCAAAAATCAAACAACATGGCGTTTCCATACAAAGCTTTTGAAATTTGGGTAAAACGTTTTTCCGAATATCTCACCTTTAAAACATTGCACTGACCTGATTCTTAGCAAGGCGTTTTGTATCTTTATCTTCTTTCATTTCCTAGATTCTAGACTTTCTGTATTGAATGGTTTGCATTTGTATTTTTCATGGCGTGACAGTGCAAACCGAGAATACCTTAAAAGGCGGAATCGTGGTCAGAACAATCTTCGATTCAGACCATTTTGATATCCAAAAATTTCAAATTATTAACGTGCAAATATACTACATTTGAAGAAACCCTTTTTGTGATGTCATCAGGAGCGGAAAATCACAAGACGATAAATATAACACTTTTGTTCGATCAAACTCGTTAAATGCTAATTTTCTTGAGTTTCAGAACTGAAACAAACTTAATTCAAGTTACGAACTTCAAGCGTAATGTTGTAAAATGCCTGCTGAGGGTCCTTTTTATTGATCCACAACTATCAGCAAAATATGTAAAGGAGCAGCAACAGCTGGACGGACAGATATGATGAGCATGAAAGCAAAAACTTTAAAACATGTCGTATTCATTTTCTCCTTGTGATTCTGCTTTTGATTATTCTGCTGATTGTGGTTTTGCTTAAATTGCTAAAGATTTGTGTGTATCAACTAACGAGAACTGAACAATATTGATCTGATATACTTAATTGGATGCAACCAATGCGTGTTAGTCACGTGTCTTGTGTACTTACAATTTTTCAGAGGAAAAGAGCAAATATCCTTGAGAACATCACATGATCTACTGAGTTGGGGAAAAGCTCTGCTGTCTATCAAGATTATTAGCTAATGGATATAAAATATGATGCTCTCACATATGTGTGTTAAGGCTTGACTCAACCATGAATTTACTGTCATCTAGTATGGAAATTCTGCGAATCATCTGGTAGCAGAAAGATCGAGCGCATCCAAGAGCGTCCGCTGCCCGCAGTGTATAAATCAACTGAAACGTACGAGGAACTCCTCATTAACGCTAAGTTTCCTGTTTTTGCAAAATGTAAATGAGTATCATTATAACCTGCAAGCGAACTGAAGGAGATGCGAGTTTTTCAGTACTATAAACTTCCGCTTTAAAAGCCCTGGGCTTATAAAACTTCGTAAGAGGTTTTGAGAGGGCTTTTAACCGGACTTAAAAAAAGCGCGGTTTCAAAAAAATTTGCATTGTGCTGATACAAATACTTTTTGAATTGATACCCTTTTTAAAGCTCTTTCACAACGTCGTAAAAAGTCGAATACAAGCTAGGTGGAGCGGGCCTTATAATCGGATGAATTTTTTTATTTGCTGGTCGATGGGCCTATGATTGGGGGCACATTGAATTCGTGCTACTTGAAAATTAACCTTCCAAGACAACAGCACGACACAACAAGAACCCGAAACAGAGCAGGGTTGTACTCTGGTTTAGAGCCGCTCTGACATTTAACTCCAACGCTCACAGAATCACGCCATCTCACGTGACTCCGAGAGGACAAGAGTCCACGTGTCGCGATGATGTCTCGCAAAGAAACTATAAGATGGACAAAACCACAAAGTCAATCTATGACTGGGGTGCTTGTAGGCAGAAGTTTACGATAGGCCATTTTAAATTTGTGGGCTTAGTGTCCTAGCCTTTGAGCGAACGCGAGGCTGAAGTCGACCTTGTTTAGATACAAACCTCATTCCTATTCTAAAGAAATTCTAATTCAAAAATACCAGTCAGCCTCAGAACAAGATGATTTACATAATAAAGCAGGAACAAGGTCAACACCTACTCCCACTACGTCTCTACCTGCTCACGTGCTCTTGAGGTTTTCTGCTGACCAGATATTAGCTTCTAATAGATCACAGCCTCAAGTTTATGTCTTTCAGCTAACAACCCTGGTTAAAATCCTTAAGGTATTAACGTAATAGCTCGTCAAATGAGGTGTTTTCCCTCCCTCCCCTCCCCTCCCTATGCAGTGTTGATGTTATGCATTCAAGCTTGTTTTAATGCATTCAACACTGCTTGGGGGAGAGATGAACAAAAGAATTAGCCTCTAGCTTATAACAACATTCCCAAGCTTTATTAAGAGGTAGAACACGAGTTAATTTAGCAAAGTGCGTCTTCGCACCTATTTTCCCCAAGTGTACCAAGGTGTTTTGACTTGGGTTGTAGTCCTTGACAGTCGCATAGTTCTTCCCTTCAGTTAATTATAGATTTGTGGACTTTTTTTTGCAATGGTTCCAAGTTTACCGTCTGAAGTAAATTATAAATGCATAACACGATCGCTCTTAGCTCAATCTAAATCTATATGCTAGTTTTTTTAATCCTTATTCAATCCGCCCTGGCTGTGAACACTAGCACTTTAATCCGCTAAAAACACCGGTTAATCCTCAATCTTCCCATGGCCCCCAGTATCCCTTCCTACGAGCCGTTTTCTTCGCTTTTCTCGCGGAAGGCTTTTTCTCGGGGGGTACAACACCCTGTCTATAGTACTCCACCCTAGTCATCAATGCCTCCACAATATCCGGGAACTGGTTACGAAGGTTTACCATCTCATACGGATCGGCGGTAATGTTGTAAAGGCCCACATCAATAACGTTTTTGCAACAGTGTCCCTGGAGATAGAAATTGCAAGAAAAGTGACTCCTTGAATACTTAAATGGTTTTTAGTGTTTTTAGTGGTGGTATAGAAGAAAGAAAGGAAGTGCTTGAGTGTCGCCCTATGTAAGAAAATCTGGACTTTGCTTGTGGAGTCCGGAATCCTGGGCTTTGGAATCTGTATAACGATTGAAATCCGGAATCCAAGTTCCATTGCAAAGGAATCCGTAATCCAGTATCTCGAATCCCGAATCCCGAATCCCGAATCCAAGATTCTGGCAGGCTCGACTTCCGCAGTTCGGTGGGGGGTGGGGGGAGTGCGGGCTCATTTTCAGAATTGTGGCTTGTAATCGCGCTTTCCACCTTTCAGAACTGACCGGCCGGACCATTCCCGTCTCAATGACAATTTCTCTTTTAATCAAAACTCTCCAGCCAGATCAGTCAAATCCTGAATAGTATGCACCAAAGGAGATCATGATTTTTCAGCAAAAACTCTTGGAAAAAGCCTAATTCATTATTAAACTTACTGGTCCGGCAATGGTCCGGCCGGCCAGTTCTGACAAATGGAAAGCACCCTAAGAATATTGCCGGCTTGGATTCCCTTACATATAGGGTACGGTGAATTCGAATACTGAAATGGGTTTTAGTTTCAAGAAATGGTTTACATAAATAAAACATGGTGCTTCTTTCTGTCACCGGAATAAAAGAAAACTCATATCTACAATAACCGAAACTCGTCACAGAATCGGCGCCAGCTATGCAAATTTGTGACTAACGAAAGTAAATGTTACATATTAGACTAAAAGAGTTACACGAGATGCGAATTTTAAACTAAATTGTAACAGTACAAACTGCCACCAAATTGAGTGAAACATAAAAAGTAATTGCTCAAACATTAAAAGAAAGGGTTTAGAACACAGCAAAGACAAAATTAGCCAGGAATGGACAAGCTTGAAGAAGATTAAAAAGGATTGAAATTGCGGTGGGTTAACTTAGCAGTCTTAAAAAGTTCATTTTTTTCGGTTGGTTTAACATTTGGTATAATGTTTGGGAACTGTATTAGTTGGACAAGATATAGAATCTGTCATGTTGTGGCTTGCCAGTAATTTTTTTTGTTAAGTTTAATGGCCTCTAAAGCCTGGTTTAAACTAGCGTATAAGCAAAAGCATAAGCACAAGCACATGTGTAAGCAAGTGAAAACTAGGTCGACATAAGCATAAACATAAGTACAAGAAAAACGGAGTAATTAAGTCCGTTCTTTTTGAGCTTAATACTTAAGCTTATGTCGTAGCTTTGACTAGCACAGGCATAAGCAGAAGGCCGTGGACCAATCATAGGTCACTTTGACCCAGACCTCATACGAACATATCAAAAGCCATATGGCGGACGCTTCGTCCGCCATCTTGTTTATCGTCGGGTTGAGGAGAGCTGGTATTGAGAATTGAGTCAAATATGCCATTCTGCGCGTGCGTATGTCCTTATGCTTAAGCCTATGCGCTAGTGAAAACCAGGCTAAAGGATACGTAATTGGCTAAATTAACAATGGATTAAGCAACTGTGACACAATGCAGCCCCTTTATCCTGTCAACTTAAAAGAAATTTTAAGTGTACATGATAACCTTTTTTCCTTGCTCAGCTGGAATACTTCCAACCAACTCTGGTGGGATATACCTCTTCCTATCGGTTTGATTTAATATCAACTTCATGTCTCCAACACGAATTGCTGCCTTATGGTCACTAATGTCATGCACAATCTCCCTTCGTGGCGATGGATCCCCTTCGGATAAACTGCGCCAAATGTTAAAGCCATCCAATTGCCGAATAGCAGCGTCAGTACGTCTTCGGTCAAGAGATCGATCTGACAGTCATTAAGAAGAACAAAATAAGTATACTAAAACTGATCTTAAAATTAATTTTGCTACCATCCTGGGTTAGGACAGTACGGAGCTATGTAAGTTCAGTTAATAGGAATATATCTCAAACTGGCAAAACACCCTTCAACATTCTCAAAAACTTGAATTTTATAGATCTTTTAAAACCGATCATACCACCTCTAATTACTTACACTTAACAAGAGGAACAGTTGGGTGAAGGGCTTTAGTAAAACTACGAAAAAGCAATCACAAACTAATGATAGGATTGGGTAGATACAATCAAACTACGAAGGATAATAGGCATTGTCATTTTTGAACTTGGTTTTTTACTAGATTAGCAATCTAATAGAAGGCCAAGTTCACTTTCTTTTTCGCTGTCCTACATACTCTATGATTAGGAATGATTTTTTCAATAAAATCAAGACTCTGATTCCAAATATTACCCAGTTACCTATGTAAACGTTATGATCAATGAACTGATGAACTCCTCCAATCACTTTATCAGGATACAATTCATAAGATATATCTCAGGTTGCTTTGACGTTCGTGACAAATTATTACCAAAATAACGTAGCTTTTGCAATACGGTACTTGTATCGTCATGCAAATATGAGCTCGTTGTTGTTGTTGTTGTTGGAGCAAAAGCAAAATCGTTTTTGAGTGACGCTCGTCAACCAGAAAAGTGCCCTTTTCTCTCCCTAAATTTGTGTTTCCTTTTAATTAAGTAATTATGTTTAAGTAATTATCTTTCTTGGTCTTATACGACCATGTTTTTCAGGCAGCAGTTAATATGGCTTTCGCGAGTGGCAAATCCAGGGAAAACGTTCCATTTTCTTCGACAAAAAATTCTCGGGAAAAAAATTTAAGTGGCAATTGCACAGTTTTATTCACTTTCTGTTCTTCGGCTTTGTTTATATATCTTTGTTTTAGCTTTCTATTTATCTGCGAATTGGAGCACAGGTAGTTACGTCCCTCAATGTCCTTGAATGGAAGTTAACAAATTTTTTAATTTACCTGCAAGATTAACAAGAGTCGGATACCAGTCAGTGACATGAAAGAGCTCCTTACACTTAACCCCAGTCTTTTGAAGCATCCTTCCGTGAACTAGACCAACTCCCCTGACCCCTCCCTCCCAGAGGCTGCCTTTCTGTCCCCGGAGGGGCCAGTTGTATCCACCTTGACCAGGATTGCCTCCATTATCAGTAGTTACAATCGTGAAGGTTTCATTCCATAGACTGAAACGAAAGCAAAGAAGTAAAACCTTTTCATAAGAACTGTTGTTTAGGGGACTATGTCAAGCTATTTGCTATCTTTTTAAAAAGGTAAGGCACACCATCACTGGTTACCCCGCGAAGTGGCGCCCAAGGAGTGACGGAAGAAATTCCATACTGATGACGTCATGCTGATGACGCGTTACTACCCATGCAAATCTGGTTAGTGTTTCTAATTGCTCGTGCCTCTTGGGATATTTACTTCAACCAATCAGAAGCACTACCCAGACCTGGGTAGTGCTTCTGATTGGTCGTGTTGCGTGAGAAATGTACTTCAACCAATCAGACTGAAGCACTTCCCTGATCTGGGTAGTAACACGTCATCAGCATGGAATTTTTTCGCTGGTTTCTCAGACGTCATTTGTCGGCTGTCTTTTCACTCCGCGTCAATTGTTTCGTTATTGAAGACTATGTTTAGGCATTTTTTGTCGTCACGTTTTCCCGCCACTCTGGTTCACGCGCGCGCACTACTTGGTATAGAGAACACCTCGCCCTCGTAGGCGTCTTTGCCTTAGAATGTGAAAAGTCTCTTTTAACGAACTTATACCGTTGACGACTCACCCAGCCTCTTTCATAGCTTCTGTGACGTTTCCTATCGCTTCGTCCATAATGTCGACCATGCCAGCATAAGTTCGCCTCCTTTTGTTGCGAATTCCTCGATACTTCTGTTCGTATTTTAGATCAACGCTTAATGGTCCATGCACACTTTGAAATGGAAGGTATAAAAACAAGGGCTTGGATGCATTGTGCGATAGGATCACTCTCCTTGCTTGCTGTTTAATAGAAAAAGAAACTCAAGTCATAAACTGATTTGGAAATGTTCTATTAGGTCGATTTTCGCTCGTACTTTGAAGCTAACATGACGGGGTTCTTAAAAACTCTTAAGGGTTTCGTGCGAAAAGAAATTACTGACCAGTTTCTATGTAAAATACTTCAGCCATGGAGATTCCTCGCAAAGCATTTCTTGACCACCAAGAACGCCGCTAAAAGAACTGAACGAGTTTTTCAAGTGTTTTTTATATGAGTAGGGAACTGTAGGGCACACTATCGTCATATTTATGTATACAGCTACTTCAAGAAAGGATGTCGGAAAAATGTGCACGCGACAATCCCGAAAGGTAATATGGGATACGATCAATACACTGTTCCTAACCACTGTAGCTGTCGAACCTACTATTGTTGCTTTCCTTTAGCACATGCAAACAAATGTCCGTGGCCTCCCGTGCCATTCTTTCAAATTTCTTTGAAGAACAGTACCTTTCGTGATTGACGCCTGTACTTTTTTTTGAAATAGCTGTAAAGACAAACCGAGATTACACCACCCTTGCATTGCGTTCAGGCTGAACGCGAACTCAGACAATCTTTTTAAACCTCACAAAAGTTGAGGCTCACAGCCATCGCCTTGCGGGAAGATACGACACTAAACCGCTGACTACGATCAAATTTTTATGGAAAAAAAGTTACTAAATGGGTTTCCACTGTATTTCGTTACTGATGAGTACTATTTTACAATCTGGAAGATCTGTGAATACCTCAGCGTACAACGTTGCCGAATAAACTCCACTCTTATTTCGTACGGGTTCCTTGTTGTCATGCAAATCAAGGATTCCGTCATGTTCATGGCTGTAGTAACCTTCAGCTCCACCGTAAAAACCGTAAAAGGAGTCGAAACCACGGTATAACGGGGTGTAAGGCCAACGAAAGAAGCCAAGATGCCATTTGCCAATAATGTGAGTAGAATATCCTGGAATGAAAAGATAATTTACAGGAGCAATTGGTTAGCCTGAGATCAGAAAACAGCTGAAACTTCGCGACGTCACCAGTGGTTTCCTAGCGAAATGACGTCGAGGGATGACAGACGAGCCTCAAAAATTCCATACTGATGACGTGTCACTACCCTTACCTGGGTAGTCAGCTTCTAATTGGTTTAAGCAAATTTCTCTGGAGGCACGACCAATCGGAGCACTATCGGCCAGATCTGGGTAGTGACACGTCATCAGTATGGAATTTCTGCGCTCGTTTCTCTGATGTCATTTCGCGGGAAATCCAGTGGTAACGTTGCGAAATGTCGGCCGTTTGTTGGTTACTATGTGTTAAATGAATTTTATATTATTTCAGAATTCGTCATCCAGAAACGAGTGGGCTCTATACCAGACAGCAGAATCTTAGTCCTAGCTATAAGAAAACATTAAACAAAGATCAATTAAGCGAAAAAGATGCAGTCGAATCTTTTTGACTTTACAACGTACACATTGTAAAAGGAAGGGGAGGGGAGATGGCTAGCTATTGTAGGGTACTGTACCGGGGGGTGGAGAGCAGGCTCATTTCCCGCTCAGCGGCTGTAATCGAGGCTATGCTTCCACTTCCATAGCTTATCGACTTGAACTTAAGGGTCGGATCTTTTTATTTGTCTGAGAACGTTTATACTTAATAGTTCTTATTAATGCGAGCGGGAGGTCTGTATGGGAGAATCTTGACCGAGGTCGCCAATACAGACCGAACGCAGTGTCGAGCAGTGAAGTCTGTACCAGCGTCTGAGGTCAAGATTCTCCCCTAAAAACCGACCTAGCTCGGTTTAAATAATAACATGTTCATTATATGGCCAAACAAGAAAGCAAAGGAACAAAAAAATCAATTACCATTTCATCTTTGCTCGTAATAGCTTCCTCGGCAGGACTCAAATTTGCCAACGTTTGCTCGTGGTCTTTACCTACTTCCTTGTGAAGGTCCAATGATTCTTCCATTTAGTATTATTAACAGGAACAAGCCAATTTTTTCACATTCTTTGCTCATTCTCTCTTGTTCTTGTTTGTAACTTTTTGAGGACAACTGTTACAACAAGATCGGTCTAGATGCCGGTTTAAATGGGAAAATCTAGACCGCGGTCAAGATCGATTTTAGCTAATCAAATTCTTGAATTTGGTTGTTTCCAGTCCTTTTGAGACATGCCCATATATAATAATACAGAGTAATTATAGACTTACCTGCTTCTTTGAGTTTCTGTGACAAGGTAGTAAATCTAAGAGGCAGTCCGTATGGCTGCTTTTGATGTAAGACTCCCTTTTGCATGCCTAATATCAGGAGCAATAATTGAAAAAAAAAAAACAGTCTAATTCAGGACCTTTTTATATGACGTAAACCAGACGGCACTGTGTTGTTTCTTAGTCAGAATCTCATAGAGTTAAAAAAAAAATAATGAGTGTTGGACCTGAAAACGTACCGTAGACCAATGATCAGTTAACATGCATTTGCTACGGTTCAGTTCAACTCACCGACTTCACAAGTCCAACTTACTAACAAACTCCTCCGAGTGAATCTTATCGAGAGGCCCTCTCGAAGTAGTGAACTACCAACGAAATTTGAAGAGAGTGTTTAGTAATTAGTTTCTGATTAACGCAAGAGTGCTAGGATATTACGAATGCCTCCATATTTCAGTAAGCTTTAGTTGCTTTACAGAAGAAGAAGAAACAGAAAACGAGTTGAGTTAATTAATCAGCTTTGGTGTGACTAGATTCTTTCTCTTTGCTTTTATATTGATGTTACTGATTTTATCTCGCGTTTTTATCATATTTTATACTGCAATGCAATATGTTAAGGTCATGGGGCAAGCATCGTTTGCAGATAATGATGCATTTAGACTCTAGTTATTTCGATGTACATGACCTTTGATAACTGTATTTCTCTTGTAGCTTAATTACTCATTTGAACTTTTTTGTACCAAAAAAAATTCGCTGAAGGGAAGCCCGAGGTCACAAAGTTATGGGTCTAGTTGAAATAAAAATGGCTTTCACTGATCTGCTCCGAGCTAAATTAATGCCGGGGTTGCGGGGGGGGGGGGGGGTACACTTTATAAAGCTTTGTAAGGGAAGGCTCCACCCAAGGACTGTTGTGAAACGTTCGAATGCTTATGAATCATTGTATTTTCTTATTTCATTAAATTTTCGGTAGTTGATTAACTAAGCAAGCCATTATCTCGCCACCGCTAAAAGAGATGTTTAGATTGTAACAGGAAATATCGTGGGATAAGATAATTAGAATTAATCAATGTTGTTTTTAATCGGGTATTACCAGCTTAACCGCACGTAAGGATTAGCACCATAATTGTCAAGTAAACCCACGCTTAATAGGAAATTAGTTGAAATTAGTGCCCACGAGTCGAAGTTAAAGGTGAGCAAAGAACTTGGACCACATTTGATTATTGTGACCACGCCGGAATTACGCTTCTGGGTGTGGATTTCCTTAGCAAATATACGCAGCATTTTTGTAAAATTTAGTTAGACTGAAATCGATCGTAGAACGGAACGTGTAATGTTGAATTGTCAAGAGTAAAGTCAGATTTGTACGAAAGTATACAGTCCTCGATTATTGAACCAGCGTGTGTGGAATCTGTCTCTATCGCAAGTGGGCAATTCTGCGGAAAGGACCAACTCCTTACCCTTTTGACGGAAAAGGTACCTCTTTCGTGTACCTTCTATAAACAAAATGGTACCCCTTTAACATACCAAGTATAGCACTTTGCACCGCTTTTAACTGCTGCAAATGCACTGACGAATAAATCACAAAACGAGAACGTTTTCTCGACTTCTCCTGTTGAGTTCTTCTCCTGTTCTGAGCCCTTTTGGTCTCTTCTGTAGACCGAAATGACAGTCCCTACCCTTTCACATACCTGAAACCTAAAAAAGGAACCCCTTTCCGATGGAGCCTCCCCGTATAGGTCATTACAGGGAGTACCCCCCGGGAAGGAATTAAACTACTAAACACAAATCTCGCCTTATTCGTTTACCTGTGTGTATGGGGTACAATCCAGTAAGAAGAGCGGCTCTGGTTGGCGTGCAAGATGGTTGTACATAATAATTATCCAGTATTACTCCTTCAGAAGCAAGGTGATCTAGGTTCGGAGTGTTGATCTGTGGGTTGTGAAACCCTACGTCGCTCCATCCTAAGTCATCCACAACTATCAGCAAAATATGTAAAGGAGTAGCAACAGCTGGACGTACAGATATGATGAGCATGAAAGTAACAACTTCAAAACATCTCGAATCCATTTTGAGGAAAGCCCCTCGCTTGTGGCACTAGTTTTGGTGGTGGAAGATAAGTCACTGTATCTCAAACCACACTGTATGAAGATTTGATTGGGGTAAGAGGACCACGTGATACAACTCACTTTGAGGACTACGTGATACAACTCACTTTGACTCTGAAGATGACTAACGCACAGGTTGTCGAAACGTCAGTCACTGTCAGCAACAACAGTCCTATTCAGGATTACGTTCACCCGGACGATCAAACTCAACCTACTTTTGAAATGAGTCCTGGGTTCAAACCTTTCACAGTTTTACTGTATGAAGAGTTATTAAGGAGAAATAAACGATACTGATACCGACTTAATTGGCTGTAATTGTAGCCAATGCGTGTTTTTCACGTGTCTAGTGTACTCAAATTCCCTTGAGAACATTACATGATATATTTTTTTGGGTAAGAGGACTACTGTCTATCAAGATATGATGTGAAGTACTCAAGACACCCAGTTTCCTAAAGATCGAACAAAACAAATTCGGGTAAAACCTTGGGGATACTGTACAAGGAGGTACACTGATCAAACGTCATAAAGATTTTGAGCCAGGATTTGTCTTCACAGTAGCTGCTTATTTAATGTGTTCTTTCAGGGACACATTTTGGGGAAAGTTAGCGAGACGTGGTTGGAATTAGCCTTCGAGCAAGCTCTCCTATTTGGGCGAGCGAAGCAAGCCGCGCGAGAACGCGCGAGTGAGCGGCAAAGCCGTCCCCCGCTTTCGCGTCTCCTCTCGCGTGCCTCTCGCGCGACTACTTTTCACGATATCCCCAAATGGAGAGTTTGCTGGCAGGCTAGGTTGGAATTACAGTGAAGCGGACGCGGACACTAAAATAAATCGTATTTGGCTAATTTCAATAGTTAAAAAACCTCTTTTAAGCGGACACCGGACTGAATTGACGACAGTATAATAGTATTGGTGTACTTCCTTGAAATGAAATACATTTAGCTGTCAATAAACTGTAATTAGATCGATATCCGGCAGTATAATTGTCATCCGCGATCAAATTTCACCTACAAGTTTTGCGCAAAGTACAGCACAGCTTCCTTAGCTTCTTTAGTTTCCTCAACAACATGGAACTTAATCAGCCGTTGAATGTTAATCGTTAACAGACATCGCGCAATTTTTACAAACCTCCACTAAGCGGACACTTGGGAAAGTCTCGAAGGTATCCGCTCAATAGAGCTTTCACTGTACTAGACTTGTTTTGCTTGCAGGTGCTCATGGTTTTAATTGTCTCTCTAGGCAAAATTTTACTTGGCTAGCCCTGTTGTATTGTTTTTTTTTTCACGGCGGTGTGGTTCAAGACTCAAAAATTAAAATCAAAGAGTAATTCAAAATACCCACTCTCTTTAATTTAAGCGGTGATTATGATAACGATGATGATAGTGATAATAATGACGGTGCAGGTGATGATGAGTATTTTGACGATGATGATGACGATAATCATGATCATGATGTATAATAAGAAGGAAATGTGTAATTCCATCCCAAATAGTCTGTACAAAGACAAAGGTATATAACATAGAGAGTTAATTTAAAGGCCATTTAATGCCCACCGGTGGCTTCTATATTGGATCCAGCTTTGCCTTGTTGAGATCGCTGAATATCAACAATTGTTCCATTGAGACTAAGCATGATATGAAGGACTGAAATAGACCACAGTGGTGATATCACCGGAAACGTTGCACTGCCTCTGTTATCTGACGCCATTTGTACAATATTTTTTTTATCCCTAGAGTATTAGTTTTGATCGTCCATTGAGCGAATGACAGAAGGGGGGGGGATGGGATGGGGTGGGGTGTCTGAGTTAGTTTGGCCTATTGCTAATTTCAAATCGAGGAGGACGGGGTACGAGTCCGTTTATTATGGGAAAAACAATACGTGCCGCAGATAGTCAGAGAGAGTACACCGAACTTTGCAAAATTCTTAAGTTTGGTGTTCATCAGGCGAATATTTACTAAGAGATGTATGGATTGCCGGATCTCTTTACGAATGGCTTTAACTCGTTTAATATAGGCCCGATAAAAACCAAACTTGAGGATTTTGTAAATCCCGGTTTCATCTTTCTGACTTTGTGGGTCTCTTGTTGTTTTTCCCAGAATAAACGGACTCGTATCCAGCCTCACTCGATTTAAAATAAGGCAATGAAACTGAGGTTAAGCCAGCAGGAACATCGGGCGTACATCTGCAGCAATGGCATCTTTATCGAAAATTTCATTTTAATTAAGGTTCTGAATATTCCAGTTCCTTGTGAGAAGTCCATGCCAGATAGGTGTTCCAAAACAGTGATACCACATTGACGACTAAAACTCGTAGATGGGCTGGAAACAAGTAAAAGTTCAGAAACTGCACGGCGGGCCAGATCTTGTAGTTAACGACCATGTTGGGGTAAAATTCCTCGTATATTTTGTCGCTGATCTGTTTTATTGTCCGACGTTCCACGATTCCTACAGCGCCATAAAATAGCACGAGAAAGACTGGTGCTAGTATACTCTGGTCAACTGTCATTTTGCGCATGGCATTTCCAGGGCTTCTGCGAGAGAATCGTTGATCAAGTGCTGCGTACCATACGTGGAATATAGGACCAATCACCACAGTTCCAACGGCTGTCATTCGAGCTGTTCTTATGAAGTCGTGTTCTCGTAGGGGAACTTTTTCGACGCATTGTTGTGCAATGAAATCGCCTGCACCAAGGAGAGCTCCTGACAGAAAAAAAAAATAGTAAAGGTCGTTATTATGTATAATTCAGCGCCTAATTTTAAGGGCACTTTTTTATGCCTTGAAAGTGGTGAGTGTGCACCTTCCCTCCTCTCCCAGGTGGGGGCGGGGTGGGTTTTTTCTTCATACAAATTGGCCACTGCGGCTATCGACTACTACCAAAAGTTCATAACGGTTTTCTATGGAACTCGGCCTGCAGTTTTACTAACAAGTCAGTATGTTAAATGGATCTGTGCAGACGTATGTTTTTTTTTTCAGTGAAATGCCATTAAAAATTGCTTTCGCATGACATCGGCCAAATATATTTAGGGCCCAATAACGCACCCCTTTGATAGAGAACGATTGTCTTTTTTCCGGCCACGCTTTAGCAAATAATCCAACCCGATAATTAATAGCGTCCGCTAACTCGCAGGCAGAAGTTTTCCACTACATTAAATTGACCGTTTACTAATTCACTCCGCTGCGGTGAAGGTTTATCATGATCATTGGTCTGTTTCGTCATTTTTCGCGCGGATAGAAGTCGTTAAAGACTAAAGCAGAGTGAGCATCAACTCGTGTGGACTGTGTGCAGTGCTGTGCTTAGCAATATATGGTCACCATGGTATTTGCATATTTTACGAGAGCCGTAATTATTCACAGCTTTGTTTACAACTGTGCAGGTCAAAGTACGTAGCAAATTTGCTGCCTTAAGTTAGGAAACCTTTAGAGAATCATCGGTCGAAAATTCTTTGAAATATCGAGTCATTAATTGTAATTAACACTCTTTTACCGATCGAGAAATCAATCGAAGCGCGAATAACATGTACCCATAATTGGGTTCATGTTCTGCCGACATTTAAAAATGTCAGCAGAACAGAGCGCGAATTTCCCATATTTTTGTTTTTCGGAAAAATCAGCTTTTATGGAAACGTAATTGGAAATTATGGATTTATAATTTTATACTGGAAGATCATCAAACAAGAGTAGAGTGTAAAGGTTAACTCTATAAGAACAACTGCGTGAATAGGATCGCTCAAACCTGTCGAAATGAGTTGTGTTTTCCACGGGTGATTCTCTAAACATTGCATGTACCACTTCCAAGCTCGACGAGGCAACCTCATGAAGGTCATGTTCTCGTACCGACCAGGCTGTGAAAAATAACTTGGACAGGGTTTTTTACGTCTACATCTCTTGCAATCTCTTGCGCAAATACACTGTTTTTTCCTGTCAGATATCTTAAGTGCTGAGTGACGTTATAAACATCGAAGTTCTAATATTTGCATCACAATGAATATTGATTCCTTCTTTGTAGGGGCCTGAATATTTTTGTCATAGGTGATAAATAATACGGTTTGATTTTAAAGGTTGAACATTAAACATAGAAAAAACACATCTTATTTTCGTTTTAAAAGGGTTTCAAAATGGTAAGAAAATCCAGGCAGGCCCGACCTCCTTCCCTGTAGTTAAAATTTAATAACTTGTTAGATCATAAGAGAATTTTCAAGACCCGATTCTTTCTAGGAATGTGTTTTTTACGCTCTCTCTCTTTGGAATGATGAACATAAGTGTCATAAAAGACCCAGAATCTTTTAAATAAATACAATAATAAGAAGTATTAAAATTTGTTTAATAATAATGTATTCATGTTTTTTGTCACGCGGTAGGTCACGCTTCAGGTGTGTGACCGCCCAGCCACCGCCCCCTTTTTCGAGAAGGAGGTAGGCCTGGGTAAAACAGCAGAAAGTGTTTCCTTCGCACGGAAGCCGGCCGGGAAAGGTATGGGAAGTTGCTGTCTGTTTCGTGGATATTTTTGTCGTCTGGTTAAATAAGCACGGGAGAAAGAGTAGCTAATTGTCATGGCATTAAAATTGCCCAAGTCAAAAGTAAGTCTTTGTTCTATACGTTCCAAAACACGCTGTTAAACAGTTATCGAACGTAAAGTTCTTGTTTATGTCCGAACTTCGATATACTTGTATGCAGTCTTGTGTTTCATCTGTTTGATTAGACCTCTGTTTTTAATTTTTAAAAGTTTTAACCGTGTTAGGCGTTCAAAACTTGTAGAAGATGACAAGCGATTAGTCGTGTTTAATTTCTTGTTATTTGTGGCTTCATGCTAATTTAAATTACAATAACTATAGGTCTAACAATGAACATGTACACAATATCGTAGAAACTTAAAACACATGAATCTCGCAGAAATCCTTTGGCCAACGCACAGCAATCGTGCAGTTACTAAAACTAAACTTACTTTACACTTTGGTAGTTTTTTCATTGCCCTCATGAATTCGATTACGTCGCGAGTTTGCATAAACTTTCACACGAAATGAATTTGTATTATCTTTAAACCATTTGCTCGAAAGGTAAGCTTAAGCTCTGTGGAATGGTTGTTGAGTTCGTTTCTCTTTAAGCCCTAATATTCACATACAAATTCCCCATTCTTAATTAAATCATATCTGCAGAGAATGAGATTAGAGTTTTAAAGGATCATATCATGTTAATTCTCATAACTTATATTCCCTTGATTATGTGTATATTTGCTACTTGTCGTTGTTAGGAGAAAATCAATGTTGGTCACTTTTGGGACTCAGTGCATTAATTGGAGCAACTAGCTTCATTGTATACATGAATTGTTAGTTTAATATGCTCATCATGAAAAAGGTTACAATCTTGGAGAAGATTGTTAAGAGAAATGGATGTTTCCATTGCATGTCCAGGTTCAAGATATAAAGCTCTCGAAAGCTCTGGCAACTACAAATACTCCTCCCTTCCCCCCTACAAAAACATTGTTAAAGTGTGGCTGGATCATTTCTGACCCCGACTAAACAACACTGACCAGGGTGGGGCGAGATGAGGTGCCATAGTGGCGCCAAATCCACGGTTCAGGGGTGGATCTAGGGGGAGGGTGCAGGGGGTGCACACCCCCCTCCCCCCTGAGATGACCTGTGGTTTTCTAATACAACTGGTATTCTGTAAAAAAAAAAAAAACTATGTGATTTATTGGTGTTGAAGTAGAGCAAGAGACGAGTGCACCCCCTCCTAAAAAAAAATCCTGGATCTGCCCCTGCGGTTGGTAAGAAAGTGCAACATTCTTAACACTTTTTGTCCAAGACTGTAGCTTGCCGCTGATGTAGGATAAGGCAAGTGGTATGTAATATACATACAGGCAACTGCCAATAAAGGTAAAAATGATACTCTATTTAAGGATTGAGACTGTCAAAAACCAATTACAAACCCTACTGGGCACATGTAGACATACCTATCTAGTCCATATAGGGGAGTATCCCCCCCCCCTCTCGGTCTACTGCCAACTTAAAGGGCCTTCCAATGCACTCTGTTAAGATTTTAGGAAGTTAAGTCACCGCTGCTTATTCCGTTATTGACAGCTGCTTATGAAAAAAATTATTGAAAACCCTGCTATGACTTTAATAAGTTTTTTTCCCTCTTTCATTTTAGGTAGAACTTCATGTACACCTTGATGGCGCTCTAAGAATACAGACAATCATTGACTTAGCGAAGTATGAAAGTGTATACAAATTAATGTACCCCTAATTAGCCAAAGATTAAGGTTTTTGTGGTAGTATTCTTCATATTGTGGACCATATTTTCCACTTCTCAAGGCAAAAAAACTGAGAGCTAAGAAACAAAGACGGATTTGTACCCTAAAGTCGTGTAATTTATAGTATTGGCTAAGGGAGTGAGACTTGTAAAATGTTCTTTTTTTAAAATTGTGGCTTTCTTTCCAATGTGAACCAAGGCAAACTAGGCTATTGCAGGTCTTAAAAACCCTTCTTTTAGCTTTCTACCCTCCCTTTCATACAAAGTTTATTTAATTTCTTGAAAACCATGCATTTCTAAGTCTGTGCATTAAACACGATTTCAGGCTTGTTTTATTCTGAAACGTCCTATAAATATTAAGACTTAAGGCTGAAAATTATTATGCTTTCTTTTTCAGGGAAAAGCAAATATCTCTACCTTCTTATGATGAGAATGGCCTTAGACAGTATGTGTCTGTCAGTTTGGATAAACCATCCTCTCTTCGAGGCTTTCTAAGCTGTTTCCGTGTCTTTGTACCCGTGATAATGTAAGTATACTAATTTTCAACTGAAACACAGAAGATCCATGGTGAACACATCAAATAATGGTGTTCCACCATAAATTCTTCTTAACTGAATCGTTAAAGTAATTAAATGATAGTATTGTTCTTAAGTGACAAGTTGCCATGGCAGCAGTGTAACCTGTTAAAAGTTCTGTGATTTTTTTATTTCCTTCCCTGGTTATTTCAACTTTTGGCACACTGAGGGGAATATAGAGAGAATCAACTGAGGCCGGTACTAGGTTTGCTCCAAATTTTATGATAAAATATGCATTCCTCGAACTGTTATATGAACCTGGTTTCAAGAGTTTTCCTACATTAAAACTTTAGAACTCACGAGTTGGTCAAGGTCATATTTCTCAAGCAATATATCTCTGATATCTCTTTATATCAAGCACCGTAACAAAGGGAAGGTGGGGCATTAATTTGTAAACACCCCAATTAGCACTGCAGCAGTTATTTGAGATCTGCGCTTATGAAATTATGTTCTGTAAAGGGTGGCGTTTATTCGAGGGTGGTGGTTATTCGAGTAGGGCCTGCTTAATTGATCATGTTTGGTAGTTTTGGATGCATTGTCAATGGGATATTTTAGAGTTCCAAAAACCCTCACTTTCAAAACAAAGCTAAGTAAGAAACCTTTCTTGTGATAACGAGTTTCATCTGAGTGCATGGGAATAAAAAAATCATATCAATGGCTTTCACTTAGCCTTGCTTTGAAAAAAGGCCTTGGGTAACTTGAAAATGACCTATTGACGGTCCCTTTTAACAAGTATATCCGTAATTGCGGGCGACAAGAGGAGCCCGCAATCTAATCTCCAGGTTGTTATTACACGTGCGTCACATGTATGTAGCCAGCATTCGTTTGGACTAAGAGTGAATGGAATGCACAGAACGCAGTTTGATCATGCGCTTTTGGACCTCTTATCACTCGAAATCTGATCACGCGAATTTGATCACGCGTGTTTTGACCATCTGTCACGTGAAACTTTTGATCTTCGATCGTTGTCGCCCGCACTCCGTAACCTTTGGTTATCATCATCATCATCATTATTTATTAGCCTTTTTGTTACAGCAAATTTTACAGGATACAGCAGGTTGTAAGGCGAGGAGACCTCAAGAAACCACCAGGCTTATATAGAGAGGCCACCTCGACATCACAATATTATAAGAAATAAGGGCTGCGAAGAAGTGCGGCTAAACTAATTCAGTAACTATTTTGATAAAAACTCTAGCACTAAGGCGGAGCACTTAAAGATGCGTCCGCACGGCTTCGCGTTATTACTAGCAATTATGTGATATTACCTTGATATGATTTTAGAGATGATGTTGTTGCACTTGAAAGAATAGCGCATGAATTCTGTGAAGACCAAGCATCAAGCGGTGTACTGTACTGTGAAGTGCGGTACTGCCCGCATCTTCTGTGCACAGCGCATAATTGTATGATGAATGGGAGACCAGATGATGAAGATAATGAGGTCCCTAATATGCTGCTTAAGAAGGGAGTTTCTCCACGAGATGTAGTGCAAGCTGTTTGCAGAGGACTGCACAGAGGAGAGAGGGACTTTGGTGTCAAAGTCAGGTCCATACTTTGCTGCATGAGACCGGAGCCTGGTAATAATATGTTTACCTTCTATCGGCCACTGTGGGTGGAAAAGCGTTATGATTGGTCGATGGTATTCAAGGCAACCATGAACCAATCATAAGTAACTCTTGTCCATCCAAACGGTCCCAAAATCGTTGCACCGCAAAGAGCTTGAGCCCATTCCCCTTATAGCTTCTGGAGTGTTGGTCTGTTCTGTGAGTCTGTATTGTGTCGAAATGCGCTATGGGACTCTTTTGGGAGCGTGTTTGACCGACTTTCCCTTGTGATTCTGTAATAGCTAAAAAAAAGACGTCAGGGTCCTAAAAACTGTCTCATACTGCATTTTGACTCAACATGTATCTATCCCCCATTTTTCCGTAGGATCGTCCAGATTGAGCGCTTTGCGTTACGGGTAGCCACCTTGGATGGGTGTCAAAACTACTTGGGTGGGGGGACAGTTTGGGACGAAGCTAGAAAGATCTATTTTTTTAACCTCCCTGCCCCACCGCTTTAAACCCCGACGCCCTCCCCCTCGATACATATGACACCAAGATGGCCGCCAGTAACGGTAAGTCTTTGTATCCAGCCTTATGGGCAACTTACATTGTACGCGCAAATTGTCCAGTATCCTAGTACAGTCGACCATCCATGTGCGACCACTTGTCCCAAGCGACCATGATCCAAAACACCATTTTTTTCAGTCAAAGCTTTACAGCTGGAACCTCTCGTAAACGACCACCTTCCGAAAGTGACCTCAACCTCGACCACGACCTTGTACTGTCCTGAAAAACTCAAAAACTAGCGCCTGTTTCTGGGGGCTAACGGGCCCAAGTTCTACGGCAAAAGGGCCGACTTGTTTTCATTGTTCATCCAAAATATTTATTTCTCCGTCTCCGATTAGCTGGTATTTTGTGGCTAATTGCTATTTCGATCTAACGCTGGCCCAGCGCCAATAGTCTTATGAAAAAAATGAAAATAGGGGTCATGTGTGACGCCGCGGCAAATAGAGGACAGTTGAGAATAGTAGCAGAATTATAAATGTCGGTTTCTGTTGTTTATTAATTTTCAATGCTTGAAATCCTCTTTTTAGGGTGGTCATTAGAAATTCTTTCCTTGTGCAAAGAATTTTCAAGCGATGGTGTCGTAGGAATTGACTTGGCCGGAGACGAAATACTAGGAGAGATTCCAGCGATGAAAGGACATATTAATGCTTTTAAGGTGTGTTGTAAGTTAAAGCCCTGTATATACCTTTTACGACGCATGGTTGCTATTGCCCACAGTGAGAAGTACATACCCTCCAATACGCTGGTTCAGCATTGCCAGATAGTGTTATTTGGAAAGACTAGGGGCCCATAAGGGTGGTGCTACACGATTGGCAACGACGATTTTAGCGCAATCAACCAATCAATTTAGTAACGTCAATACGTGGGATGGGGTTGCCCCGATCATCTGAGCCAGAGGCTCATGTATAAAACGCATGACGATGTTTCGTTAAAAGTTGATGCCGTGTAACGTGGATACACGAATTAATTATTAACACTCGCCCATGGTCATAGGGAATTGTGACATATGTTGTGTAATATTTTCATGTAGGAAGCTAGACAGCTGAAAATTCACAGGACAGTCCACGCGGGGGAAGCTGCCCCAGCTGCTAGCGTCAAAGAGGTAAGACACTACAGAAAGTTCCTAGGCCTACAGTTACAATTTTATGCAAATACAAAACGAAAAAGGCCACTAGACCTCTTGAAATCCTTTGCAGCTTGGTGTCACCTATCTATCTCATGAAAAATTATCTGACAGAGCGATTTTCGTATGACCTTGAAATGAAAACGCGCGAACAAAATAGAAACAACAAACCAACGGAAAGAGAGCGATTAGCCTGTTCCAAGCGTTCAGATAGTGGAGAGCGGTGCGAAGTAAAGAAAGCGATGAAAAGTAGAGGGGGACTCTCCCCCTCCCTCGCTTTTATTTTTTCGCGCTCCTTTTTACTTCGCACCGCTCCCCACCATCTGAACGCCTGGAACAGGCTAGAGAGCGATTTGATTGGTTTATCGAACGGATACAAACGCGCGTGGCTTTTGATTGGTTAAGAGAATGCTTGGGTAAAAAAACTTCATCCCGAGAACTTTCTAGAAATCTCACGATAATTCGCTTTGACGTCATACTGCAACACGCTTGGCCAATCGAACAAAGCCCTCTCCATATTAGGTTTTTTTTTGGGCGGGAAAACGAAGAGTGCATGTTTTGATCTTTTCATCCATTGGCTAATAAAACAAATAACGAACACTTTCTCATACGAAAATCGCTCTGACACCCTAAAAATGCTAGCTTTTGAGGCCTCGTCCACACAAATCCGGAAATTTTTTAAACCGTGTATTTTTTAACCCGGATAATACTTGGGTACGGGTTTTTTAACCACTTCGGAGAGCGGTTTCAAAAAGATGCGGTTTTGGTGAGTGGATTCACTGCTTTCGTATGGACGGAGCGCCGATTCGTTAAAAGAAAAAAAGTGCGGATTCGTGTGGACGTGGCTTGGAACAATGCGATTTTTTGCTGGTTTAAATGAAGGAGAAAACATATACGTGGTACGATATGTGGTAATGGAAAAAGTGGCTGGATCCGCGCCTTGTGATCAAGTCAATTTTTCCATATACAGACATATATCCCAACATCCATAGAATCTCTTATAGACTTTCTAAGAGTCCTTTATTTTTTTTCCTGGTTGGTTATGCCATTTTAAAGGACTTTTCATACCTGTTTAGCGCGAAATTCACAGGTCGAAAATTCTACCGGTGACGTCATGACTATTGACCAATAGGACAGTGGGTGATATTTCACGCCGCTCCCAACAAAGTATGCACTGAAGCTCGCTTCCAGTCACTCACTTTTAAGAACGTATTAGAGGTCGGGCTTGTAGCAAGTCTAAAACTCTTAGTCTTATGACGCCTCAGTCAAAGAGTTATTACATCTTGCATCAAAATCGCATTTTGCGTCAACATTTCTACGTTTTGTACAGGTTAGTTCATTTCGTGGCGAAAAACGTTATTCTTGCTTTTGAATATTATCTGGACGAAATGAGTGACCTGCAACTGGGCGGTAATGCGCGCTTAATGCGGCTTTATCTGTTTTTAGCTTCTAACAGTTGCTGTGTTCTTTACTTTTTTTTCCTTTTTCTTCTAAGGCGTTAAATATTCTTCATGCGGAGAGAATAGGCCATGGGTACCATGTTTTAGAAGATGACATGCTTTACAGAAGAATAATCGATGAAAACATTCATTTAGAGGTAAGTTAGCAATTGACAGTGTGCCATCCTGAAAGCTCGTCCGTACCTTATATAGCGATGATGTCTGAAAGAACGCGAACTTTTCGTCTTTTCACCGCCCCAGCCGTCGCGGTAAATTTATTTTAAACTCCCTATCAACGCTGGTGACGGCAACGAGAACGGAAATAAAAGCAAAATGTCTAGCCTCAGCAAAACGACAAAGTTTCACACGCTTCACGCCTGAAGATGGAAAATCAAAGTTTGGGTTTTTTAAACTTGAACTACAACAACGCTTTGAAGTCTTTTTTCCGAGTGATACTTTCATGGGCATTAAGAAGTAATGTCTTCGCTAACTTTGAGTTTTATAGTGAGTAATTGGGTGATCTCTGTCTTTCTGATTGACAGGCCTGTCCAACCTCCAGTATATTGACTGGTGCGGTCAAACCTTGCTTCAGTACACACCCTTTAAGAAGGTACGCATTTAGAGGTTGGAGAAAATGAGGGGTGGGGGCGGGGAGGGAGGAGATGAGGGGAAGTGGAGTGCATATCATCTTCTCTATACAGGGATCTATTATCTCAAGACTAGGACAAAAATTATAGGCGAGAAGGGAAATAGTCGAGTCCATGCGCATTCTTATCTAGAGAGGGAAACAGGGTCATCATTTGAGATACACAGTGCTGTGATCTAAGGAAAACATATGTTCCGATTCTCCCTTTTTTGTAACTCCAGGGCTTACGATCCGTTTAAAACCTAATTTTAGGAGTCGAACAGCAAAAGCGAATGAACTGAACCAACCAGAAAGCTTAGGAACAAGCATTGCATCTTCTGCTTCTGCATGCCACCCCGATAATCTGATTTTCACACAGATCGTAAGTTACGGATCGAGTCGTAAGAAATCGGAAACGTTCGGATTCCGATTCCTTCGAGCTTTCGACTGGACTTACAACTCCGAGGTTTGATTTTCAATAGGTTTTAGGGGCTCTTACGACTCCGTTTCCATTGTAAGTGAAAGCCAGCCTATTCCCCTAAACGTGCAACCTTGCACCACGATTCGGCTGTAAACCTGCTGAGGGTTACGTTGCTGGAGTACTGATATTAGACAGCTTTAGATTTGGGGACGAGAACGAGAGTACGAGTACAAGATTTAACTTAAAGTTTTTGCGGGTGTTCTAAAAAAAACTACACCCTGGAAAGCTTTATTTTACCTTTTTTCACCTAAAAAGTTAGTACGGTTATTTACACTGAAGAAGGTTAAGCCCTCTCCCGAAACCAAAATGATAAAACTTCTTACATTTCATAACTTATTCCCACCACTACGACATTCTCGCTGAGACTCGTAGTAGAACGACGACGGCTATCACGTTTTCCCGCCAAAATGACGCTGTTTCACGCGCGAGCAATACTCAGTATTGAGAAAATCTCGTACTCGTAGTCGCCTTCGTCTCAGAATCTAAAGCTCTCTATTATTCCATACGATTCGACTTTAAGTGCGTTTCCTTACAGTGTTACTCGCCATAAATTGTGGTTTTGTTTACTGTGGGAAGTTAATTGTACTTTCCCATTCCACAAACTGCATGAGGAATGGGTACAAGCTTTCGTTGTAACGGTTTCTGATTGGTTCATGGTCGCCTTGAATACCATCGACCAATCATAATGCTTGTCCACCCCAAATTATCCCAGAAATCACTGCAACCAATGCTTATACCCAGTCTCCCTAGAGTCTAAGAAACGAGGGAGAAACTGGGTCAAGTTTACTTTCGCAAAGACTTCTGGGACTAAAACAAAACTGAATGCAGGGCTGGCACTTCGGCAAAGGGCTGATTTATTGTAGGCCAATATTTCGGCTAACAAAATTAGCCTTCCTCAAGGCCAGAGCTGTACCGAGAGAAAATATCTTTTAACGACTCCTAAAATTTGAATTTAAAATCGTAGTTAGTAATTGTCGTTTTTTATGCCATGAATATCTCACTCATTTTGTTTGTGTTTTTGAAGGTTCGCACAAGACAGGGTGAACTTTTCTCTTAATTCAGACGATCCTCTTGTATGCCATACCACTAAAGATCTTGAGGAAAAGATTGCTATTAATAAAATTGGACTGAGTCCTGCAGAAATAACACGCGCGGTAAGTCTTGCTTTATTTTGCTGTTTAACAAACATTTTGCAAAATTGGACGTTTCTAAAAGAACTATAATGAGTTCAGGATACGTTGAATTTTAAATCTTAGTTTTGGCTCGTTTGTTGAAGGCACTGTTGCCTTCTAGGCCAAATAAAACTTAATTATTAACACATTGGACTAGAACGCGCAATACCATTTCAACTAGAGGATGGTACTGGTCAGTGGCGGGTCCTGGCCTTCAGATAAGGGGGGCCGTCACCCAGACCCTGTGATAGGGGGTGGGGGGAGCGGTCTTCAAAAATTTTTTTTTTCGACCCTTCGGGCCTCAGTTTGGTCCAAAAATAAGGGGGATCCGGGCCCCCCGGTCCCCTCCCCTGGATCCGTCACTACTGGCAAAGAGAGTTACAACTGACTTTTTTTGGATAATAAACGTGTATCCACACTTGGTGCACGAGCGCTAGTGCCTGGGTACCGGCACAAAATGGTGTTGTGTTCACACCTTGATTACCTGATTGTGTACATTATTTGCTTCATTTTGCCTGAGTTTTCCTCAGTCGTCTCTATCTACATTTGGATGCAGGAACGGAACGCGTTCCTGCATGCTTCGGAACGGAACGCGTTCCGACGCGTTCCCTCGCGTGTGCCCGAGGGGTGATCATGGTGAACTAAAGGGAGAGACTCCCATCACCCCTCGCGCTCTTGACCTTGTTCCTCTCGTAAATATTGATATAGACTGTTTACAGATCCCTATTTTTTTTCGTAAGATCGTCACGATCGAGCTCCTACCGGTACGGGCGGCCATCTTGGTTTCATATCGATTTGACACTCATCCAAGACGGCCGACAGCAAAACAAAAAGCCTTTGATCTCGATGATCTTACGGAAAAATAGGGGACTGTGAACAGTCTAATATTGATAGGAGACTAAGAGAAGACTGGGAATGAGTCAGTCATTTCGCGCTGTCAGACGCCATTTTGAAACGTGAGCGTGACAGGAAGCGATGGGTATACAAAGCCCAACATTTTAGTGTTAGCGGTACAAAAAATCGAATATTAAATACAATAAATTTTGCCCATTCAGATCAATGCGCAGCCTTTAAGGGAAATAGTTCACCCAAACTTAAGGCGAAGGAAAAAAAAGGAGCGAAACTGTCCTCCCCTTTTAACCTAAATATCCCCACGCATGCGAGGCGTAAGGTGTTGCTTAATGCAAGACCGTCTTATGCGGGGGTCTCAGCAGCTGATCATATCCTAGCTTAAGTTCCAGAATATTAATACATGGGTACTCACTTCTGCAGGCGCTAGTCAAATTTAATCAGAGGGTGCCTTAGAAGTTATTTTTCTTTCTATATTTTTTCAGACATTTAACGCTGCAAGGGCCTCCTTTCTTCCCGAGAATGAAAAACAAGAACTTATCGACCAACTCAAATTAGTACACGGAATTCAGTAACTGTTTTATAGAATCTAGGTGGTGTAAAATGGTATAATTTTTTCCGCGATAACTAGCGAGCGAAAGAGGCGAACATCCTCATAAATCGCCTTCCGCGATGGCAAAATATTGTACCGGTCATTGAAAAGAAACTAAAGTTCCTGCTGATCTCAAAAATACTGGTGACAATCAGAGAAAGATTAGGGAGGGTGGAAAGTTCGATCTGTGGGGCTTTCGTCGACAACTTACTCTGTTCAGCGCGGTCAAACAAGAGAATTAATTTTGCAAAAGGAAAGCAAATTACTTTAATGCTAAGGTTACAAGTTAATTACACTATTCGAAGTATAAAATATATTGAATACGCTGTTAATTTACTGAATGGTCAATGAAATCCCAGTAAGTCCCACTTTGACCTTGATGGACCTTCCCTTCCCCTCTTTCCGCCTTCCATATGATTCCGGTTCCGCCTACAACATGTCCCACGGATTCGCGCACGGTAATACTAAAGGTTTCGTGTATTATATCTCAAAAGAGCGCGTGAGCGTGAGCGTTATGGTAATCATAAAGCGCGAGTATTTCTTTGAAAATTTTATAATGTAATAGTTTCAAATTGTGTCAGATTGGAGAAGGACTGTTTCATGTATACTATCCAGCTAATGGGGTTTTCGTTTTTTTAACAAAAAAGTCAAAAGAAATTTTCGCCACAGTATAAACTGACCTTGATGAAATATTTGTAAAATTTGATTATTATTTTTATGAAATCAGTGTGTCTTTATTAAAAATGTACATTGGTAACAACAGAAAACAGTGAAATGAACATACAATAATACTCATTTGTACAAAAGATTTTGTGAAATCTCTCAACCGCGTGGTTTGATTAGACAGATGATTCTGGAAACAATTCTGCTCAGAGCAGCAAAAAACAAATGAATTTGAGTTGCGCCACGTAATACGTTTTATAGTGATGCCTTCTAACACGAAGGAAAATAAAATGGTGATTTTCGCCCTCGAGTTGAAAAAGGCAACGCGACAAAGGTGGCGACGGCGCGCGCACGTCTAAGGTCTATGTTTACACTATTTAACAATTATTCCTCGAGCCTGAGTCAATAGCCCATGAGGCCGAAGGCCGAATGGGCTATTGACTCAGGGGCCATGAGGGCGAGAGGAACAATTGTTTTAGTAAAATCCAACTAGTTGGTCAAAAATATCGAGAATAAAAAACTTTTAGCTAGTTAAAGCTAAACTTTAATCCTTTTTTGCCGCCAAAAAGCTCGCGCCTTTCGCCATTAGTGGGCTATAACATATAGCCTTGTAGTAGCTCAACCAATCAGAACGCAGCATTGATAATAGACCACTAGTTGGATTTTGCTAAATCCGGATAGCTTCTCATGTGGACATCAAAAATACCCCGGTATAGCAGTAACACCAGCCTGTTCGCACTGCGCCGAAGAGTACCATAGAAACATAATCCAATATGTGACGATCCACGTTCAAGATCAGTGCGACGTAGCTTCGCTCCGGTGCAAAAACCCGTTCCGAAATCACTGTTCTTAAGTGTGAACGGAAGCGATATCCGATATGGTTGTCGTGTCGGCGCAAGAGTCACCCGATGCAGTGTAGGACAGTCTCAAAACTGTGTTTTGTTCTGTTGCAAACCACGCAGGAAGCGGCTAGAGCACGAAAGACGTGTCGAGGAAAACACGAGACGGTGTGTTTCGCCCTACTTCGTTTCCTTAATGCTCTTCAACAGAACAGATCACAGTCAAGGCTTCCTTATCTGTTTTATGATAAAGAATCCGTTAAGTTCCCTACGCTTTACTTCAATTTTTTTCAACAAATCAGAGAGCGGGTTATATCAAAATTGTATTTTAAAAACAGGTGAAGGAATAGAGTTCATATTAAAAGCGGTTTTAATTGGTTTTATTTGTTTAACTGAAATACATAAATAAATAAAATAAAACATCTATCTATCTATCTATGGCCTCTATTTTCCGTAGACATTTGGGTTTTCCATCTTTCTAGACTAATTCTTTGCAATATTCTTGCAGTCTGCACGAGAACAATAGGATTTCCAGAGGGTTAGTAGTCATAAGCAAAAAGTACACTCCCGTTCTAATTGTCATAATTAAAACCAAAGTTCTTTAACAAGGGTGGTTTCAAATTGAGGTGCTTGTTTAAATTCTGCTAATTCCATTTCGCTGACTCTTTTGATTACTTTGGTCAGGAGGTTAACGAGGTGGTCGTGAGCAACATATTCCCGGAAAACGTTCACTACAGCACGAACGAAATTGCTTCCTATGCCGGGATATCTGTAAGACACGTATCCCTCAACTGTTGAATAAGCAGTCAAAAAATCTGTTTGCCCAGCGATCCTCTCCGAAGAGGGACTTTTCGTTGGATCAATCGGCGAATCAGGACAGGGGAAAGGCATTTGAACAGAGGGCGAACCACACGCATTAGTCACGACGTTAACCCCTTCGTCTTCTTTATCCCCTCTGCATGCTTGGACAAAAAGGAGCTTTGGTTTTCCCCTTAGTGTTGCACAGCTGGCGTTGGATAGCATGTCTTTTATTGTCTCGATTGGCAACGGAAAACCATCAGAGCCAAACACTTCGCCACTCCTTCCATGACTCATGAGCCAGAGCACAAAACAATCGTAGTCACTGTGGTCCTTTTCGTATGCAAAAAAATCTACTTCGTTTAACATCTCTCTTTTGGTACGATTCTCACTAATGTGTACTTCAAATTCCAGAGCGCCGAACAATTCCTTAAGTTGATGGACATCTTCCTCTGAGCCGTGGCGTGGTGGTTGTCTGCCATGTTCAGGATTATCTACAAACAGCTTGTTATTAATGATCAGTGCAATCCCTCTTGGAAGAGCAGTCATTTTGTAGACAGACTCTGTTCCAGGGTGATTACCAGGACGAACAGCTACATAAAGAAGAAGATTCGTGGAAAATTAATACTTAAAATAAAATACTTAGGGCGGGCTTCCTGGTGGTTGAATTTAGTTCTGGATACCTGAGTCAATTCTCTGGCATGGCCATCGCTTTGTACCCTTTGCTTGACATTATCTCTTCACTTTTCTCTGTTAACATGCTACTGATCGGAACATTATGCAAGGGGTAACTCTAGGCTTGGGCTAGAGTGGACTGATCTTCCATCAGACTGATCAGAAGAGGTTCGACTTCTATCTACTATTAGGTGCTAGTAGTTTCTAGTAGACATCAAAGGGTAACTTTCCTCACCTTTGATTGGAAACCATTTTTTCAGCCCGGGAACATTCGATTCTTCATCACCGATGCTCTTTGGGCAGTCATCTAGTTGCCCCTCTTGCAGAATTTTACGAAGGCACAGACGGTCATCATGGGTGCAGGACACTTGTTCTTGGTTATCACACATGTCTTCATTCCTGTTACATGTACATGCGACACACCAGTGATACTTCAAACTAGTCAAGTAGGGCAAATCCTCCCCCAATGTCACTATTGTCTCATTCAGAAATCTCCACACAAGACCTGCTATTTCTTCAATTTCGGCCAGAGGCGCTGCGCGGCCCCCACTTCTTTTAGAATTAAGGAAAACAAATTTGATGAATCTTTTCTTCAAAACAATGATCAGCTGATGGGTCAATTGTTTTGAGAGCAGTCGGAACCGGGCTGCCCCTTCAAAGAAGTTGGGTGGCTGCTTGAATTCAATTTCAGAACACCAACGGGTACAGCGGGAGATAAGTTGAGAAAAAAGACCGTGAGGAACAAATCCTGCTGGAAACTGAAGGTACAACGGGCAAGGATCGGACAGGGATGGTTCAACCTTACAAAGACGTCCAGGTGGCGAACTCAGTTGGGCAGGTACAAAGTACTTCACGTCATCTGGAGAGGATGCAAACTTTGCGATCAAGCCAAATTGTTCCATCAGGTTTAATATATCTTCTTTGGCCATACCTTGCTGACAGAATTCGGAAAACACATGATCAACAAGGTCCATGCTGAGGATTCCTGTAGTCTCCATTTCGTCCCATAGTTGGGAATGCCTGGGCTCCTGTGAAAAAGTATGTATTCCATAGTAATTATTGACAGAAAAGATGTGTTAACCCTAGACCAAAATGTGCACTGAAGCACACGCCTGCACACAGCCACTATGCCATGCTGATCAGTCCTAACAACGAGACGAAACAGCTGTCCATGGGTGCCACTGCCAGGGTAATATGACTGTGCGCATGCGTAAGGTACTGGCCATACCCCGGAGTTGGTAGTATGGTATGTGCATATTTTGGTCTTGTTAACCCTTCACCGGGCTTTTTTTGGCTTGCTGCGACCGTTGGGGGGGTTGGGAGGGGAGAGGTTCCTGGAGCCCCCCTTTGTGACTTCAAAACTGCTCATGATACGGCCACCAAAATTGCACAAAGTATTTTACTCATTTTTTCCAAAATTTAGGCATAACTGGGCTGACACGATGTCACGTCATATTGTTGAATTTATTGAAAAAATCCAAATTCCATCAATTTTTTTAGTAAGAAAAAATAGAAATACATCCTTTTTTAGAGGAAAAAAAAGCAAATTTTGAAAAACATGGCTGACTGTAAAAATTCGGTTGCTGTGGCAACATCAATTTTACGTACACGTCACGACAACTGTAAAATGTTCTCAGATAATTTTTAGAAAACGTCGCGAAGTTTGGTGCTTAAACGTCTTTGAAGTTATTCAACTTTTTCGAAAGGAGAAAAGCCCTCTCCCGGTCTGAATAGGGTTAATTAGGAGCCTATGGGCTCCTGGGTTAATAGTGTTCCCGAAAATGTTTAAGATAATGGCTGTCTATAACAACGACATATAACATGCCCTGCGAGCAGGGGTTTCTCTCTTGCGTGGCTTTTAGTGTTTAAGAAGTCGTTGGCGTCGCTTGTTTGTCGCGTTGTTGGCTTGGGCGTATAAAACAAATCAACCATGAGACTTACAAGAGACGAACCACTTCGTAACTGCTAAAAGCTATGCAAGAGAGAAACCTGCTCGTAGGGTACATATTACATGGAAAATTGGTCAACATTCCAAGTTGACCGTCATGTTGGATAAGTTGTGCGAATTTTCGCCGTGTTGCAAGGGTGTCAAAATCAGTCAGTCAGACTGGATAGAACTAACGGTAAAAATCACGCGGGAATGTGAGAAGGTTGCCATACTAAATGTAATATCCAAATTTGATTCAAATCCTGTTATCATGGAATTGTTTTCCTGATGTCAATAAAAACGTCTGAAAATGTGAACTAACTTCTGCGAAATGAGCATTTATCACAAGGGTCTTACGTTTAAATTACCATTTCATTGAAAGGGCGAATGGTTATTAGTTGCCTGAAAATCTGAATGAGCCATTGGGACTGCAGTATAACTGTGTTCCGGTGTTTGACAATCATGCCCAGGTCATGATAGAAATCCAACATGGTGTCCATCTCCTTTTCGTCTTCAATAAAGCAAACTTCACGAACTACAGTTCGTAGATCTTTCAGCGCCAGGAAGTATATTTTCGCAGCAACCAAGCCTTCTACGACCTTTTCAAAATTAAACCACCTGCGATATTAACGGAATTAATACAAAAGAATTGTATAGTTACTGGCAGAGTTTCCAAGAAATGTTACATGTTTTCTGGTGGAATAATACCAAACAATAGTTTTAATAAAACATGGTTAGGAACTATGTAGCGCTGATTAGTTGATTACAGTTAAAATTTGTCTTTGTGTTCTTAGCGCTAAAATGTTTGAAAATCCAAACGCTTCGGGACTACTGTCCCTTCATCAGTGGAAGATGCCGTTACACTGAACGCGCGTCATTTTATTCAAATGTGGCAACATTTGAAGCGCGCGCTGGAAGAGTTCGCTCAAATAAAGTTGAAGTCAATGTTTATGCTGCGCGGCTGTAGAGTTTTGCATTTAAAAATTAGGCGGCCCTCCGCTCTACGTCTATCCCTGGTGTTGTGAAGACCCGCTCGAACAACAGCTACCATCAAATCATCAGTTGTGTGACCGGGGGAGGAAAAATGTTTCGCAACGAGTAGGTCAGCTTTCTTTGAGACAGATCTGAGGTGTTGGCAGAACCTGTCCCCAAGCCTACGTCCGGTTTCGCCAACGTACGACAGAGTGCATGCCCGACAAGTAATGATATACACGAGGTTACTTGTCGTGCATGAGAACCTCTGCCGTATGGTCAGAGGTCCACCGGTGGTGTTGATCTGGGAGGCTGGGTTGGTATGGGCACAGGTCTTGCATCGTGGACGACGGCAGGGAAAAGGACTAACTACTTCCATCCATTGCAAAGAAACCGACTCACACTCATATCTCACATACACTTCGTCACATCCCGTCCGATGCAAGAACTCGGTCCCCTACAGCCAGTTTCTGCGCCTCAAACGATTATGCAGTGATGAGAACGACTACAAGACCAAAAGCAAAGAAATGGCATCATTCTTCCTGCAACGTGATTATCCACTAGCAGTTGTAGATAGAGCCCTTCAACACGTTGACACCATCCCCCGAGATACAGCCTTACGACCACCTAACGACGGACAATCCAACAGAGAAGTCATCCCCTTAATCTTAACATACAACCCCATCAACCACCATGTAAAGAACATCCTATCAAGAAACTTCGACCTTTTAAAGTCTGACCCTGAAACTAAGGAACTGTTTGATAACTCGCGAGTACTCGGCGCGTACCGCCGCGACACCAACCTGCGTGATTCCTTGGTCAGCAGCAACCTTCAATCCGGCGCAAACACTGAGGATGAACCAAATGGAACCCAGCCTCCCAGATCAACACCACCGGTGGATCTCTGACCATACGGAAGAGGTTCTCATGCACGACAAGTAACCTCGTGTATATCTTAACTTGGCAGGCATGCACTCTGTCGTACGTTGGCGAAATCGGACGTAGGCTTGGGGACAGGTTCTGCGAACACCTCAGATCTGTCTCAAAGAAAGCTGACCTACTCGTTGCGAAACATTTTTCCTTCCCCGATCACACAACTGATGATATGATGGTAGCTGTTGTTCGAGTGGGTCTTCACAACACCAGGGATAGACGTAGAGCGGAGGGCCGCCTAATTTTTAAATGCAAAACTCTACAGCCGCGCGGCATAAACATTGACTTCAATTTTATTTGAGCGAACTCTTCCAGCGCGCGCTTCAAATGTTGCCACATTTGAATAAAATGACGCGCGTCCAGTGTAACGGCATCTTCCACTGATGAAGGGACAGTAGTCCCGAAACGTCTGGATACTCAATAGTTTTAATATGTACTGTGGAACCTCGATAAAACGAACTTCTATATAACGAAGTCCTTGGTATAACGAACAGTTTTCTTTGCCCTGGTAGTTGTAAAATATATGGAAAAGTACCTTTATATAACGCAGTCCTCGGTATAACGAACGATTTTCTTTGCCCCAGTAATAGTAAAATATAACAAGAAGAACCTGGAGATAACGAAACCTCGTTATAGCGAACAAATTTTTGCCGGTCCCTTGGCCCTTCGTTATATCGAGGTGACTGTACACGCCTCTTTCAATCCATATTCTTTTCTTAGTCTCCTAACAAGGGGATTCCATCCTTGGTTTCTGTAATATGAAGAATTTCAAAGTAATGACGATGTAAATTACGGAGGGCTAATGCGTCGTCGGAAAATCGCGCGCCTATGGAGGGACGATTAGATTCGCGCCATCACCACCACCACAGCGTCATTTTGGTTCACTGTCTGTTGGAAATTCAGATTACAATTGTTTTTTTTTTTGCCCAGTAATAGATCGCAGGTGACGTCAAAATACGATTAGACTAGAGAAGTCAGTGGCGCACGGCTGCCATAGCAGATCCAAAGATTGGCGCTCGCAGCAAAAACAGGAAAATGCGGTTTTCTCTGTTGAAAAATACACCTTTCGGTTTGAATATATCGTCCTCAGAGTTCCCCTTTAATTGCAACTCAAATAAAGTAAGTCTTCTGAAACTTACCGAAGTGGCACCTCCTCCCCCATGTACGGCTCTTGCTGTAAAACTTCGATTAATTTGTCCTGAAGAGCGTTTATTTGCTTTCCATCTGAACCCGGCATGTTGGAAATTGAAAAGAAAGGACGAATCACGTGACCACAAAAACTCTTTCCAAGGATAGCTCTCTGGATCTGCGATTCTATGTCCTTGATGTTGTCACATGGATCGTCGGCGTGTGTTCCAACGATGAGCACTGGAGGACGGAGATACCTGAGCTTGCTCTCTTTGTTTGCACTAGTTTTCTGTTTTCCTGAACACATAGTGCTAACTGAAATAAGCCACGATAACAAGTTGTCCAGATTCGTCTCGGAACTTGGATTTCTTAGAGGTGTTTCGCAATTGTTTTGCCTAACCGATGGCTGAGCTTCCATCGTTAACGATTTGCTCAAATTGTAGACCAATAAATATACCGCTCTTTTGGACAAAAACACAGGATATGAGGCATAATATAAATGCTGCCCGGCAAAGTCCCACAGATCCAGGGTTATATGTTGCTCCATTGTTTTCGCTTTTTGCAAGGTTAATCCTTTCAAATGCTGGATGAGAATTTCTGTGAAGTCCTCTGGAGGTGAAGCCGGGTCGATCTCCAACTTGGGTATGGTACTTGAAAGGTCCTTAGCTTGCACTTTTTCTGTTTGGTTTGCAGTGTAAGAATGAAGTTGAGCGTCTTCGGTACCCTCTGATTTCTCTTCTCTGACAACAACCTGATATGTACAAATAAAATACTCAACGTTTTTTTGCGTCCAAATAACCCTAATTCATCCCTATCATAAAGGACAGATATAGATGTAATATAATCCGTCACAGTGACTACAATCTGAACATACAATCTGATTTCGTGCTAAAGCTGACCTCGGCCTCACTGTAATTCCTCTCCAGTTCTGAGTCATATTTCACAAGGTTGTATTTGCTCTTCAGGAAATCGCAACCTGCGCCTTTAAATTCCATTTTCATGTTCACAAATTGTTAGGGTGAAGTCTAATCTGTATACCAGACGGAAGTTCCCTTTGTGACTCTCATTATCATCGTGATGATGACGATTACTGGTAATTGAACTGAGTGGAGCGCAATTTGGTCTGAAATCATTCGCGTGATTTCAAAATCGGTTCGATTAGGCTCCACCGTGGCACGAACCTCAGGTCGCTCCGGGAAGAAGAGAATTCAAGTTGGCTACAATACTTATGAGATCACCCTAACAATTGTCAATATGTGCAACAAAATGAATATTTCTAATAAGTCACCGGTCAATAACCGTGGCAACGAAATACGGCTTCTTTCACCACTATCTATATGAATTGTCTCCACCCCATATAGCCTGCTGGCAAGCTCTCCGGGGCGCTCAGGCGGCTAACGAAAAATGACCGCCCAAGAGCTTGCTAGCAGCAGGCTACATCCCCTTACGATTACATTGACCACACGGTGAAGATGGAATGCCAGGAACAATCTGTTTATGTCATAACGAAGAGGAGCATTTTGCTGTCGAATTGTCAGCATTCACTTCCCAAGTAACTGCATTAATTTTTAGACCTGTAGTCAAAACTATATACCGTAAATCTTCCATTAAGTTGACCCCTCCCAAATAAGCTCCCCCCCCCTTTTTCAGGGGAAGAAAGTTAATAAGCCCCCCTCCCCTTTCCCTTGTTATTGTTCACTAATAAATGAGAGACTGTATTAATCAATCACAACTGTAAAACTTCATTTGGACTGATCCAGGATGGTTTATTCACCAGCTGAAAGTTCATATTTGTTTTTAATCCTCGGCTACATAACCTCCAACTTCTTGACTCGAGCTTTTCCACTTTGCATTCTAGTTCTTTATGGAGAAGTTATACCATCGTCTTTGCTGTGTTGAATAAACCTTCCCCTCTCAAATATGCCCCCCGTCTCCATTAAGCCCCTCCTCAAATGTGTTTGAAATATATAACCCCCGGGGGGCTTAATGGAGGGTTTACATGTAACTCAATATCATTTGTTCAAAAGCATTTCGAAACATTCTTTGTTTTTATACTGTACACTATTTTGACAACCTGATGTTTATCATCGTCTTCAGTTTTCTGAGCATTGCTAGTCTCTTCCTCCTTTAGTTTTCCTGCAACCATCTTTGCAAGATCGTCGACAAAATGGGACACACCAAGTTTCCCATCAGTGCGCTTCCAATTCTTGACTTGGTCGATATCATATTCGAATTTTGATGGATCCACCTCAATGCCATCGGTACTCTGTTCCTGGGGATCGAATGGCAAGCCGAGGAGATTCTTTTTTAAACTCGTCTTGCCCGCTCGATCTTGACCGATGAGCATGATTCGGCCACGGTACACCTTTACTTTTCCGTTCCTCAAAGCATTTTCATAAGCGCGTTTTGCCTCTGGTCCTCGAGCTTTGATTTCACTTGGCACTGAAACAAACAAACAAACAAAAATCGATGCACTTCATTAAGTGGAACGTAAGCAAAACGTAAGTTTTACTATGTTTACTAGTAAATAATAAAATTTTATCTTTTGTCGCGTTTTGCCCCAGTGTGTAGGCGTGTGGCGTCGGCACTGGAGTTCGCCAGGTCAACCATAGTGAAGTACAAGGCGGTCAGCAAGATTCAAAGGGTTCATTAAAATCAGGTTAGTCCGACTATTCGCCCCATTTAAGGGAATCCATATTTCGGAATCCGAAAAACGTTTGCTTGTAAAATCAGGAATCCTACGAATTGGAATCCGGAATACAGCACAAGGAATCCGGAATCGTACTAAAGATTGGAATTCAGAATCCAAGTTTCACTAACAGTCTGGAATCCAGTGCCTGAAATCCGAAATCCGAGGCGTGGAATCGAGAATCCAAGACTGTCCTGAATTCCCTTATATGTGGCGAGACTATTTAGAGCATGTACTTGCGCTGAACACTAGAAAGAAACGTACGAATTTTACGTCAGAAGAAACGAAAACTACAATTCTGCTCCGGGCATGTGCAAGGAAACAAACAAACTACACATTTTACAAGCGTGAAATACGTCTGATCTTGACTCCGTGAGTTTAATTAAGAACTCCAAATCTCCTATAGTTTTAATAGCTCCGAACGTTCTCCGATAGCTCCTTACAGTGTGATAGAATGCTTACAACTGAGTAAACGTGCTTCAGGTAAAACCATTCTAATGCATGCCTTCTGACGCAAAGGAAATAAAACTGAATAAAGCTTTGTACGCCTAGCCAAAAAACGGATATATGTTGATCATGAAATAAAATAAAACGATGCTACAATTAAGAAAGAACAAGTAGTCCAGTTCTCCTTAGCTCAGTGGATAGAGCGCCCGCCCGGTGTTTGGAGCTTAAAATTTACCATCTTTCATTCCTTCAGTCCTTTAATGTAACAAAAAGACATTGTTTACGGATAACGTGACTTGTTTTACTGTACAGATAAGAACGTGACTCCACCAGGAACGCTATATTAAAAAGATATTTTTGCTTACTCCAAACCAGAATTTAAAACACATTTATACTTCCCCCCACCACCCCCCTCCTCACACGCAGGGTATAATTCCCGTCACCTTTTAACGCTTGTGAGGCAGGCTAATAGCAATCCCAAAATGCGACAGCATCAGCGTGTGAATTCAAATTCGTGACCTATACTTAAATGTCTTTGCTGGTAGCGCACTATCATATCCATTTATAAAGACAGAATCCAGCTCCCGATGTAATTCGCCACTCCATAAACTATACTAGGGAGAATTGGGTTAACAATCGTTTGTTATGACTGGTTAAATTTGGACCAGTCATAACTTAAACTTGTCCACCCAAACGAACTTTTACCCCAAGCCATAACTCGTTGCGCCTGAAGCATGTGCTCACTTTCACTTTTACTCGAATATCTCCAAAATACACAACACGAGTTATCATAAGCACTCTGAAGAAGACAAAAAAATTCGAATAGCTTTGCCTGCATCTTATAAAAAAAAAAATGGAGAATGACACTCTTACCTGAACTGTCACTGGAAACGGGTCTTTCCTTTATACCTGCGTGTTCCGGACCGTCCATTGCGTCGTTTGATTCACTAACTGCATCATACGTATGTTCAGTTGATTCTTTGACTGGCAGTTTGCTTGCGAATTGGCCAGTGGGGAGACCTGATTGAATACATGTGCAAAAACCATTCAACCCCAAATTAGGACGAAGTGACAAGAAACTGGCCGGAAAATGGTCAGTTGTAACGATGTTTTGTCACTAAAGGGAGCTTACTCCATATACAGAATTGCTCCGAATTCAAAGGAAATGAAACTTATAACTCTTAATTGGTACCATGGCGATGAGATGGAAGATTTTTGCCTCTGGCTTTAGCTTAGTTCCCTCATACGAACGGATAGTAAACCGTTCTTATTTAAGTCATGGTTTCACGCAGGAGTGAAAGATGTCAAGGATTTGCTTGGCAGTTGAAATTATAATTTCCTAGATTAGCTACACTGCTTTCATTACCAAATACAATAATTATAAAGACGAACTATCTAGAGTACTATAAAGTAGTGTATGCTCTTTACACTTAAGGAAAAAATCTTCCCCTAATCAAAAATTCACTCCCTTGGAAAAAACGTTATCCGATCATTGTCAAAACAAAGACTTCCTCTCCAGTGAAAAGCCAGGGAAAGTGGCTTTCTGAGGATTTTTTTAAATGTACCAGTGAACTGGAGTTAAGAATGTTTCAATTTAAATTTCTGCATAGAAGGATAGCTATAAACGACTTCCTTCTTAAGACTCTTTTTGAGCTGATTCTCCAGAGACACTTACGCATCTTTTTTTGGGATTGCAGATCAACTCAGACTTCATGAAATAATGTTTCGCAGTGGATCAACCACTGAAAATCTTGATCTGACAAACATCACTCCCTTTTCACCTGCTCTTTGTCTCGGCTTAATTGACAATATATCCAATCTACTTCTACATCACTTCCTCCTTATGGCGAAACACTATATATGTAGTTGCAAACTACGAAATACCTTCCCTATGCTACATGCAGCTTTCGATGATAATAACTTAGCCTCCTTCAAGAATAAATGGGCTACTTTCAAACAAATCCCAGGTATGCAACCTTCTTGTGTTTGTTATTGTACTCGTTTTGTGGACTTCGTCCTCCCACTTTTTTTTCTTTTTTTCGTTTTTTCTAACCCTCTCTGTGAAAATAGTTTTCTGGTTTTAACTCAAGATAAATTTTCGTAATAGATAATTACACTTAATTGTAATAAATTGTAAATGTCTGTAATGAATTGTAATTCTTTGTTTGTAAAGAATGAAAAAAAAATAGATTTTTGCTTCATCACAAGTACATTGAAGTCTGTGCTTTTCAAAACTTGACATGAAAGTCATGGTGTCTCACAAACACACCGCGCACAAGCTGTACCGCATACAGCAATTCTTACCTGGAGTGACCCCACTGGAAAGAGGTTCTTCCACAACTACGTGCTCCTGAATCTCATCATCTTGTTTAATTTCATCCGGCTGTAACGTACGTTCGTCTGAACCACTTTCTGGGAATTCGCTTTGAGTTGAGCTATCGTTTGGAGCTTATTGAAACAGACGTGAAAAAACAAAAACAAAAAACAAGGAATTAAAAGAAAGCCAACGGATAAAAGACGTAAGCAGGACGCTACATTAAGGAAGTTAAGCAAAGAAGGTTTTGTGAGCTTTCATGCAGCATTTTTACCTGGACTGGAAAGTACATTGTCTGTGTCTCACAAACACACCGCGCACAAGCTGTACCGCATACAGCAATTCTTACCTGGAGTGACCCCACTGGAAAGAGGTTCTTCCATAATGACGTGCTCTTGAATCTCACCATCTTGTTTAATTTCATCTGGCTCTAACGTAGGTTCGTCTGAACCATTTTCTGGGAATTCGCTTTGAGTTGGGCTATTGTGTAGAGCTTATTCAAATAGACGTGAAAAAAGAAAAGAATTAACGAAAGTCAACGGATA